TAAATAACCAATAACCTCATTTTCTTGAAAACCAGAGTCAAAAACATAAACACAGCCTCTTCCAAGTTTGTATTGGTTCCAGAAAGATCTAAAACCTAGATTGAAAATCATATGATTAGCCAATATTCCAGATTTGGTTCTTATAGTATGCCTGTAATGAGAAAGATTGTAAATAATCCTATTTAAGTCCATCACTTGGCTAAAATATTTTGCGTATAAATACTCATGAACAAGACAAGCTTTAATAAAATTGTCGTTATAAAACTGTGTTTTTACAGCTGGAAATCTAAAATTTACGTAAGCTACTATTTCCTTCAACATCTTTTATATTATACTTGGATAAAATAAATCTTTGTTTAAAGAAATAAATATTGAAATAAAATGAAAAAATTTATTTTAGCAAATGGAAAAAAGTTTTTTATACATCCTTTATATAAAAAATACGCGGCGAGTGAAGACGGTGTAATTATTCATGTCAAACTGGGAAAACCGCGAAAAGGAAATCTTTATCATGATGGTTATTTTCATATCGGTATATATATAAAACAAGAAAATAAGACTAAAAAATATTTATCGCATAGATTCGTTTACGAGTGCTTTTATGGCATAATAGAAAAAAACAAACAGATTAATCATATAAATTTTATTAGAACTGATAATTGTATAAAAAATTTGGAAGTCGTTTCTCCAAGCGAAAATATTAGAAAATCAATAAGAAACAAAAATTATACTTTTCTAAAAGATATTCGCAAAAATCCAAAGAGTGTTTTGGCAGTAAATTTGTTTTCAAAAGACGAAACAAATTTTAAGAGTTTGTATTCTGCTGGAAAAATGTTGGGAATAAATTCAGGCCATGTTAAAATGATATGTGATGAACAAAAATATTGTAAAACAGCGACTTCTAAAATAAACGGTCAAAAATATACTTTCAGATATCTGAATTAGCTCAAGGATTTAATCTCATCCAAATAATAAAAAATTTTTATAAACTCCTGACACTTTTTCTCATCTTCTGCGCTAACTCCTTCCATTTTAGTAATCTTATGGCAAAGGCTCATCGCGTAATCAAGACAAATTTGGTCGTCAATGCTATATTTCTCTTCCATTTCTTTTACCAAATCTTTTCCCAAAGAGGATAGAGTAGTTTCAAAATTTTTTATAAAATTTTTTTTTAGAGCGCGTATCTCCTCCATTTATCTCTTGCTTAGATTATTTTAGGAGGAGTTTCCTCTACAAACTTATTTTTATATTTTTTAGCAAACTTATCTGATATAGGAGTTTGATCAATTATAATTTCATCTATCAGTTTCATCCTATCAACAAACTCTTGTTTATTCCATTCATCTCCTCTAAGAGCTGCTCTTAACTCAACAAGTGTTTTTTCATATGTTGTATAAGCTATCCTTGATAACTCTATTTTCTTCTTGTAATTTTTATTCTTTCCAATACCCGCTACAATAATCCCAGCTCCATTTATAACACCTAACACAATAGGGTTAAGTGTTATTCCACCAGCAATTGTTCCTATAGCTACAAGGGTAATTCCTGTTATGGTAAAACTGTCATCAAGATTCTTATATCTTTTGTAACACCTTTTAAAACACCAAAATTTTTTATGGTAGTGTTTGTAAAAATCTTTTAAAACTTCAATATCCTCTTTGTTTAAAGATTTATCTATGTGATTGAACTCAAAGATGTTCATCATTTTATCCTTCATTTTATCCTTTGCGTAGATTATGCGGCGTAGCAGCAGGGGGGTTTTGGGGGGATGCAATCCCCCCACTATAAAACATAACTTCCATTTAACTTTTCCTGTAGCAGAACTTTATGATATTGCTCAGAATCAATGTCGTAAAAGTTTGGTGAAAACATTATTTTACTTAAAATTCCATCTTCAGTATTAAACATAAAATCTTGTTCGCGGGTGTATCTAACGGATTGTAAGCTTAAGATTGCGCTGTAGTTACTTATTTTAACTTTTGTAATATTTTGGCTAAAATCTTCTACCAACCATATAACAATTTTTTTTCCATTAAAATCACTTGGTAAGGTTAATTGACTTCTTTGACTATTTACAACCAAAATTACTGTATTACTAAGTGAGGAATAACGTAATGTTAATATAATACTTCGACCACTTGTATCTCTTTTATATAATCCAAATGATCTATTTCTCCAGTGATAAAATATTAAGCATAAAGTATATTTTGTAATACTAATATTAGGAGAAAAACTAATATTATAGCCGTTAACATTTAGACCCTCTTTTCTTATATTATCTATGGTTTTATTAGGTATACCCATATCTCTTAAAGTATCACCACTACTTGAAGATAAATAGTTAAAAACAATACCAGATGCGCCTCTTCTTAATTTGTAATTAGTGGCATTAGTAAAATCATAAACGTCTTCGAAATAATTTCTGTATAAATCGTTTATAGTGTGAGGTTTTATTTCCTTTACCATTCCAACTGTTGCTGCGCTATTGTCATTATTTCTATCAAGATTAACATTTAATATTTTTTTATTATTTGCATTTATATCAACATTGTAAACCACTTGTGTTGGTTTGATATCAAATGCGGTGTGATAATCATAAACTTTATCCGGATCGATATTGCTAACTTTTCCCACAATACCATAAGTAATTATATAAACACCTGAAAACTGACTCGGATAAGTAGCCAAGTCAGTTCCAGTTTGTGGTATATCAACCAAAAAATGAAGAAAGAACCTATTTCCAGTTGACAACTTCCGGAAATTAACTATTATTCTGTGATAATACATAAATGCTACTCGCCCATTTGATTGTGTGTACCTATGAGATAGTTTCCTTATACTAACATTCCCAATTGATAATCCTGTTGAAGTTCCTTTGTCCACGCTTATTTGAGACTTATGCCATAAAGTGTATTCAGTGTTGAGTATTTCCAAGCAAAGTGTGTAATCGGTATTAGCAGTTAACCTGTAAAAGTTGATTCCCATTTTGTACTTATATCCACCTTGGGAATTTTTGTTAAGAGCTAAATAAATAACTTTGTGGTTATAATCGTGAAAGTTTCCTTGGTTTGGTGCTAAATCTCCTATTCTTTTTATGACAAAACTAGTTCTATCATCTATTTCATCAGTCCATTGAGACCCACTTGACATAAGATAAGCAAACTGGTTGTTGTAATGACTTGGTTGAACTGCTGTATGATGAACCAGTTTGTCAGCGTAAACTTTATTTACCGCGTCATTGTCTTGGGTTGGTTTACTAAGATTTATTATTTTATTATTACCAAGATTAAGGTTCCCAGTCATAGCAACGGTACCATCTTTTTCTAAATAATCGCTTAAATCTGGATCACCTGTGTTATCATCCACATACTTTTTGGTTGCGGCGTCTGTGTTTGATGTTGGAGTTGCGAGACCAACTATTTTTTTGTTTCCAAGATTTAGGTTATTAGTCATTGATACACTTCCATCTTTTTTTATAAAAGAACTGGTATCAGGTATTGAGTCATCAACATACTTTTTGTTTGCGCCATCAGTGTCTGATGTTGGTGGTCTAAGGTTAACTATTTTTTTATTATCCATGTTTAAATCATTAGTCATTGTAGATGAACCATCACGGGCAACATACTTTATATCTGTAAAAGCTAATGGTGTTGGTTGATTACTTCCATTTGGGGCTGGTAGGTTAAATATTCGATTATTAGCCATATTGAGATTACCTTTCATTGGGTAAGATCCATCTCTATCAAGAAATGTATTGTCAACATAATCTTTTGTTGGGGGTTCTTTCCCATCCAGTGGAGTGCTAAGATTTGTTATTCGGTATTGATCTCCCATATCAAGGTTAGAATTGATTGTTAGCCTTGAAGTAGGTACTGATTCACTTGATTTATCATCCACATACTTTTTGGTTGCTGCGTCATCATTAACTGTTGGTGTGCCAAGTTTGATAATTTTATTATTATTCATGCTTAGATTACCAATCATTGTATATGAACCATTTCTGTCGAGAAATTTGCTGTCTGCGTATTGTTTTGTGGCTGGCTCATCTGCATCAACCGGGCTTTTTAGGTTAAGAATACGATATTGGTCCTTCATATTAATGTTTGAGTCAACTGTTAATCGTGATGTTGTTGGTGTACCACCAGAATTGTCATCAACGTACTTTTTTGTAGCAGCATCAGTATTATTACTAGGTGCTCCAACATTTGTGAGTCTTTTTTTATTCATATCATAATTACCATCTGCAGTTAGACTAAATCCAACTCCTGGAGCACCCTGAATTCCTTTAGCAAAAGGATGATCAAAAGTTTGTTCGTTGAATATTCCCATTTTTATTATTAGTTTATATTACCAGTAAAATTTTTTGCAATGCGTTTTTTGGTTTATCAACGTATAGAAATGAATACGGTTTTTAGTTGCTGTGTGGTAATATTCTTTATTAACTCCTAATTCGGATGATATGCGATTTGCTTCTCGCGATGACGGAAATTCATAAAGGCAGTAGTGAGAACAATTCAAACGGATATCTTTTGGAGTTTTGTAAAATGATTGACTGAGATACACCACAGAACAATTTTTATGTCGTCCTTGAATAAAATAATCAATCAGGCACCTCTGGTTTTTATCACAAACGTAATCGTCAAATATCACAAGTTTTTGATTGTCTTCGTAATCAATTTCTGTAACCGGGGTTATTTCATCGTTACTCACATGAAGTATTTCATATCCAATTTTACTACTCAACTCCCTCATTTTTTTTATGAGTTTTTGATACTTATCCTGTTCAAGATTACGTGCGTAAAGATAAATCTCATCGTAATGCAACAGTGGTTTGATTAACATATGATATAACAAATTAGTTTTACCACTTCCACTGTTTCCACAGATTAACATTCGAAACGTATCCGCTGGCATAAAAGGAAATAACTGTTTATATTTTTTATCAATGTCATCGGCGCTATCATAATTTGGAATTTCCATTTATCTATTTAATAGATAAAATGGATATAGAAGAATTCAAAAAATTTGCAAGAAATAAAATTGAAGCTGACGCTTTGACTCAACAGGTTAGAGATGTTATAAAAACAACAAAATGGCAAAAACAAGATATGCGGGAAGGATTTAAAGAGACATTTAAACCACTTATTAAATCTCAAGATTCTATTAAAAAGAGTATCGACGAACAACAAAACGCAACTATAGCACAGCTCAAAGCTAATCAACTTGCTCTTACACAGGGGCTTAATCAAAACAGGATGGCTATAACTGAGGGATTTGATAAACGTGATGAAGTAAAAAAATGGGATTTGGCTCAATTACCTGGTTTTGAGGCGATTGAAGAGCCAAAAGAAGACGAAAAAGACGAAGAAGACAAAGAAGTTTTACCATCTTCATCAGATGAAAAACCAAAAATAGCAAAATTTACGCCCAAAGACTTGGATAGAAATTTAATGAACAAAGAAGCACAAGATATACTAAAATTGTATGGTTATGATTATCTACCTTCTGAGTATTTAGAAGAGGATGCTTCTACTATTGACAATTTAATTGATGGTGTTAATGAAGATTTAGAAGAGACTAATAAAGCAATAAAAAATACTGCAATTATTACACGTGACCCAAACGGTTATTATTTAGCTAAACCAGTAAGTAACAAACCACATAAAAACACATTAGATTTAATAAAAAAATATAACACATTAAGCATTTATGCATCAAATTTAAGTCTTCTTAAGTATTACAAAACAAAATCTGGGTCTGGGATGATTTACTTTAATAACCCACATCAACTTCTAAACAGACTTGAATTACTTGGTGGTTCAATTCTAGCTGGGAATAATGGTGTGATACCTGAGTTTTCTCAAATAGCACATCTTCTCAACCAAATGAAAGTGATCTCAAAAAAACAGCTAAATGACTTATTAAGGGGGGTTGCACCCCCCTAACACCCCCTGCTGCTACGCCGCACTAATGTAAGCATAAGATAAAATGGAAGAACGAGCTATTCACATTTCTTCGATAAACAGAGAAAAAAGAGGAACAAGCAGACCTGGTGATTTTACTATCAAATTTAACCCAACTTTGAAACTTGACTCTGAAAAGAAACATCAACTTGCTCTTGATCGATTGTCCATGACTTATTCTTGGTACAACATTAGAAGTGATTATAAAAACAATAAAATCAAATACACTCATGATGGAACCAACTGGCAAACAATTACTTTTACAGATGGAATGTATTCCTACTCAGATATCAATGATTACATTCATCAGTACATGGATCAAAAGTCTCATCACACAACAGATTCTAAAGGTACAAAAAAGTACTCCATCAATTTGACTTTTGTGTTATCTACCTATCGAGTTCTCATATCACTTGATGGTGATTATCAACTTGATCTGAGAGGAACAGAATTTGGAGACCTGATTGGATTTGAAAAGAAACTCATTACTAAAACAGAGTATGGATCAAAACTACCAAATATCACAAATTCGATTGATGTGTTAAATATCAACACAACCGCAATAACAGATAGCATAGTAAATGGAATAAATACAAATACCATTGCTGTGATACCAACCGATAATCTAACAAGATCTTATCCATTTACGTTTGAGCCTAAAAGACCATTGTATTGTCCTGTTTCTTCATTTCACATTGATGAAATGAGAATATATGTCACAGATTCACTTGGAAGACCTGTAAATTTTAATGGTATAGATTGGTTTATGACTTTGATACTTCATAGTATGTAATAAGGGGAACCTACGGACAAGCCCTTCGGGCACCCCTCAACACCCCTCCCTTTAACGAAATTGAGATGATAGAATTGATATAATATACTATTATAATAAAAATGACGAGACAATCAGAGTATAAAAAGAGATTTGACCCTGAATTGGGTAGTTTTACAAAACAACATATTTATGGCGAAGGAATAACAGATGTTTTTAAATCGTTTGGATCAAAATTATTTGGAAAGACAGTTAAAAAAGCTGCTAAAAAAGGCGTTGAAAAAGCAGTAACAGCAGCCGCAACAAAAACCGGTGAACATGTTGGCAAAAAGGCCGGTGATAAAATAGTGAAAATGTTATCAAACGGGGGGGTTGCACCCCCCCGAAACCCCCCTGCTAAAAAAGTTACTTTTAATAAAAATGTCGGGGCGGTATCTCAAAAAGAGATAGATCAAATGTTGAATAACCTTCTTAGTGGGGGTTCAACACGTAAGATTAAGGGGAACCTACGGACAAGCCCTTCGGGCACCCCTCAACACCCCTCCCTTTTTAGCAGCAGGGGGTGTTAGGGGGACGCAGTCCCCCTTATAGGGGGGTTTTGGGGGAACCGTAGGTTCCCCCACCCCATAAAATTATATAATTATTAAAATAAAATGAAGTCTTTTAGAAATCCAAAATATTTAGACAGATATGAAGACGTTGTTTACGACCTGGAACAGACTTTAGATGCGGCTCCAGCAAATGCCGCTCACCAAACTAAAACAGGTCTTAGATTTGTAGCTGATAACACAGGAGAATCCACTCCTTTTGATTGGTATAACGCACGATTATCAATGGATTTTAAAGTAAATAAGCTGGCAGATGGAGGAAATATAGCAGTTGATGACCATAACGGAATTGTAAATGGTAGTAACTCTTTTATAGAGAAATTAAGTATCCTAGCAAATGGACGAGAAGTTTATAGTTGTAATTATGCGAATCATGTTGTAAATATCAAGAATTTACTTGAGTATAATCCTTCATATGCCCAGAGTGTTGCTACAAACGAATTTTATTTTCTTGATACTTCAAGAGCCGCAGAGGAAAGACCTGCTCAAGCAACTTATAATAAAGGTTTTCATAGTAGGAAATTACTATTAGGCGTATCAGCCACAGTAAACTGTGAAATTCCTCTTAATAGATATTCTTTCTTTGAAGCATTGGAAGATAAACTACTTCCTAATACAAAAATCGAACTAAATATCGAGATTGAAAAAGATGCGAATTTAATTTTTCAAGGAGCTGATGATTGTAGAGTTATTATAACAAGACTACAACTTTTTATTCCAAAACTTACGTTTAATTCAGAAGGACAAAAGTTGTACATGGAAAATTATCTTAAACCTTACAAATGGACATATTTGAATGAAGTAGTTGAAAGATCAAATAATACACAGCAACAGACAGGTCATTTTAGAATTACAAATGCTATTTCAAAACCACGCCATGTATTTATTTTTGGAATTGATACGGCAAGAATTGATTCTCAAACGGCGAATCCATTTTTATACGACACTTTTGATCTGCCAAATAATGCTAATATATCAAGATGTTACCTGGAAGTTGCAAATGGAAACGAATACCCCGATATTCACTTTAAACCCTCTACAGATATGTCAAGAGTTTTTAGAAATGTAATGTCATACGTCTATGCAAATAATGATTATCAAGGTGGAACCTTACTCAATAGGAGTAATTTCAAAACTTTGTTTCCTTTTGTGTATTTTGATTTGACTAAACAGAAAATGGATATAAAAGACGGTGTTACAAAATTAGCATTTCATTACGAATTATCTGCTAATCCAAACGCTGATTATAATATTTACGCGCTAGTCTTACATGAAAGAGTAGCAGAAATATCACAACAAGATGGAAAACTATTGCTTCGTGCATAAGGGAATCCCTACCTTAGATACACCGCATATGATTACACAGAATTTTCCACAAGTTGTTATGATTACACAGAATTTTTACACAAGTTGTTAAAGTTACACAACATTTTTACACAACATTCTACACAAGCTTTTAAAGTTACACAACATTTTACACATCATTTTACACATTTGTGAAAAATTCTGTGTAATCATTTGATTGGGGGGGTTGCATCCCCCCCAAACCCCCCTGCTTCTAGAAGGTTCTAATGACAAAGCAATTTTTAAAATTAGATTTTGAAGATAAAATCTAATTATATCAAACGGGGAAACCCCCTCCCTTCGTAGCGCCGCGTGAGGTTACACGTGGGGGAAAAATACTCAAGCCCTTCGGGCACCCCCCATAACCCCCTTTCCTTGTCTACACCACGTAAAATAAGAATTTTAGTATAAACATTAAAATAAAATGTCTAATTATATGGAATACGGAGTAACACTTACAGATGGACAGAAGTCAAAACTAGCTTCTGCGATATTAAATCAGTCACCTTTGACTCTTCGGTTAAAACATTCGCATCTTAGAGGAAATGATGAGTTAATGTTGACAAAAAGACAGATTGCCAAAATAAATAAATCTATTGCAAATGGCACAGGATCTGATATAAAAATAAGTAAAACTCAAATTAGAAAATCTGTAAAACACGGAGGAAACTTATTTTCATCACTCGCATCTCTTGGAGCAAAAGTTCTTCCTTTTGCAATAAAAGGAATTTCAAAAGCTGTTCCCGCATTAGCTACAGGAGCTGCCACTGCACTTGGTGAAATAGGATTAAATAAAATCTTCGGAAAGGGGGGACACTACGGTATACCAATTACACCAGAGTTTTTCCCAATGCTACCGCCAATTGTAAGAGAATTTACCAAATCACAAATAAATCAAATTAACAAAGCTTATCAATCAGGTAGTGGAGTAGTTATAAAACCAACTCGTAAACAGATAGAAGGAGGATTTTTAGGTACACTTGCTTCTATAGGAATTCCATTAGCAGTTAGTTTAGTATCAAAGATGCTTGGTGGGGGGCTTCAGGTTGATAGACGTGGGTCATCTAATACAGCAAATGTTTACGTTCCACCCACAGATGGGGGAGGTTATCCATATCAATCACCTCCTTTTATTGGAACATGGTCCAACCCTATAGGAATGGGAGTGGGGGGGATGCTCCCCCCCAAAACCCCCCTGCGCAATAAAAAAAAAAACTCCAAAGGCAAGGGTTTACTATTAGGAAAAAACAGCCCATTCAACTCAATTCCCATACTAGGCACCATTTTGTAATTAAACCTCTATCCAACTTTGACCTAATGGAATGGATAAAAAGACTTGGTATAAAAAATTTCAGAGGAATATATAGTAGAGATGCTTTACCAGGGAAAATTAGAAAAGAATGCGGAATAATTAATCTGGATGATATTCAAGGTCCTGGAACACACTGGGTTTGTTATAGAAATGGGGATGGGGGAAAATTACGTTTTCCCCCAAAACCCCCTTTCCTCTCAGCATATAATGAAAACCCCCCTGCTGGTGGGGAGAGTGGTTTGTATGAGTACTTCGATCCGTTTGGTCTGATAATGCCAAATGAAGTATTAGACTATTTTCACACAGGGCCTGTAAAACCTATTGTGTACTCAATGGATGAAATACAAAATCGCAGCACTGTTCTATGTGGTTATTGGTGTTTATATTACTTATTTGAGAGACAGCGGGGTAATAGTATTTTAGATGTAATACATAACCCACATTTTGATAATGATAACAGCGATTTCATACAAAAATATTTTGGCGGGTGAACCTACGGTTCCCCCGAAACCCCCTCCCTTGGCTACGCCGCGTAATGTAAAAATAATATTTAACAAATATTATTTTTTTATTATATAAGGGGGACTGCGTCCCCCTAACACCCCCTGCTGCTACGCCGCATTAGTTTACAGAATTAAATAATTTCCTCGTACAACATTTTTAAGCGTATTAGATTTCTCACTTATTTCCATAAGCAACTCAAATACTTTTATAAATTTATTATCGTTTTCCAATCTAGCAAAATCAGCGTATTCAAAACTCATGTTTAGGCTATTGTATATCTTTTGAAGCTCACTTTTGAGAAAATTCGATCTAGTAGACATTTTTTATCTATACTATATATAAAATGAAAGAAACTTATTGTATCGTAGATAAAAGAGTAACTCCTTGTACTGAGCCAAGTGGTTACCAACAAGATAAAAGAGGTAGAACTCAATTCTTTTGTAGATGCGCAGTTTGTGGAAATAAAAAAGTAAGATATGTTAAAACGGGAACAGCTTCTCAAACTGGAAGTGGAAAAAGAAAGTCAAAAAACTAATTAGCCCGTCTGAAGGGGCGGGCGTCTTTGATACAGTTGTTGGTACAGCAGTTGATGGATTTGTACATTACGGGCTTCCTTGGATGGGTAAAAAAGCAGTTGAAATGGGGCGATATGGAGCAAGTGAGTTAATGAGAAACAAAAATCTTCAGAAGAAAGCTGTAAATTATGGAATTAATAAACTCACTCCATTTATTCAAGATTCTGTTGGAACAGCAATGGATCAGCTGTCAACAAAAGTGAGACCAAAGAAAAACTATAAAACTGACAGAAAAGATTTGGATGGAGGTGCGATAGATATACACAAGCAAATTGGTAAATTACCAAAACCAAAAGGTGGATGGACCTTGCCAGGACATAAATATACAGGCCCTTATAATGATCTTGAGAACCAAGTAAGATATGATCCGGAAACCGGTGAAATATTAGAAATTTATGATCAACCAACTGGGCCAACCGATGCTGTTGCCATGCAGCATGATGTTGATTATAGTGTTTGTGGTGATGACCGAAAGTGTAAAAATAAAGCTGACATCAAGATGGTAAAATCCTTAGATGCTATTCCTTGGAAAGAAAGACAATGGGGCCATACTTTGGCTAGAACAATAATTAATACTAAACAAAAACTTGGACTTGGTTTAAACGCGAGTCGGCGTTGAGTAGTGATTGGTCTCAACAATTAGCCGACGAACTTCACAAACCAATCACAAGAAACTTTCAAAAAAGATCAGTAATCTCAAACGGTATTGATGAAATCTGGGCTGCTGATTTAGTTGAAATGCAAAAGTTTAGTAAGTGGAATAAAGGAATAAAATATCTCTTGATGATTATTGATGTGTTTAGCAAGTATGGATGGATTAGGGAGCTGAAAGATAAGAAAACTGAAACTGTTAGTAAAGCATTCGAGAATGTATTCAAAAATAAACGTAAACCTCAAATGTTATGGACAGATAAAGGTTCTGAGTTTATCAGTAAACATTTCAAAGAGTTTCTGAAAAGAGATGGAATTAAACTGTATCACACTGAAAACGAGGAGAAATCTAGTGTTGTTGAGAGATGGAATAAAACTATGAAAAACAGAATGTGGAAGATGTTTACTGTGAATAACAACACTGTTTACTGGGATAAGATAGATAAACTAGTTGATGATTACAATAACGCTAGACATTCAAGTATAAAAATGACTCCTGTTGAAGCAAGTAAAAAGAAAAATGAAAATAAAGTTTGGTCTAATTTATACGGTGATTTAATCTACTTGAAACCTGGTAAACCAAAGTTTGCAATTGGTGATAAAGTTAGAATATCAAAATATAAGAGGCGGGTATTTGATAAAGGTTACACACCAAACTGGACAGAGGAGATATTTGTGATTGATAAAGTTCTGCCAACAAAACCTGTTACATATTCTATTACTGATTTGATGGGAGAAGAGGTTAAAGGTTCTTTCTACGAGCAAGAATTACAAAAAGCAAAACAGCAGACATTTAGAATAGAAAAGATTATTAAAAGAGATAATAAGAAGAAAATGGCATTAGTAAAATGGAGTGGTTATCCTGATAAATTTGACTCATGGGTAAGTTCTAAGGATTTGGTTGATTTTTAATACAAATAATGTATTAAAAATAAAATCCTATTCACTCATCATTCTCTTCATCAGATAATCTTAATTCCTCAAATCTATCAACTAATTCTTCAATGTCATCTTCATTGTCCTCTTCACAAACACTTTGCTCTTCGTCGTCGTCTTCTTCAATTGTTAATAAAGACTCTCTAGGTTTGAGTGGTTTAACATAGCACTCGTGAACTTTTATTTGCAGAGATGTAACAGTTTTGCTTATAAAGATGCCTTCTATTATCAAAGCTAATTTCACATTACAATACTGGTTAATGAGTTTAAAAGGATTTATATCTTTTCCTGCCTTTCCCTTAAACAAAGATAAAATTTTCTTTGATTTTTCTGAGTAAATAAGTTTTGCATAAAGTACTGGTGCAGATGAGGGATCTTTTCTAGTTTTCTTCTTTCCTTTTTTATCAGTGTACTCTTCTTGTTTGTAGTATAACGGTGGGGAAAGAGATGAGGCTAAATCTGGTCCGTATTCATTCTCTAAATGTTCTATAGACAAAGATGTTAGACTATTAATAGCACCATAAAACGCTTTTTCTTTTTCATTTGGTTCGCTATCTTTTGCCCAAAGACATACTGGTATACTATATCCTACTAACTTTTTTGTTTCTTGATTTCTCTTTTCACTAACACCAAAGCTAAAAAGAAATGGGGTTTCGATTACAAGTGGGCCTTTTTTGTTATTTTGGTATTTAATTTCAATTGGTATACGCTTGTATTTAATGTTACTATCTTTTACTTTTGTCTCTTTTGCTTCTTTAAAAATAACGGTGTCTTTGGTTAAATGATCGTAGCTGGATAACTGCATTTTGTTAATTATAATTTATTTCTTAAACTATAATTTAAAATTTCAATTTTATTTTGGCCAGAGAAGATTAACGGACCAGTAGTTACTCGATTCTGGATTTGTATAAGTTAACTCTCCTTGTTTATTTTTTATCTTTGTAGCTCTAGCTAAATATTTATCTCTTCTCTCTTTATCCTTGTGTATTAAGTAGTCTGGATATTTTGGAGAACCAAAATGTACTTTCTTTCCGCTTGGAAGCGTAGCCATATATTTATTATTTTTTCTGGTTGAGTAATCAAGTGATTCTGCACCAAGTTTTTTAGCTCTTCTAGTTAATCTTGTGAACTTGTCTCCTGTAAGAATAAATTTTTCGTTTGGAGGAACGTAATCTGGATCCTCATCGTGTCTATATCCATCATCAACTATAAAATCCAAATCTTCTTTTGTAGGAGTAGTTTCTCTCGATCTTGGTTCCATTTTTATTTAATGGTTATAGTAAAACAAAAATCTTATAACAAAAATGTTATAGGATTAATCATCAAAAAATTCTACATCTATTTTGGAATGGTACTATGTTAGCAGATATTCTAATAAGATACTAAAGCCTGAAATAATAAAGAATGGCTATTACAGGGTTTGTCTTATGAAATCAAGAATTATCTATATCATTTTCTGCATCAGAATCAAAATCTATATCTTCAGCTAATTTATAACGGAAAAAATGATTAACAAAGGCATTCTTGAATTCAGGTAATCCTGGGTATTTTTCAGGCTTCTTTTTTCTTAACAAGTTGTACCTTAACTGCCTAATGTCGGCTATATCTGAAATATCAATGGCTAAATCTGTTTCTTCAATTAACTTTCTAATAATCTCCATTATTTCCTTAGCCAAAGATCCTTCAAATACATCATCATAATATTCACTCTGTGTTGTTAACAATAAATTCAAATCTCGACATTTTTTATTAAGATCAACATAGATATTGTAAACTTCAAGTTTATGACCTGTATATACTGGTAAAATTTCACCTCTTGGAGTTACATTGAACGACATTCTAATTTATTGGTTATATTAAAACAAAAATCTTATAACAAAAATGTTATAGGATTAATCATCAAAAAATTCTACATCTAATAGTGTATTAAATTTGTCTGCAAAATGTAACTCTGTGAGACAATCTTCATCTTTCATCATACTAAATTCTGTAATATTTGGGAATATTATTTCAATATTCTCATACGCTTCATCATAAGATTCTTTTACTTTAACTTTATCGTAATTACTGAAAAATGCCTTCATATCCATTATTCCAAGTGCAAATAGGCCGATAATCTTTTTAGCACTTTTATCAATTGCTTTGAGTTTTTTATAAGCAACTTCACTCTCAAATACTAAACCGTGTTTTGTGTAAGGTTTGGTACTATATTTCGCAAACCTTTCATCTTCACTGTTACTTTGCGAGTTATTTGCGTTACTTGCGGATTTGACTCCCATCTTATACAATTTCTTTGTAATCTTTAAGCTTAAATTCAATTTTATTTTTTGAATCACTCTGGTTGTTTATTTTTATAGTAGTTATATAATGAGCTATACCCGCTAATCTCGTAAATTTAAGGTACCCCCCTTGCGAAACAGGGTTGAGCAGGGGGGTAACTTAAAAGTAATGAGGGGTGAGCGGGAATAGCTCATTATATAACTACTTGCCTATTCCAGAGAGCCGAAATCCAAGTAAACAAATACAAATGTGGTAAGCTGTCCACAAAGGCTGAGTTTTTCCCCGGGGAATCTATTCTGAGATTCTTTCACCAATAGCAACACCGTAAATTATTTGCGTCATGGCATTAACATTACGACCAATCAGAGGCTGTCTCCAACATTCCGGGGAAACAGGAACACGATTATGGTCGGCGATTCACAGACGTCTCTTCTGCCGATTTTTTCTGAGGGAGGGAGAACGTCTGTAGGCTAGCCCTGCCTCCCTCCCCTCCCCCTGGGTTTCGTCACTCATATCTTTGTTACATTGATCAAGGATTACAAAAGATAGCTAGTGGTAACAAGACCTCAGCAAGCTTGTTAGAGCTTTTCTACTAGGATATCTCTCATTTCCTATGTTTTTTCTTCAACAGGTATTGCGTGAGCACGTACGGTAATGTAAGAGTTTATATGGGTTGGACTCGCGTTAAGTTCTAGTGTCTTTGTAGAAACAAGTTTCCTGGCTGCTTTCCTAAACTTTTTCATTCTTACTGCATATATTACGGGATTGACTATGTATAATTGAACAAATATAGTGCAAAAAACGAGTAATCGATGCGATTCAGGGCAGACTTTACTTGACATATGGGGTGGGATAATATGCCAAATAGTGCGAGGAACAAGGGTTAGAAAAGGGACCACGATAACTATAAATAAAGTCACCGTTAGTTTCCTCTCTGTTGAAAGAACTGGTTTTGCATTAGAGGGAGGATTGCTTTTTACAGTTGAGATAATTATGACATACGAAACTGTGAGAACGACAAGGGTGAGAAAAGTGTGTCAGATGCATTGACATACGGATTTGCAAGTGATAAGCGCAAATAAAGAAGAGCAATAGCAGATGACAAAGTCAAGGAGAACAACCAACTACAAAAAACAATGATGAGGTAGTCCCGCTTTCCAGCAAGACAATGTCTAAAGGGGAAAAGTGTTACGTGTAACCTCTCTAACGAAATCAATGAAATATTAGCTAATGAAGCCACTGGAAGTAGCTCTGTCACTGTCAAATACACGAATGATTCGCAGCTGAAAGCTGTTGAAAGTTCCAGGTCCCTCTCCAGGTTATCTGGTTCAAATATTAGTAAAAGTCCGGTCGCTGTTCCCACCAATTGTTCCCACCAGTAAAAGATGACAACAAACTCGATGACCAATGCTGCAAACCAGGCTCTTTCTTCTTTTTCAGAAATAATTCTACCACTCACTCCAAACGTTCCAGCATTATTTCATCCTCACCAAGTGTTAAAAGAATACAAAAAAAACAGCATGTTAATGTGAGGAGTAGTAACGCAAAGAAAAAAATAAAACAAGAGAACAATAAAAGGATTCCTTCTCGGTTTTCCAATAAAGTGCGTTGACGAGTGTCCTACCGAGCACTCCAAAAAATGACACCACGGTAAGTGACTGTAATTTTGCACTGATGTATTGCAAAATGGGTATGAGGCATTTACTCTTATTTATGGTAAGTGATAAATCAGGTAAAATAACAATGATAAAAAAAAAACTTGTAACTTGGGGGAAAAAATAATGTTCTTTTTACTTCATTAAAATTATTAAATTAAGGGAGCTTATTCCTTATTAGCCCAGTGACTTACCTTGGGCTTACTCGCCATTGGCTGTTATTAATATTTTTAGGAACTTATTTCTTGCTTTGTAAACATTATGGCAAGAAATAAACATTACATTAAGCGTTTCGTTTTCTTTTTTCTTCGTAATAGAAGGTAGAAAGCTAAAATTCGTCTATTGATCAATGCTTTCGACTGTTGATTTTGAATTCCGGCTTTCCTGTTTGACCTGTGGCTACTAGCTACAATCCTATCTACCACGACAATCCAGTTACCTGCAACTTCTGTTCTCATTCAGCAAAACCAGCATGGCGACTGCAAACAAAATGATATGGCAAGCTTTGCAGAAGCGTTGTACAAGGCGCCGACGAAGTTGGAACAGAATCCTTTTTGAGTGTAGATTTTTTAATTCCTCCAGAACAGTACGCGAACACATATATGACAGTTTTGATTAGACGTGTGACATGTGAAAGTTTGTTTTCATTCGAGGACAAAGAAAAGTTTTAAGCAGCGAAATTCACCTTCGAGGATTTCGACCTCGTTTCTTTCACGGCGGAGCGCTTGTCCCTTTCTGAACGGCGACCAAGTCAGCATGCCAACCTTTTTAAAGAATTTTCAGGTTAACTTACATTTCACAAATTATGATGCTCAAGGAAAGTACGTTATTGAAAGGAAATGTATGTATTTATAAATGTTTTATGGACGTGTTATATATTTCTTATAGAGCTTCCAAGATAAATTGGGAAATGCGCCCGATCTGACATTAATTTTTGCAATGTGCTCACGCCGATTTTACTTGTGGGAACAGATCCACGATCCAGTCAGTGTTACGTGAATTGCTTTTAACGGTAAACTTATGCGTTGTCGAAAAAATTTTTCAAGAAACAATTTGTCCCTTTATTGTTTTCTGTTTTTTCATTCATAACATTAGTTGATAACATGGTCGTGAGACAGCATCTAAGTCTTATTACACGCATCACTTCTGCGAAGATGTCAACGAATTTTATGCAATTTTTACTTTTGAGTTCAGCAACTACTGAATTTTGCTTGAAAATATGTGTTACTAGTTATTCTTGATAGATAGTAAATGATTTTTTAAAGGTTATTACGCTATTAAAAGGTCACGCAAAAACCGTTTTTGAAGTAACAACTTTAAGAAATAGCTTCTCTTACGGTGCTTGTCATTTGTAGTCGACTTTGTCTTGTTAGGAGGAACTAACACATTCCTGGTTATTTGTGGAATAAAACTGTATTCCGTTTAATTTTTCGTCAAATATTACCTCGTAAAACAGTAACTGCTTTTTGCACTGCATCATTTTATACATCGCCGATACAAGTTTCGTGCGACAATCTCGCTTATCAGTAATTCCATATTAGTAAGTAAATTCTGATTGGTTCCCTAAAAAACCCCAGCATTGCGACAAAGTTATACGCTTCCGGGTTATATGCTTCTGATGTTACTCTAACAATGTTTACCACCGCAGTTTGCGTGCTTTTTCTTAATTATTACATTATTTTATTTCATTTTTTATTATTTCGCCATTCATATCTTTGTTACACTGATTAATAAAGATTACAAACGATATCTAAGCAAGAAGACCTCTGCAATCTTGTTACAGCTTTTCTAAGGAACTCTCCATTTCTTATGTTCTTTCATCAACAGGTATTGCTTGAGTACGTACATGCAATGTAAGAAGTTCCAAGGGTTGGACACGCGTTAATTGCAGTGTCTTAGTTTGTAAAAACAAGTTTCCTAGCTTCTTTGCTAAACTCTTAAGCAGGTGTCGGCACGGGATTCCTCCTGCAGATGTATATTTTGTTTTCCAACAATGTTTATGACCGCAGTTTGCGTGCTATTTCTTAATTATTACTTTATTTTACTTCATTTTTTTTATTATTTCGCCACTCATATCCTTCTTACATTGATTAACTTACAAACGATTCCTAGGCAAGAAGACCTCTGCAATCCTGTTACAGCTTTTCTAAGGAAATCTCCCATTTCTTATGTTCTTTCTTCAACAGGTATTGCTTGAGTACGTACATGCAATGTAAGAGGCTGGACTGGCGCTAGTCCTGGTGTCTTAGTACAAAAAAGTTTTGTGGCTGCTTTCCTAAACTCTTGCATTCTTATTGCATATATTAGGGGATTGATTATAGAATTGAATAAATAGAGTAAGACAAACGAGAATTCGATGCGGAGAAAGACTGCATGACATAGTTTACTCTGTATGTGATGGGCGATAACAGTCCAAATAACAAAAGGAAGAATGGTTAGAACAGAGACCACGTTAACTGTAAATAAGGTCACCGTTAGTTTCCTTTCTTTTGAAAGCGCCTGTCCAGCATTAGGGGGAAGGGGGATTGTTTTTGACAGTTGAGATAATTATGACATATGAAACTGTGAGAATGAGAAGGGAGAGAAAAATGTAAGATGAAAATACATAGGGAAATGCAGGTGATGCGCGCAAATCAAGAAGAGAAAACACACATGACAAAGTCAAGGAGAACAACCAACTATAACAAATAGTGGTGAGGTAAACCCGCTTTCCAATAAGACAATGCCTAAAGGGGAAAAGTGTTGCGTGTAACCTCTCTAACGAAATCAATGAAATATTAGCTAATGAAGCAACTGGAAACAGATCAGATAATGTCAAATACACGAATGATTGCCAGCTAAAAGCCTGTTTAAGTTCCAGGTCCCTCTCCAGTTTATCTGGTACGAAACATGATAAACGTACAAGCACTGTTCCCACTCTTCCCACCAGTAAATCAGCCACAGTCAGATTTATAATAAGGTACGTACTGGGCTTGCGTAAGTGACGGTTTCTTGTGTAGATGGCGAGTGTAAAGGCGTTCAGCAAAAAGATCACAATACACTCGATGATAAATGGTGCAAACCAGGCTCTTTCTTCTTTTTCAGAAATAATTCTACCTGTCTCACAACAAACATTCCAGCATTCTTTCATCCTCACCAAGTGTTACGGTGCCCGCTGGTATCCCTCATTTCTAAAGGAAATTTGCAAACAAAACAGCATGTTAATGCGAGAAGCAGTCACACAGAGAGAAAACAAGAAGAAAGAATGAAATAAAAAGATTCGAAAACTATAAAAGGATGACGTCTCAATTGGCCCATAAACGTTGTTAACAGATGTCCTACCGAGTACTCCTAGCAAAGCAAGAAAACTGCTATATTTTCATCCAAAGCAAAATATTCATAAATAAAAAGTTAATCTTGCATTGATGTATCGCTAAATGGGAAGGAGGCATTTACCCTCCCATATCTATGACAAGTAATACATCAGGTCAAATAGAAAAACGATGTTCCGAAATTTGAGCAAAATAATGACAAAACTAAGCTTTTCTTTTCTATTTCTGGTCGTAAATATAGACGATCGACAGCTAAAATTTGTCTATCGGTCTGTCTATTTGTGCGAGTTTAGGGTCACTTATACTGTAAAAGCAATTGAGAGTGCCTTGTGGCTTGAAATTTAGGCGGGAGTTTATTGCTGACACTACCTGTCTGCGATTTGCGGGTACAAATTTTTGCAAAATCGTGGATTCCACAATTGTGGATAAGACACGAGCCTAGGCCATATTTTAGGTACGACTGATCTGGCAATTCGTAGAGGATGTTATTTTAATTCATATTTTCCGTTTGTCATAAAGTCGTCCAAATGGAGTTCAAAGCTACGACGGCGCTATCCCCCCTGCCATTTTTTCATATATTCAACCAAAAACGTGGTGAAACTCTTCGTGCTAGAAACGTTTCGACGCTTGCACGCTTTTAAGGCCTGTTTCAAACGTCGTGCTACTGCTGTGCTAAGCTGGCTCGACTGTAGCTCGACTGCAGCAAGACAATAGCACTACTTGGTTTCAGACGTCGATTTAATTTAGTCGAATAGAACAGCTGTTGCCGAAAACAAAACGGAAAAATAAATAAACGGTTTGGCAAGCCTTTAAATGTGTTCTAATGTATTTATGATTCATGAATTGAGTTCGGCACGGCGGTAGCACGACGTTTGAAACCAACTCGGGCTACTACTGTGTAGCACGGCAAGGCTTGCCGTGCTACACGGCAGTAACACGACTTGGTTTCAAACGTCGCGCTACTGCCGTGCTAAAGTCGAATTTAATTGGATCAATTGAGTTCGGCACGGCGGTAGCAAGACGTTTGAAACGGGCCTAAGTTACTTAATACGAACCTTTTGATAAGACTACGCTCATGATACTACAAGTACGGGCATGACTTTTCAAACGCAGCCCTTGTGCTTTTGATAATCACTTTTTAGGTAGTACACCACCTGTGCCATCCTGCCTATCATTTTTGAGTTAGTTCTGAGAATATAACAGGACTGAAACTTAAAATTCGTACTCGTAGTTAACGAGAAAATATCTAAGCATAACGCTTCATTTTGATATTTTTGGCCTTCATGTCATGCATCCGTTTAGAAAATCCTCGAAATCCGCCAAAAATCATATCCCTTTAAAGTTTTGCTTCACATCATATGTACAGTATCTCTGACTATCGTAGAACAAAAAGAAAGCACGTAAAGAACTCATAACTTCTTTTGGGCCCTTGGACTTAAAACTCACCGATTATGTCCATGTCCTATATTCTTTTAATACACTGCTTTGTTTGTCAGAGTTCAACATTTTGCATTTATTTCGCAATAAATTAGCCCAAATTTAGAGAATTAAAATGAACAGGTGAATTATATGCAAAATCATTTGGTTTCAATTTCTCGAAAACAAAGTTTAATATATAATTTCATCCTTTACTGAGCTGTTGTCTCTTCAGTTTAAGTCCAGCTCTCTGAACTCTGTATTTTTACTAATAATCTTCCTTATAAGTTTATCAATATATTACTATTTGTTAAGCAATCTCGCTCTCCTTGCGCGTTTACGCTAAAAGCAAAAAGAGGTTCCTTCGTGAATTTGGCAAACGTCACAACAGTTTTATTGTTGTCTTGACATTCGTCCATTATCATTTTTGATGAAGCGTGCTCCCAAGTTAAGATGTTATCACAGTGCTATTAGTGAAAAGAAAATATATCCCGGTTTCTCAGCTATGTTGCAGATAGGACGGTATAGAACCATAGTGAAAGTAACGCGGCCATAGAGCCTATCATAACTTTATACAAATTAAGACTGAGTAGAAACTAAAAGAAAAAAAGCACAAAAATAAAAAGCAAATTTGTCGTACATGAATAAATTATGCACCGCCCATCTTATATTAAGCCTCCTTTTCCTCATTTTAAAACCCTATATATGCAGACTGGACCGGCGAGTATTATGACAAAATTATTTGTCTAATACCGATACCCTGCAGCAAATCGTCTCTGAAATCAACAGTTGAGCGATTGTGGCGGCGCGATTTCTTTGCTGGAGCGAAGCTGAGCCACGCCGATCTCGAAAGTGGAGCGTCACATATCTGATAGGTTTTTTGCCATACTTTGGTGCCGTGTGAAAGTTGAATAAAGCTTTCTGGTGCAGAAGGTTTCTGAGTATAGAGGGGTGGGGAGGGCTATGCTAGATTCTATTCACTGAAAGTCTATTTTTATGGAGGGGGGATTGGGTCAGTGTAAAATATAGGTTCGATTAGGGGCCACCCGTGAAATGTTTTTCCGACTGAAAAATCCTCATAGCCCTTACCCACAATGAACGTCCTCAAACAGATAGGAAAACCTATTCCTTAGAACGATTTATGATAATACTACCGTAGGTAAGCTGTGGTTGCCATAGATACCTTTGACATACACTGTCTAAACAGCCTTCAATTCCATACTGCATATAACAGGTGCTTTTCAAGTACCCTCAGAGAAAATCCTCTTATTGATTCCGCTTGCTAAAAAACTGATAAAACGTTTTTAAACCGTTTCATTCAGCTTAGAAATATTCATCTCTAAGGCTCACTAATCGTATTATCAAATAGCGTCGACATAGAAAAAAGTTCAGCGTAAAAGTGCATCAAAATATGTCGCTTTATGGAGCAATAATTCTGCGTTAATCAATTATAGTAGCTGAGCTCGAGCGGAATAACACGTAATATAATCGACCATGTATTTGAATGTCTCTTTTAGGGAATGATAAATGAGTTAACATGACCGCATCGCAGTTGTGAATTAGGGGCAGGTCCTTCTTCGGAATATCCCTTAGTTATGGAAGAACACGAATGATCATCCTAAACTTGTACAGAAGTAACAGTTGCTTAGAAGTATGTAAAAGGCGCGCGCCCCGTTCTTTCTTGCGCCCTATTACTTCCAAGCGCCTGCTACGCAGGCTAGGACAGAAGTCACTGTAGACACTCATCTTTTGATTAAACTAGTTGTTTCCTCTAGACATAGTTACTCACTTTAGCCTTCTTCTTTTCTTTTATGAGTAATTTTTCGAGGAAACTCACGTGTAGGTAGTCATCTTTGCGATAAATTTGATCCCTGCCTGGAAAACAGGCTAGATGAGCAGGTGAAATTTATGCAACTTTTAGTAAATACGAAATTAATAATTACTCTTCCTTTTTAGGTTGGTAAAATGATAATAAAAAAGAAGTGAAGACGAAAATGTAAAAGAGGACGCTCGGAACCATTAATTTAGCAATTATTGGGTAAGGATGAGTATGATATGAAGATTTATGGAGATCGAGAAGCTAAGGTATTTTCCGAAGAGGCGGATAACAGCTTCCTATTTCTGCATAATTCTTTAAATTATAAGAAAGCTGAATCCAAGAATTGTTTTATTATTGATTTAAAATAATTCCTAGTTTAAAAACAAGCTAAAACATCCTTACCTCGATGTTAAGTCCCATTCTTCATTTGACTGTTTCAGAGCGAGTTCAGGATATTAAACAATTATTGCACGAATGCGTTTTGGATATGAGTTGGCTATAGTCATCTCATATCCAACTAACGCGAGTGGAATAATTGTTTTATTAAAAACGCCCACAAAATATAAATACTGTTTTTAATTTTGAGCAGACGCGTACAGTTACAAAATTTGGAGAACATGGTAAAATGGCAAAATTACCATGATGGCTAAGCCAATCAGAGCTCTAGAATTACATTATCCAATGATTCAGTTTTTAATAAAAAGGAATGCCTAGTTCTGCAGATGTTCTTAAAGTAGCAGTTGTCCTTCGAGTTGTGTGCTGATGTTCTTTCTATGCTTTGAGGCAGTATTCTGGCTACTTCTTCTTCGCAAAGCTGTTCCACCATTTTCCACATGATTCTAATGCTTTACCAAAAAAACGAAACCTCGTGCCCAGGACTTCTCGGTTGCCCCCTTTTCTATTAACGTTTTATTCCGGATATCAAAAACATCTTCCAAATTTGTTCAGCACTAGCTGGTTATTTAGAATAACCCGTGGGATCTGAGCCAATCAAAAGCGGAGATATATTTTGAAGGAATCGAATGACAATGATGCTTCGGTACTTTGCAAGTCTCTTTTAAGGTGGCTCCGTAATTAATACAAGAGCATTTAGCTGTGACAAATTTTCCGTCATAACTTTTTCGATTTTAACGCGATGGCTGCGAAACTTTGCAAAGAACAACATATATCATTCGGCAATAATACGAAATATTCCGATTTCATTGATGGTAAATATTTCTTGAGAAATTAGCGCTTAAAAGGACCCTAATGTTCGAAGAAAATCGCGTCTAGTAAAAAAATTTGCTGATATTTTTTACTGAAATTTCTGGTATCGGCTTTAATTGATATAATAAATATGCCAGAGGAATTTCAGAAAAATCGTTGGAGCAGAAGTCCGTAACTAAAAGTCGCTCAAAATTCAGCTGCGAAATTGTTTTGGAATTTCAAAAATAAATTACTATCAGGAAGAAGGAGACACCAGTTTGAATTTTCGGGACAAGTAAATTCAATGTTTGCTAATTCTGAAAACAAAAGCCGATTGGCTATCGTGCTATTCTTTAAAAGGTACTTTTCAGTTTTAGAAGCACTACAAATTGCTCCAAACCTTGCTCTGAAGTAGAATGACTTGTTCCTCGACATTTTTAAAATATCCCTTGGCAGTTTTGGTTCAAACTCCTGCTACATACATTTTGATGTATTGCAATGCATCCTCAACGGCTTTTCTTGCTGTACGTTGTTTCCAATTCAGGAAAAAGGTATTGGGATTGTAAGCTACCTTGTTTCGAAGCTCAGATAGAACTGTCCAGCACCTTTGTTTATGACCAGAAAATGAGCACGTGCGGCAGCTCTGCGAGGAATTCGCACCTCAGCCAGGGGGGACGAATGATAATGATACCCATGTCTGAGAACCGATCTGTATAAACATGTATTGAAGAGCAAAACATAATAATCAAGAAAAAATACCCATTCATTGAAGGAAGGAGTGACAAAAATTTCAGAGTTGTAAATTTATTCACGGGCAGTATTTTTGCGATAATTTTATTTTGCACTGTGATGTTATTCGGTTCACAGGCATGGTCATCATTGTCGTTCGTCCCCCCTGGGTAAGGTGCGAATTCCTCGCAGAACTGCTGCTCGTGCTCATTTTGTAGTTATAAACAAAGGTGCTGGACAGTTCTATCTGAGCTCTGATACGACGTAGCGTCCAATCTCAATACTTTTTTCCTGAGTTGGAAGCAACGAACAGCAGTAAAAGTCGTTAAAAATGAATTGCAATACATCAAAATGTATGCAGCAGGAGTTTGAGCCAAAACTGCAAAGGGATATTTTAAAAATGTCGAAGAACAAGTCATTCTACTTCAGAGCAAGGTTTGGAGCAATTTATGGTGCTTCTAAAACTAAAAAGTACCTTTTAAAGAATAGCACGATAGGCAATCGGCTTTTGTTTTAAGAATTAGCAAACGTTGAATTTACTTGTCCCGAAAATTCAAACTGGTGGCTCCTTCTACCTGATAGTAATTTATTTTTGAAATTCCAAAACAATTTCACAGCTGAATTTTGAGCGACTTTTAGTTACGGACTTCTGCTCCAACGATTTTTCTGAAATTCCTCTGGCATATTTATTATATCAATTAAAGCCGATACCAGAAATTTCAGTAAAAAATATCAGCAAATTTTTTTACTAGACGCGATTTTCTTCGAACATTAGGGTCCTTTTAAGCGCTAATTTCTCAAGAAATATTTACCATCAATGAAATCGGAATATTTCGTATTATTGCCGAATGATATATGTTGTTCTTTGCAAAGTTTCGCAGTCATCGCGTTAAGAACCAAAAAGTTATGACGGAAAATTTGTCACGGCAAAATGCTCTTGTATTAATTACGGAGCCACCTTAAGAACATCAACAAAATGTGCATAGTTTGCTATTTTGTTGTTTTTATTTTGAAGAGCAGGATTTGCTTTCAGTCCACTTTATTTCACCTTATTAACAAATTAGGTACACATTGCATAATTGTCTCTAGGTAAATTTGATGCTACAGCCTATCAAGGGATAAGCGGAATTTAATAAATATATGTCGATATATGTTGAAGCGAGCAACCATCAGGCTACATGATAAACCTAGTGTTGAGCCCTACGACAGACACAATTTACGTCTTTATGATAACTAAAGTTAGTTATTCACTATATATCGTTTTCAGTCAACAACCAGCGATTAAACTTGTTCAAAATTAAAGGTAAAACCTCAGCGTTTTAAAAACAAGCCACAGTCAATCCACATTGTTCTACTTTGCTTTACTTCTCACCTTTTTAAATTGCTAAAATGAAAAGAAGCAGTAAAGTGGAAAAAAAAATACTATGCTATTCTTTGGCCACAGAAATGTTAAAAACTATATTTCCATACCTTTTCTTAAATAAGTTTTGTTACGCCGCAAAATGTAATAAAAATTTTCAAACGCAACATGAGATAACTTTTCTAACGCATAATGTAATAACGCAAAATTTAATAATATGACATGCATTATATTTTGAAGTCAGTATTGTGGCTCAGTAATCAGTAGCAGATTCAGATTTTCATTTAAACTACAGGTTATTATTATTGTTAATATTATTCTTGATATTAATATTAATATTATTATAAATATTATAAATTAAATAACAGTTGAAATAAGGAGAAGCAATCATCTATAGAGAACCGAATCGTACATTTGTTTCCGTTTTTGAATGTAATACAGGTGCCAACTCAGGAGCATTAGTAGATTCTTCTGTTCAATTATTGCACATTTTCTGTTAGGTGTCTGAAGCTACAAAAGGCAGAATTTAGGTTGACAACTGGGGAAATGCGTCGAGAGATAAAAAGGGTGATCTCTTAGGGCGATTAACACTCGCCGTCAAAAGCACTTGACTTTATTGTAAAAAATAGTTCTAATTAAAGAGTATTCCTCCGACTGTTGGTGTGAGTATATCCCTGACTACTCAAACCAAATGAATAAGACGTACTACACAATACAACTTGTGCGTTACCGGGCAAACACAATGTTTTTGTGGCATCAGCTCAGCTCTACTCCAAAGAAAAACATTCCGTTGCTGGGCGAACTAAAAATTTTTAATTTTGCGCTGTCTGCTTCTGAGGCAAACAACAACTACTTTGCCAGGTAAACTGTTTGGATTCTATAAAGCTTGAGAACTTCAAAATAAAAGAAATTTTGACTAAAAAATACAGCATTAAAGACACATTCAGAACCTCGATTAAGTGAAAAATTAGCAAAAAGTAAACTTCCGCTAAAGTTAGCTGGTTCTCGTGAAAAAAAAAATGTGACAGATCGGATATCTTTTATTACGTGCTTTTTCACTATTAGGCCCGTTTCAAATTTCAGGTTACTGCCGTGTCGATAGAAATTCGGTTTAAGCACGGCGCTTTGCAAAATTTGGTTTCAAAAGTCGTGTTACTGTCTGGCCGAACTCAATTCATATATTCTAAATGCATTTGAATAATGCATTGAAATTTGATCAAAGCGTTTTTATTCCTTGTTTTTGACAGCAGCTATTTTAATCGAATGACTTACATTTTGTGTTAGTATTACAATTTGCAGCGACTAATACATTTTGCGGCGTAACAGGTTTTCTTAGCCTGGCAATTTAGTAAAATGTAGTGAAGGGAGAAGGGAGAAGCGCGAGTTGGGAAATAAGTTTCCAGTTCATCTATAGCTTTTTCGACAAGGTGATTTTTTATTATCAGTTATCATTTTTTTATTATCCAAGATCAATTATAAAGGATTTCCCTGCGCGAAAGAACTCCACTTCTCATTAACCAATTACTAAAATTTAAAAAGTGTTTTTTGATTCCTCAAAGTTTGTTAACCTAAGTCACTGTCCGCATTTTTGCTACCACCCAATCATTATTGATTAATCAATTTATTTCTCAATTTGTTTTCATTACGTACTATACAGCACGAAGTTCAATGGACTCCACAGGCATCGACTCTCTATAACAAAAAAGTTTCCTGGCTGCTTTCCTGAATTCTTGCATTCTTAAAGCGTATATTATAGGATTAACTATGGAATTACATAAATATATGGCAAAAAATGTAAGGTGAAAGCGACAAGTTATCGAAAGGCTCAACTCTCCCCATATGTGTATCAACATAGCTACCCAAACAGCCCAAGGTAGAATGGTCAGGAAGGACGCCGCAGTCATTACAAATAAGGTTATTGATAGTTTCTTCTCTACTAAAAGCTTTGATCCAAAAATATGTGATTGAGGGCTGCTTTTGACATTCAAAATAATAATAACATAACAGACTGTGATAATAAGAACGGTAATAAAACAGTAAGACGCAAATACGTTAAAAACCACTTTAAGCTGTTCACGTAAAACAACTAAAATGGCCATCATAAATGCAAAAAGTAAGGCTAAAAGCCAGCTCAATGTAATCACCCCAAAGTATACTTGTTCACGTATCAGACAGTGTCTAAAGGGATAAATTGTTGCGTGCAACCTCTCTAACGAAATTAATGAGAGATTAGCTAACGAAGCAGCTGGAAATAATGAGTTCAGGGTTAAGTACAGAAATGCATACCATGGCCCGTTGAAACTTTCTCTAAGTATATTTTGGCTCTCCAGGATATCTGGTTCGAGTAATGGTGGAAGAACAGCCGCCACTCCAAAAAGTAAATCAGCTATAGTCAGATTTATTACCAAGTACGTACTGCGCTTGCGTAAGTGACGGTTTCTTGCGAAAGTGGCGAGGGTAAAGAGGTTTATCAAAACAATGACAATCAATTCGGTGAGTAAAGTTGCCATCCATATGCTCTCTTCTTTTTGGAAAAGCCCACTGTCATTATAAGCTCTGCAATGGTTCATTCCAACAGGTTAAGTGTTCCTCTTGTTGCATTGGACGCTAATATGGTTCTTCTTTGATAAAACTATAAGAAAATGAAATAAAACATCCTATGTTAGAATGACTCAGAGGAAACAGAAAAAGATGCAGCAGTCAAAGGATAAAAAGAACAAATTTGTTGAAATGGTTTGCCCGAGGCACCCACCCATGCATCTTACTCTAACAGAATCTAATAGGTCAGAGGTGTCTCTGCAAGTATGTGTTGAGCTGACGTGCCCCGGAGGTCATTTCATTTCTCCCCAATTGATGGCTAGAAGCATACATGCATTCATTTGTTATAATAATAATAATAATAATAATAATAATAATAATAATAATAATAATAATAATAATAATAATATATCTTTCAGACTGAGGAGCAAAAGAGGGAGATTAATCAAGACCTAGGAGTAGAGTGACAGTAATACCCATCATGATTGGTGCACTTTTAACTGTCTCGGGGAATGCATAGACCGCCTAGTAGGGGATGTTAAGTCTACTAGATATTTTTGGAAGCGCACAGTTGTCAATCACCCTTGATACTGCCCATATCTTGTTATGTCTCTAACCTGCGGGATTGCTGCTGAGACATGGCTGAGAATCCCCAGAAAAAGACCTGGAGAGGATCACACCATAATAATGATAGATTTAGAAGCTCCTGTAAAACCAGAGTAATATAAAAAGGAAACGGTAGAAGAAGAAGAAGTGAAATCATGGAGAGAAACGAACATACATGGTCAGTTTCTGAGGCGGCGGGAAGAAGAGGGTGTTGACATCAACGGAAGAATTTGGAATCCAGAACTGAAGCGAGAATCTGTCGTGACCTGTGCGGCCCAAGAATAAGCTTGGAGGTCGTATTATATTAACACTTAGAGCTAGAAGGTGGAAAATGAAAATAGAGACGACACCAGTTGTTATTGGGGCGCTAAGGGTCCTTAAGAAGTAGCCTGTGAGCAAGCTCTCCGGGGCGCTCTGGCAAAAGAAAGGAAAGCTTGCAATTACGTCTCTGGAATTTGAATATCGGCATCGAAAAGGTCGATGCGAAATGCTGATTGGCGGAGATGACATTAGTAATGACGTCATTACCCTTGGAACGTGTTTTTCAATTTTTGTTTACATTCGCGCTTGTTTCCGCTTCGTGCTGATTATCGGAAAGTTGACAGCTCAGTCGACAGGGAAAGACAGGGGAATTGGAGGTGGAATTAAAATTCCAGAGACGTAGTTACAAGCTGCTCTTCCATTTCCCGCCCCGCCGCCTTAGTGCCCGGGGAGCTTGCTCGCAGGCTAATTAGGAAGGGGCTGGAAAAGTACGTTGACAGAACTCCAAGAACAACTAGCGTCAGGGTGCTCCAAAAAGTACTCTTCAGCTAACTCTTTGCTCCTTGAGGGCCATGGTTTGGACTCTGTGCTTCAGAGATTAAACAAGAAGGCCAAAGATTACAATAATTCTATAACAATAATAATAATAATAAGGAGAAAAAGAAGACACTGAAAAAAGAAGAAGAATTTCCACTACCTTTTGGGTTTCCTTACCACTTAGCTTTTCGAACCATCCTATAACCTTGATAGCGCTCCTTTAAGATATTTTTACAAGTCTCTCGAGAAACATCAGCAAACAACGAAGAGAGGACAGTTCATATGTGTGGTTCGACGATGAAAACAGTGATGAAAATATATACAAGTTGGTATGTCACAGAAAATTTCAATGGATTTTTTTTTCTCCACGGAGATCAAAGTCATGAAACGATTCTCATTAGAGAGAGAATGAGAAAACTAAAATTTTATTACCAAATACGTTGGACAGTTATTACAAATTGCAACATCTATCAGTAATCTTTTATATTACAAAGTGCGGCACGGTTTATTACAAATTGCGACAATAATTACAAAGTGTGATAAATTTATTAGAAATTAGGACAGGTATTAGGAGGTGCGATGATTATTACAAACTGCAACAGTATTATACTTAAAACGTTCAATTTTATCTACCCAAAAACGTATTTCGAACTTTTTGTCTGTCATCTTTTCTATTCTTTAAACAAGTTTTTACCCTCTGCAACTCCCACTTATTTATGCCGCGCCATCTTGACGGGCAAGGTTTTGATCGGTCATTCTAAAGCCAAGTGCCTAACCGTAGGTAAAGAGAAAATTCTTGAGATTAACTCCTCACACTTTTGTTCTCACTGTAATGTGCCCTCTCCCTCCCCAATGTTGAGCCACGCGTATTGAAGCACTGGGACCATTGAAATACCCAAATCAACTCTGGGGAAGGGGAAACGCACACAAGTGTTTCAAGATTTTTGACGAGGATTGTTGATTATCATTTTATCAAATTTTAAGGAAATGAGAAAAAAATTGCAATTTATGCGTTAAGGCTGCATCTAAATATTTTTCTTTATGGAAAATGAATGTTGCATTCATTAAAACTCACAGCTAGAAATATATCGAATGGAAATACTCTTCGTTACGCTGAATCTGATAGGCATCTTCTACCGTCAACAGTAGATTTGGTATTCTAATGTTCAATGCTTCAAACCTCTGTATTTTTTTTTTACAATTTTTTTGTGCGGTTATACGCGTCACTTGAGAATTACCCTTTGGTGAAAGAAAAAAAAAATGATCACCCCAAACATGTACAGAATTCTTTCTAATTGTAGTTGCTTCCTCTTTGTATACTTACTCGCTGTAGCCGTCTTCTTTCTTCTTTTGAGTAGCTGATAATACAATTCACCCCTTTTGCATTTACTTCGATAGAAATTTGGTCCTCGCATTGAGAGCCGATAAGCAGGTGAAATTTATGCAGCTTTCAGTAACTCCCATGATAATTACTTCTCCATTCTAAGTAAGGCTAGCGCATGTACCTAAATTTAATGACAGCCCAATGCGTTGAATAATATATGAATAATATTTACGTTTGTCTTTAAAAGTCATCTGACTTCTCAAGAAACAGTTTTATATCGGAACTGACAAGCCTGAGACTCTGAAAGCAGTTACTTAGTGTTGTCCTTATGTTGGTCGCCATATGTTCGTTATTTGATCAAAGTTCCCCCATCAAATGTTTCCTAATATTTTACATGACAGTTGATTATTCCCCTCAATGGCCTCTTGTTTCTATAAGCAACTAGCAACAAACAAGAATGAGAAGCGATATCGAAACAAATTTTTGGAACAATAAGGCCATGTCATGACACACCATTCTCCTTACCAGAGCTGTGATCTTTTTTATCAGCGCCACATACCGAGAGCTCTGGCTGGCGCCGATAGAAGCAGAAAATCCTTAAAATATATACGGACTTTGACTTTCTAGACCATATTCCCTAAGGAAAAGGGGTGGGGACTGGAGATGGCAGCCTGCGTAGCTGACGATTTCTTCCGGGTAAGCGAAAAAGAGCTGCCAGGTTTCGAAGGCGCCAGGGAGCAAGTAAAACGCTAAAAAAAGATAAGCATTTTCCTGTATTAGCTGGGTTAAACCCTCTGTAGGTCCCTCTGTAAGATTTTTGATCGATGTGAGAGAAGGTCCACTCTGTACTCTCATCAGGCACAGTCAAATTCATTATCAGATTCGCATTACGTAACTTACATCTTTTACTTTAATAATCGATGAGAGTTCAAGCGTTCACTTTAAAAATGATAAGAGACTTGTAGACAGAAAGAAGGCAAAGATACGTCTTCTTCGGAGACGTTCACAAAGACGTTTACTTACCGTGGTTAGTATAACCTAACCCTAATTTTTTTTTTATTTAATGCCTATTTTATTTAATGCGTATGTATTGCACAGTAAATTTGAATATTACAACTGGTTTCCTTCCCAGCTGAATATATTGTTGTTTTGTTTTGCTTCGTTGTCTTTGTTATAGTTATTGTTATCTGTTTGTTTGTTTTTGCTGTTGTTCGAGTTGTCTCTATACATATAAGTGATGTCTATAAAAGATGAGCGGTACAAAGTTACGCTGTAGAAGGAGGAGGTCTAGGAAGCTGCTCTTTGTATCCACTGAGCGTCAAAGAAAGTTCTTTTTGCTGGAGACAAGCCAATGTAAAATACAAATTTGATCCCTAGGGGACCACCCTTAAAATATTTTCCAAACTGAAACATCCTCATAGCCCTCAACCGTAAATAATAAACGCCGTCCTAACCCTCGGACGTACACGCAATTCATACCCCCACCGTGGCACAAGGGGAGTGGGGGGGGGGGAGGTTGAAGGAACCCCTCCCTGCAGTTTTTGATATGTTGCAGTATATATTTCGAAACGATTTTGCTTTTAGTGGAAAGCCTTTGATCTTCTCAACGAGATGAGGTATATTTTGTGGGTGGTGGCGCTGCTGGAGGCCTGTGACGGCACCAACAATGGTCGCCATTTTGGCCGCCATTTTGGATTTTACCAAGAATTAGAAATCAGGTTAAACCCCCTTTTGGTGCTTGAAACGTAAAATAACACATAAATAAACACTTTCCATCATTTCATCCACAAGCTGTACTTTTATTGTTGAAAGAAGTTGAAAAACTTGCAATTTAATTCAAAAATGGCTTGACCACCTGCTACGTCATATCTCGTAACCACAGTAGCTGACCATCACTAAACTTGTCAGGTGCTGATGTTTTATCGTCTAGGAAAAAAAACTCAAAAAAAAAGAGGGGGTGGCAAAAACCACCTCCTCCCCCACATCCCTCCACCTTGAATAATGTACGTCCCAGGGTTAAGAGTTTTTCCATGTTGGTTGTCATAGACACGTTTGACATAAACTGTCTAATCATCCTTCAATTCCAAACTACAGTTTAATAACAGGTGCTTTCACTACGCTCGCTTAAAAAAAACTGATAAACATGTTTAGCTTAGAAATATTAAACTCAGCTAGCTAATAGTGAGTTATTGGATAACGTCGACATGGAAAACAATTCGGCATAATGAATAAAAGTGCATAAAAAATTCTGTTTTTTGGACAGAAAATGTTGCATTAATTTATCCTTTTATTGGCGAGAGCAACTTATAATTTCGAATGGAAATATTCTCGTAACGTACGAACCTGAATTCGAAAGGATGGCATACCTTTTATCCTTATCAACAGTGGATTTGGATGTCTTTTTAGAGAATCGTAAATGAGTTAACATGGCAGAAATGAATTAATAACACTCCTTCCTCAGAATAACCATCACATGGGAAGTATCACTTAGCTATTACAGATAAACCGTCCTAATGATCGAATGATCGATAATCCCAAACATGCACAGAAATGACTGCAGTCACTTAGCTTTTGATTAGAATAGTTTCTTCTTTTAGAATACTTACTCGTACTTTAGCCTTCTTCGTTCCTTATATGAGAAATTTTATGAGGAAACTCACATGCTTACATTCACTTCGCGATAAATTTGATTCCTGGATGGAGAACAGGTGAACGGGTGAAATTTATTCAACTCGAGCAAACATGAATTTAATAATTACTTTTCCCTTTTAGGTGAGGCTTGCACAATTTAATTTATGACAGCCCAGCGTTATATATGCCTTTCGAGAAGCAACTCATTACATAGAGCAAGCCAATAACCCACTTTCCATGTGTTAAAATTCTAACATGATTCCGAGGCTTTGTGATCATTTTTCTGAACTTGGTTTGGTTTTCTTTGTGCTCAAGTCTCTTCTGGGTATTTCGAGACAAAGAGTCGTGAAAAATTTTCAATTTTGTCGCTAAAGCCTCGGAGTCATGTTAGAATTTTAATATATCGAACGTGGGCTAAACGATTGGTTTTGGAGGCAGAACATTGACCTTCCGGTTGTCCACATGTTTCATTTTCCGTCACGTGCTCTCTCACGTGTCCTCACACTTCGCATGATAACTGACAATAGGCAAACTTCGTATTCTCCTACGGCCCTGGGACATTTAGCATGATCGGCGAGGCTAATGCGCGTCAAAATACAAACAATCATAAGAAAATTGCGGCTCAATCGCTGGAAAACGATGGAAATCATGAAAACAGTAAGATTTCAAAGCTCAAACTTTACCAGTGCCGGCTCTGTTTCAAAGAACAAAACTGTGGGAAGATCTGGTCGTGCTAACAGAGAAATGAAAAAAAAAAATGAAAAAAGAAAAAAGCACAAGGCCAATAGACAATAGAAGAAGTAAGCTAATGAATTTTGTCAAAATTTCTATATTCGATTCATTTTAATTTTCATATTTCTTATCCATATCTTATCAGTTTTAGTCGAGTGTATATCTGTTAAATGGAGCAATTCATTGCCAAACTGCTCAGTATTTCCGTGTTTGCCGGCGTAAAGGTCTGTGTCCCACTTCTCGTCGAGTGACATGTGACAGAAAAAGCCTATTTCGATGAATGTAATTAGCTACATTTATAAGCTTAAATAAACTTTACTTTTTAAATCATCTTTTTTCATTTCGGTGGAAGAACCGTATGCTGAAAGTCATCCCCGTCCTCATAAATGATTTTCCACCGAACGTACTTGTTCGGAGTTTCAAATACACAAGATTTATCTTTCATCCCCCCCGTTAGAAAATGTCAACTGAGAAATAGATGTTTTAACTCTCTGAATTGCAGGCTTTCCACACATAAGTAGAGACAGTTTCTGTGTACGTGTAACACAGCAACAAGCAAACGTGTGAAGCGTTACCTAAACAAATGTGTGAGACAGTGTGTGTCAGTACATATCGCTGCAAGAGCTCTGCTTCTTTAACAACTCCCCTCTGCCACATCCACCACAAACTTATAAACGAAAGTTACGGTTGATAAGGTTTTACTCGACAACTGTACTGTGAAAAGATAAAAAGTATGGCTAAGTGCCAGAGGCAATTTGGAAATGAGTTACTGTCCAATTCTACAACGGCTGAAAGTGAGACCTGGGACCCGTTCTTGAAAGTCCAGCTAACATTATGGAATCCGGAAAAAAAAACCACTCCGAAAACCGAATAACTGTGAAGTTTAGTGAACAGGGTTAGGAAATTGATTGAATCAAGTTTCAGGTCAGTTTGCTCATTATAATGACTCTAAATGGAAAATGATTCACCCAGTTTCCTAACCCTAATCACCAAACTACAGGGTCATTCGGCCTTCGGCTTGTGCTTCCGCCGGATTCCGGGTTTTAGGCAAATCCTAAGGGGCCCGCTAAGTCGCCCGGTATTTGCACCCCCACCTCCCCCGCCGACCCACAAAACAAACAAACAAGCAAAACTTACGTTGTTGTTTACTTTATTCTATTTTTTACTCTGAGAATTTTCTTTTTATCGACTAATACAAACTACTGATTTTCTTTTAAGTCCCTCTCAAAATGTTCTACGAACTCAAGAAGGCAGTTGCGTCTGTTATTCTTCAAAGGGGCCTTGTCACGAAACTCTATTCCTTAACACGACAATGCTTACTTCATTACAACTGCGGTTAGCTCGAGTCAGTTTAAAGTAAGCTGTACGACTTGAGGCCTGTTTGTCGTGTTTGCATTCAAGATCAAAGTTTCCATAATTTTCAAAATGAAACCGTGAAACTATTAACGAAGTTAACGAAGCAAAATTGACTGATTTGTGTGAAGAACTGCGCTACTATTCAACAGGTTTTAATTTTAAAATTTGCCTTCAGGCCCGAAAAAGACTTTGGAAAAACGGGCCCAAGGTTCCAAGCGGTCACATTGGCTAGTATAGCGCGCGAGAAAGCCCCCCTTAAATATCCTACAATTTTAACACTACATATTTCTTAAAAATACTTTACTTAAGAAAAGTAGATAAATCTCTACCAGTATAAATAAACGTTAAATAAATCCAGCGTTTCCGTACGATACGCAAGCATTTGATAATGTCACAAACATGTATGAAAACCCTACTAAAAATGCATTCCATAAAATATTTCGTAGATTGAATTTCCGTTTTTACATGCACTATTTAAAGGCTGACTGATGACATGATAAAAATGAATTCACAACGACTGAAATCGTTAAAATATCGCTAAATAGGCCATTTGCACGATGACGTCATTTTACTACCACGACCAGAATCCTTCAGGTTTTGTTTTCTTATGCAAATTAGGGCTTTTGTTATTTAAACCTCGCAGGGATTACCGAATTTTAATATGAAAGTTAAAACGGAAAGGATTCTGGTCATAGTAGTAAAATGAAGCCATCGTGCGAATAGCCTTTCGAGGTCGGGTTACCATGGTAGCAATATTTCTGGATCCCAACAATCTTTCTTGACAGAGACGACCATTTGCACTGTCCAACGATGGTAGAAAAGTTTGGGCTAACGTTTTGCTCCGGATTGCAATCATGCCCGGGAAAGCCATACATGTGAAACTTTGTTTATTTTTTCCCTACCACGAATTGCTGAGATCTGAAAATTTTGCTCCCATGATAACGTGACGTAACGGCTTCTCCTCTCTATTGTTCACTCCACAATTGACCTTTAATTTGAAAATAAGTAAAAAGGTTAAAAACTACCAGCGAATGCCATCACGATTGTAAGAAACGTATTTCTTGATACTCGTAGAAATGGAGGTGTGCGGTTGAGAACACTCGGTACATTGTTCACAGTTACAAAAAGCGCTCTGAATGAAGTAAAATCGTTTCCGTAGAAAAAACCTACAAAGACTACTACCGCTACTTATAACTACAAATTGATGGTCAAGATTGATGATTAGTGAGTTGACCTTAAAAGGAACTGTTACTGTTACAACAAATTGACGTCAGATATGAATAAGTTCACACTCCCTTAAGCAAAAGGGGTGAAGAGGTAAACGTAAACAAATAAAATAAAAACAAAAATAATAATAGTAATAGTAATAATAATAATAATAATAATAATAACAATAATAATAATAACAAGAAAAACATGGATTCGCGAACGGAATAAAAAATAAAACAAACAATTTAACAACCAACAAAACAAAACAAAACGCTTTAGGCCTACCAAGCGCAACGAGACTGACTTTTCTTTCCTTGAACCTGAGTTGGTTGATTCCATGAGAGGATAATTATCCCCTCTTGTTGATTCTTAACAAGTAATCACGTCATATCTCACAATGTAGGATTCTCTTCATCAATAGGCAACTGCCGAGTTGCTCCAAGCCTCTGTTTCAACTCGAGGTTAAGCGTAAAGCCATTGATATGAAAATGATTTTTTGGTTCCTATGGAAATGAAAAACACCTTTGCACTTGACCTCGTTTTGAAAATGTGATTTTTTGGGGACTCGGAAACGGCCCTTTAAACGTCAATTTGTTGTTACAGCAGAGAATTGGTACACTGCACCGGTACTACTTAAATCAATCTACATGACAATGTTATAGTGTCTATCGTCTTCCGCTACAAGAGTCACCATGGGCGTGTACTTTGACGCGTCATCTAAAGAAGGGTAATACGCTATAAAATCCTCCTTATCTACTTGAGAAGGACGAATAACTTGTATGACTACTCCAAGAGTGTATCCAAGCAAACACATCTCCACCTAGAGACAACAAAGCATTGTTAAAACACGGGTAATCTATATAAAGTTGAACCTCCACTGACAGGCATCTCTCTACAACGACCACTTTCCTCTGTACCCAAGGTGGCCATTGTGGAGAGGTGCAACTGTATAAGGTCTAAATCACAAAATGTTCTATCTATGGCCTTGTCCAACAAGTGTTTATTCAAATTGCTCAGTAGTGGTAGTATCCTAACGGTACCTCAGTGTAAGGACTAGGTCCTAGCGGTAGGTTCCACTTCCGTTGGGCGTGCTTAGGCCAGAGTAGCTGGCGAGATTTAGCACGCGCAACTGTCACATTTAACGAGTTTCCTCTGGATTTTATGTCTGATTCAAAGAACATTTATAGTACACATGCAGGCAAGGGTGGAGCAGTGGTGAGAGCACTCGCCTCCCATTAATGTGACGCGGGTTCAAATCTCTGCGACGATGCCATATATGGGTTAAGTTTGTCGTTGGGTCTCTCCCTTGCTCCGAGAGGTTTTCCTCCCGGTTCTCCTGTTTTCCTCTTTCCTCAAAAACCAACTCTTCAAAATTCCAATTTGAAACGCACGGACACATTAATTTTAAGAACTCTAAATAGTTTCACGAGTAAACACATTACAACCATTTTTACAAGGGATGTTGTGTTTATGGTTTAGCGTTACTGTTAGCCCTCCATTTGAGGGAGTTGCGAGAAGTCACGCGAGAGCAGCACGCGAAAGGAGACGGGAGTGCGAGGGGCGCCCTAGTTGCTCGGTCACGTGTTCTCTCGCGGCTTGCTACACTCGCTATAAATGGAGGGATTGCTCGCAGGCTGTTACTATGCATACTTTGCTAAGCTCACCTGTTCCAGTCCTCCCGTGTCTCCCGTTCTGTTTAAATGATTAATTAACAAGCCCCGCGGCGATTCAGATGAGTCACGGGCAAACAATAGCATCGCAAATACAGGAATATCTTCCCCACGGCTGAGCATTGAATACAAGTGAACAGCGGCATCATACATCAACAGTTTGGTGGCCTCAAGGATCTTAAATTCTTCAGTTTCATGGTTGAGCAAGGACAGAGTAGATTCTATTCTTTCTGGTTGGCCAGGGAGGTCACATATTTTGCTGGTCTGTAAAGTAAATTACAATCACATGACACGTTTATGAATGGAAATTAATGAAATGACACACACGTTGGACATCCACTCTAGAAAACTAGCTGCACATGTCCATATACATTTTTGAAAAGCAAGAGGTTCAAATATCATTTATGTTGTACCTGGTTGCTGAAAAAGACCAAGAATTTCTCTAGGGTGGTTCTTATTTCCTTCTTTGGAACAGGTAATCTGTTGGCAAAGCTCCACTGGTCAAGAAAAGAATGTGAAGTACAGATCTGCAAAAGAGAAAAGCTCATGCTCAAACTCAGACTATAGGTTGAAGTGTAGATTTGGACGACACTTCCTGATTCAGGCAGTGCAGTACATGATGCTTTGCAACACACAAACCTCAGAACAAAAAGTGCCATAAATCATTAGTTGTTAGGCTGCAAAGACTTTCAAACAAGAAATAATTTAAAGCAAGAAAGAAAGACAGAAAGAAAAAGTAATTGGGGCAATTTCAAGCAAAATTTTGACTCAGATGACAAAACCACATGTACCCTTCCTAGTAGCAGACCTGTGAGGACCAGACCAATGGAGTGGTAAAAATCTCAAAGGAATGAAAAGATCAGTTTATTTACTCACTAAACAAGTCTACATGTAATTATGAAAACATAACACACCACAATCCTTGAGGTGACCTTTTCTCAAAACAAGACATAAATACAGTGGAACTTTGGTTAATACAAACACCAAGGGAACACGCCATAGTGTCCTCATTAACCAACTGTTAAACTAAACTGTCAGGTGTTGACAAAACTGTCCACTATGAATGAGTGTCCATATTAAGTGGGTGTCTGTAAAGTAGGGTTCCACTTTACCATAAGTATATTCAAGGCTGTGCTCTAAGAAAAATTGAAGGGAGCCCAGTGGCTCTGAACCTCTGAAATCCAGGGTGCCCAGCATATGATTTCTATGAAAAAACTAAGATTTTCTAGTTGCCTGGGAGCAAAAGTTGGGTGCCACTAGGCCACTAGGTGCTGCTAGGGCACAGCCTTGACATTATCAAATTAATTTTATCAGTTTGTAAGACCAAAACCTTGTCATGAGAAACACAATTAAATACCACAAAGACACACGTGTTTTATCTCAATAACATAGCATGCAAAAAAGATGTTCAGAGTAATAAATCAGCTATTACAGACATTTGACTGCACTTCTAAACCACAAAGCTGGGCTCACCTTTTCAAGTTTAGGCTTCTTATCACATGTAGCTGTAAACAAATTCAATACAGGGAGTTTTCCAGCTAACACCTGAAACAGCACTGCTCTTATTGCACAGTAATTATCTCCTCTTATTTGACGAAGATGGTGACACCCGGTAAGTGATGATATGCGACCATATCCCTGCAAAATACACACAGAACTTGAATGAACACTGTACATGTACCTACAGCTACTTACAGTAAACCTGCTGTACTTTGTTCTTGCTACATTAACAATATTGGACAAGGCTGAGAATGGTACATATGTTTGAATGAAGCATTCTGCAGATTGTGGGAAAACACAATCTAGTAGTGACTTAATACTACCTTCCATGGTTTTTTCAACTTTTGACAGGGACCAGTTAGCAAATATCCATCAATACCACAAGGAAAAAACACTTTAATCACAGTAAATTTGCCAAGTTTGCAACATCGCAAAATTACGATGATGCTTTGCCTCAGCATGTACGGTGGGGGACAACCACCATACAAACAATAATAATAATAATGCCTTTAATTAATGAGCATAACACTAAATAGCCCAAGGCTAATAAACTTGTGGCCCTCAAAACTACTGAACATCTGTAGAATTTCTCCACCTTAAGGAGCATCTTTGCTGGCCTTTGAAGTATCACCTTTAAACTTGGTAAGTTTACTCAGTTCACTATCTCCAGCAGTGTTGATGGATATATTTTGCTTACTTAAAGTTACTTGAAGGAAAAGTAACCATGTGACCAAGGAAAAGGTAGTAACTATGTGAATGGTTACCTTTTTCATAGCAGTTGAAGTAGGCGTGTCACTTTTCCATTCTCTTAATGCATAGTCCTTAATTGGTACAGGCTCACCAACAGAAACAAGAGGCTTTAAAGCCTTGTCATCACTCAAGCTGTCAGGTTTAAAAGCATTTTCTTCATTATCAGTCTCATAATCCCCATCGTAACTATCAGTCTCTCGCTTGTCATGTGACCAAACTTGGTCAAGCTCTTTTGAGAGAGTACTTTCATTTTCAAAGTCATCACTGCTTGTATATCCCGTATCATGGTGACTTTGAACCTCAGCAAGTGGCCGCTCATCATCAATGTCTTCTACAGGGTGACGGTTTATGTCATCTGAGTCTGTCTCACAAACCTCCCCATCAGTGCACAGGGAACCCAGGCTATAGAAGCACTGAGGCTTGGGCAATGTGATTCCACATTGGGCACAAACTACCTCAGTTTTTGAGGCATTAGCCACGATATCATTAACAACAGAATTTCTGTGCGAACAAGCACTACTTGACTCTTTCTCACTTGATGTAGATATTCTGTCTTTTTTCCTACGTGTCTTACTCTTAGAATCCCGAAGAATGTGATCTAAGCTGTCACAATTATTGTCCAAGAGATTACTGTCAACATTGAAACTTTCATTGTTTGATGAAGAACAAATGGGTGACTTTTTAAAAGGGTTAAAGGATCCAATGCTAGTGTCACATTTTTCACCGAGTTCACAATGTGACAAACTGCTGTGTGAATCATTTAAATCATATTTTTCTTTTGCCTCACTCTTCATGGACATAGGTTTCTTTTGATATTCACCATCCATTGCTTTCTCAACAAAATTCTCTGAAAGACAGCGGTGAGACAACAAAGATTCTCTCTCATGGGACACAACATGAGTCCCTCCCACCCTTTCACCAAACAAGCTGGGCCGTGTTTGGTTCGAATTCATTTGATACAACCGCGGTCTCATAGTGTGTTTGTTAGATGCCTTTGGCCATGACTGAGCTCCGCTGGCTTTCGATTCAATGTCCTTAGAAGCAGAGATATTTGCTGCAACTTCAGTTAAGTCATCTTTAGTCTCCTTTTTATCACAGATATCTCCTTTATCATCTCCACTGAATATTATGTTTGCCTCTGCCTTGTCATCAGGCTCTGGACCACAGCCCTCACTTTCTTTGCTAGGAGATTGTGGATTATTTTTCTTAAAGACCACTTTAACCTCTACAATTTTCTTCATTTCTGGCAACGGAGACCTTTGGCTACGAGGCTTGTTGATTGAAGTAATGGCATCACATAAGAAATTTCTCTGCACATAAGTCTTGCTATTAAGTACAGGTGAAAACGACTTCAATGGTAGAGGTGAATGTCTTTGTCTTTTAGGGGGACTTCCTGTCTGTCCGTCTGCAAATCGCTAAAAAGAGGAATAAACCAAAAAACTATAAACATGTATTAATAAATCAATATGGTAAACCAGAGTCCCGAGCTGCAACATGTAAAACAAAAGACGACAACATGTAGAACTGCAGTTAAAGTCTCCAATTTGGCCACCCTCCTGTGTTTAGCGTTTGTGTGCCAACCCATAGTGCTTTTATTGATTGCACATGCATATGGTATTTCTAAAGCAAAACTGAGATAAAAGTTTGGATGAAATGGTATTTTAAGCACCATTTTATAATGAATATTGCAAATACACTCTGTGTAATTCGTCTCATCTACTCTGGTTGTCCAAGGCTATAACTCTATAAAATGTCAGGAGTATCTCCAAATCCAATTGCAATAGTTGGGCAGCCGTTTTATCTATCTCAAACCGCTCATGAATGTAGCATTGCATTAAGTGTCCTTTGTTCTGCTGGCCACCAATGTTTTATTTCTTGCCACCCTTCTATAGTTTTTCAAGTTGCAAAAAGGTGAATTTGAAAAACATTGTGCTTGCAGCATAGTACAGAGGTAAGCATTTCACATTGGTTTGAGTTATTGGGAGTCACTTATACAAGACATACAAAGCTGCTACAATGTCTCTGATGTTCTTAACAAAGAAATTACCTTGACTCCTTTACTAAAACTAGTTTCCATATAACAATTCAGAACAACTTTGGTAAGTGATGAACTGTACATTTTTCCTGCATTTCTGTCAAAGCATTCTTCTCAATTGATACACTGTTTATTTATGGCCCACCAATCATCCAGAATGTACAAACAACCATGTGATGCTCATGGGTATTTCTTTTTTACCTACACTGTCCTGATGTACTTTGAACATTTTGGAACATCACAGTGAATTTTAAGTTTCACCCAAGGCTCAGATTTTATGTCGGCTCAGAGCCTTTGATTGTACTTTTGGGTTTACTAAATATTCAAATGGATTTATGTTTAAGTTTGAACTTTCTCACAACATCTTCTCAAATACAGTGTATATCCAAGCATTAGACTCTAGCACACTTTTGGTCATTTGAACTCTAGTGTAAAATTAGCATAGCAAAACAGGACACATTAAGATAGCACCCTGTTATGCCCCACTACAAGGCTTTTGTTTAGACATGACAATTGACAGTAGTATCCATGGACAAAGATGGCCACAGCTGCATATAGAGACAGTATACAATCAACCCTCAACAAAATACAACCACTTAAGTGCCTGATCAAAGTCCAAATTATTATTCAGGTTAAAATTTTTCAACCAGGCTACATGTATGTTGATTCTCCATTTACTTTGTCTCCTTAATTCATGAATTATAATTAGGGCAAGGAGACAAAAGAAACAGAGAATCAACCGACATTGTAGCTGTAGCTAGTATGTAGTACTTTATTTTGACCTGTATCAACATCCATATCATAGATGCATACACAGTATGGAAGTAAAATGAAATGAAAAATACTGAAATGGGAGAAGCATGTGATAGAAAGGTAACTTCAAGTACTACACGTACAAGTAGCAGTTTTGAAAACAATAAACAGTTTGACTAATAGCAGGGGTTTAGGTCAGTGAGTGAAAGAAGCTGAAAATTGAGTTACCGGTAAAACAGGCTTGAGTTAGCAGGGAGAACAGGTAAACAAAAAAAATTAAATTGACAGCCTTCCAGTTATGATTCTTTAGTAGCTCAGCTTTGTTTCTTATAAGAGAAACCTCAGGATACATTGTATTTCAAAAGTTATTTATTCATAAAATTTATGCTTTCCTTTTATGACGTTCTTAAGTTGATTATCTAATATTTTCATTCTGTTTCAAATCATTCCTTTAATTTTGTCGTTTTTCAGATATTCATGAATTTTTGAAACACAACAACATGTATTGAAAACGAAACCAAGTGAATTACAAATAATGCAAGTCAAGCGAAAAATGAATATTCTTTTTGCTTTGTGCCTTGTGTAATGAGGGAGATAATTAATTCAACATTAACATTTGAGGTTGTTGTTTCTTTGGTTACTTCCATGAGAAGGAAAAAATTATACAACTGGTATTCAAAGGAGTCTACTTATAATATATGCTTTGTTTGTTTGTTCTTTTTTTCCCATGATTTTACTGACATACCCTCCAATCACTAAAAAAATGGTATGAGATTAACAGAAAAGGAAAAGTGTCAATAATTGCAACCACGTAAACAATATTTCAGCAATTACCTATTCCCGAATTAATAGCCATAATCTGTTGGGTATTTTACTTGAACAATTCAACCACAATCAAATTGTGCTGTTTAAAATTTAACATGCTGTCTCGAAATGAAAACACTTGAAACTTTATACACAGCAACACGAACGGTTGAGTTAACTTTTATAATTTTTACAGTAAGTGTTTATAATTTTAACAGTGGGTGACCGCATAAAATGGTGCTGAGTAGCGTCAAAACCAAACGCTGAACAAAACAAAGAACCTTTCTTTTACTTACAGAAAGTGAAAACTGTGCTGTATCCGGAGGAAAATAAAGAAAAATGAACCAAATAATAACAATAAAAAATAGAGCAGGATTAAAAGTTAACCACCTCAGTACTTAATATCTCTCTAGTCAAGGCGATTTGTGGTTAATATTTCATCTCGAAAATAAAACGTTTCTCGACCATTCTATAAATATAAATTAAATGCAAATTCAAAACCACAGGATGGAAAGAACATCCTTCTTTAAATTATTTCAGTTTGACAGACTACGTAACTTAATAATAAATGAAAACATTGCTAACAGTAAAGGATCTAAATATCTGTTTTCTTAAAATATAAAAGTGATAAGATCTAAATGACATCTTAATCCCGTTTTTCCTATAAAAATATTGCGCTTGACAAACGAACAATATGAATATTTAGATTTCTTTGGCGGGCACAAACATGGTTGTTTGCTTTCCATCTTGTAACAGGGGACAATTTGAAATGTTTTTGAGTAGCATCTAGACAACACAATTCGATTTCTCGCAAAATTGCCTTTCCGCATACATGACGGTAAGAATGAAAGCTTACACACGTTCTCTGTGCCCGCACGCTTGAATAATCGAACGAAATACAAATGACATCATTGAAGTCAAAACTTTGACTTGTTATCTTTAAAACTCACCAGAGAGCCAAGCAAAAGAGGACTCTTTCGAGGCGAAAGAGAAACACGTTTCCCTTTGATGAAAGGTCTCTGTAACTCTCGCTGTTTTCCTCTACACTGACGTCTCCTTCTAAACGCCCGAATGAGTAAGTATAAACACGCCAAGAGCACAACCGACGATGCTACTAACAACAGTAAAGAGTGAACATCTGTGAAAACAACATAGAATACAGTAAATGTCGATTCTAACATGAAAATGACATAGACACGTGAAGAACATCGAAAACAATGCAAAACGGATAGCCCGCCGAATCTTTGAAAGAACCTCGAACGTTCGCCGGCAGGTGGCACACTACAGACTTCGTTATTAACCGAGTTATATTTCTGCTGAAAGCATTCTCTGAAGTTGGGGTTAATATTCAAATAAGCTTACCACTTCTTTTAAATGTCGTGAGACTCATTGCAAATCATCCGGGCCCTGGATCATGAGGATGCGACGACAACAAAGTGCAAATCATGAATCAAAGCAACTTCACACTGGCCGTGTGAGTACTGAGTCCCTTAGTCGCGCGTTCAACAATGGATATCAAATTCCCAAATGACCAATTACAGAAATTCTCGGGGAGGGGGTGGAATGAATGGAATTACTTCCTTCAGGCGATAAAAAGGAGGCCACATACAAAAAAGAAAAGATAAACGAAAAATGTCACAATTATTTATTAATTCTGGAAATTAAATGGCAAGAAGGAGTTTCTTCTTTTATTTCGGGAAAAAAGTCAGCAATAGACAGTGAGATCCCCTGCTGAACAAATGAGGAGCCGCAGACCACTCGACAAACAAAGAAATTTGCATTGTCACGCATGAGGTGAAAATGAAACCAAATGCGTCATACAAATTTCTAAATTTAATACCCCGACTTAATTAGAACGCAAAATGAGCAACTTAGCAAGAATAAAACTAACATTCTCATTCAGCAAACTGTGAATTAACTGACAAAAACTTATGAGAACAAGAAGAGTGTATGCGTTTTTATTTCATATCCCGGAAGCAGCGGAAGTCATTTCTCACGATCTGTAAAACCACAAACGTTTTTTTTTTAAAGCTTATCCCAAACTTCAACGGGAAAAGAAGGAAAATGCAACATTGACTTCTCAAAATCAATTTGCATCCTTGTCTTTGAGCTTACTTTGCTGTTAATGGCAGTTATGACGCAAATAGATTGACAGAAAGCGTAAAGAAACAAATACACGGCTGTTGTTGTGATGCATTTATCGCCATTGTGATTCATATGAAGACAGAAATGAAAACATGACTTACCTCGCATCTCAGCTTACCAACTGACATAACCAGAAAAGAGCTATAATTTTTTTCCAGACGAGAGAAACATGTAAACATAAAACTCGTCTTTGTTATATTCTTTGTCTCAGACGGTCTCAGTCGTTTGTCCCCTCAGTCACGTTAGGCCCTGCGCGACGCCTTCTCTACCCTTGGCCAGCGGCTCTCTTGATGGGAACTCGCAGCAATCGCGCCTCTTAGCGGTTACACTCGCTCAGATACACTGGGGATGGAGACACAGGAGCAGCATTCCTTCCTGTGTGGCTGGCAAGATAGGATTAGCGAGAGAGTGTTGTGGTATTTTGACGAAAAATCAGATATAATAATGTGATACCAAGAGAAAAACACAGTCCTTATGTCGCATTTGCCGGATGTTTCTTTTTGCAGTAAGATCCTATTAAAAATAAAAAACCCTTTGTGGTATTGTACAGATTTAGGTGAATTGCAATTTTGTTATGCTCAATCAAGAGTGGCTAAATGAAATCCTATATATTGCTGTATTTAGGGCTCTATGATGCCTAGGTTCCCATTATTTGTAAAATACTTTTCTTGATAATAGCGCGGAAGAACTGAAGACTTTTTCAGGTACCGAGCAGAATATGCGCAGAACCTTGCAGAATTTTTAGCAGAGGACCGTTTAGGTGCGGAAGACATTTTATTTTAATATTGGAAACCCCCACTAGCCACCAAGGCTCCGTACGACTTTCTCAACAAATGAAATCGGCTGCTATTATAGTTGGTTTTACTTTATTGTTCTAGCCCAGAAAAAATCTAGGTAATCCGGAAAGCTAAAAATAATCCTTTGAATAGCGTTAAGTACATCTGTTTTTCTACTTTGCAAACGCTAAAAATTAATCAAAGGAACTGAAGTAAATTCATGTTGCTAGAAGGTATCACGGGCGGCAGAGTGAAATACAGGGAAATAAAAAGTTGGGACAGCTTTATCCTCTCTTGGTTGGGACTGATGTTCAAAGATCTCCCACCAGTTTCGGGCAAACGTCATGGCGATACTCAATAACATTCATTCAGTTGATGTAAAGTCAACTGGTCTCTCCAGGTTATCGGCTCCTGGTCTCTCTTGTGAATATCTTTTGCCATTAGGAAAGGACAGGAGCGCATTTAGCAATGAAACCGATGTTTCCTCATTCTCTGACTGTGTCCCCTTTAAATAAGTCTTCAGACGTCTTAAGAAGGCATTAAACTGCCACCCGGGAGAAAATCTTTCGGGGTCTTTGGGGGAAGGGGAGGGGCAAGTGGGAGGTGGGGACGAGTGACGAAACCGTCTCATGACTGATCAAGAGAGCACATTGCCTGATGCTCAGGATATTTGCTGTAGTCTCATATTTTTCAGAAGGTCCTTACTGTAGGCTCTTGGTAATACAAACAATTTTATCAGAATCAAGGCTAATGATGGTGGACACGAACCGAGCTTATTGGTTCCATGTGATAATCGCATTAGGCGCCACCCACTCGTTCATAATCCACAACCTATGATAACACAAGGGGTTACTACCAGATATTGTAACGCCCAAGCAGTTCTGTAACCAGCTGTGCTGATAGGAGCAAAAACATATAAGAAAACCCTAAACCTCCCAAAACCGCAAAATGCTAAAACTAACGCACAGAAAAAAAAGAAAACTGAAACAAACACAACAAAAGAACCCCCGAAAAAACAAAGAAAGAAACACAAGCAGACAAACTAGAGAACAGAAACACAAAACCCAACACAGAAATACAATGATAATAATAATAATAATAATAATAATAATAATAACAATAATAATAATAATAATAATAATAATAATAATGGTAATAGTAATAAATAAATAAATAAATTCAAAAACTTCCGGAACCACATGGCAATCACAAAATCAAAATTCTTGGTTTGTAACCAAGTGACAAGGCGGCTGTGTGGGCGGTCAGTACGATAGAATTTTTTTCTCGTTTAGTTCTCAGAGGAGATAAATGCTTTTGTTCTTGACCACCAACATGGCCGTCGTGACGTCACGAGCAAAAGAGCACTACTATGACAAGACCCAAAATAGGAATTAAAAAATGCTCAAAATTTAAAAGAGAAAATCATTAACCATAAGACCTCCAATGATACAAAAATAAACGAACAAAGAAACCGCAAAATCCCTAAACAGCAGGTAAACAAAAACAGAAACACGAAACCCTAAAACAGAAACACAAAACCTCAAAACTGGATTGCAAAAATGAAAACAGAATCTCAAAATCTCAAAATAGAATCACAAAAGCTTGAAGGACCAAAACCGCGAGAGAATCGAATCACAATAGCCAAACAAAATCCCAAAATCCCAGAACGAGGAAACACATAGTTTGAGGGGATGTTCCGATTTCTCTCTGAAAACATTTTCCTGCTTTTGTGCTGTTTTCATTTTCTCGAAGAATTTGGATGCCGGATTTAGGAAAAGTTGTGGCTGGGAAATGCATGGGACTAGTATACCCTTTCAGGACCCTTGATAATGCAAACGGCTTTTGGATTGGTAACAAAAGGTCTTAGGAATTGTTTTGTATCTTTATGATCTATGTAGGCATCAGCTGGTCTATCTAACTACGTCTGGTTTACAACCAATGTGAAACGAGTCAGTAGGGAGCCTTAGCAACAACGACGGCGACGGTGACGGCGACGGCAACGAGGACGTCAAAAAAACAATAGGTTTGTTAGGGAAAACAACAACTTTGCGCGAGCATCAGGCGTTTTTTGTACATTTCTTTACTGTCCATGCACGACGATCGACGTGAAAATACCTATAACTGCAAGTTTTATGGAGGACGTAAACAAGGTACAAATAATTTCTTTTTCTCTCTCTAAGTGTATTCCTCAAGAAATCAACTTCATTGAAATTGGCCTAGTTTGCCATTTTCAGCAAATTGGAATAAACGCGACAAAGTTTCTACAAACGGGAATTCATTTTAAAAGCGACGTTTTCACTGCCGTTGCCGTCGTCGATGCTAAAGTTCCCTAATACAGAAAAGCACCCGGCGCGAAAAAAAGAGGGCTACGAGTGGAAACAAATGCGCTACTGATTAAGAATCAACATTTTTCATCCCAGGCACAAGGGAACGTACAAGTCATACAAGCGTGTTACTCGTGTTAATTAGTATTTTTGCCTACTTAGCAGGCGCCGGTTTGTTTCAGGGACGGATCCAGTAGTTTTTTTAGGGCCTGTTTACATGGAGGTGGGGGACCCCAGGTAGGTGAGGTAATCCGCTTAGGCGGGGTAACCCGTTTGTCCATATAATCTCTCATTTTAATTTGATCACGTCTACATGATAGGTGGGCGGACCCGCCATATTTTGACTGGTGGGGTCCCCCCCACCTCCATGTTAAACAGGTTCACCATGAAATTGTTAACTGACTGGTGACGTGACGTGTTAAGCGTTCAAGATGAATTGTTCAACCTCCTCTGGTGATTTACTGTTTTTTTTGCAGAATATCAGTTGTATTAGAAAGCCGCAAGTCATCCCAGGGGAGGCGCGCACCCCCTGCACCCTCCCCCTAGATCCGTCCCTGTGTTTTTAGGGCGAAGGAAGAAATTTCCAGGACGTGCGAGGGGAGAAAAGGAGAGCCGGGCCTTTAAAAAAAACAATAACCGGCATCGAGACATAGTTGCATGCTCTCCTTCCTTTTCTTGACGCTAAAGCGCCCCGGGGAGCTTGCTGGCAGGTTAAGCGGGGCTCCAATTGATTGTTCTTCATTTAAAAGACTCTAGTGTTAGTCCGTTTTCCCTGGACCCAGGAAGATTCTGGGTTTACGAACCGGCGAAATAAACTAAACAACGAAAATAAAGGTGCAGAACAACACAACCAGAGACTGGAAAGCAATAGCCGGCCATAAAAACAAAGGAAATAGTCCACTCCCCCAACCCCCACCCTTCCGAAAAAAGGAAAAAAGGCGAGGCAAACTACTTGTCATTCAAACAAAGAGTCCACTCCCAGAGCGCTGTACGGGCCAATTAATAGCCTGCGAATACAGCCGTTTCTCATAGCTCCTCGCCGCCAGGGACGTTTCGCCAGGAGGAACGTCATTAGCGGCAAGGAGCAAGGAGAAACGGCTGTATTCGCAGGCTAGCCAATTAAGTAATGTATGGAACTAAAGTGCTATCTCTGCAGATAAAGATAACTCTTTTTCTCTCTTTCTCTGCCATAGCCCTATAATATGCCGTCTTGACAATGTTAGCAACAGACCGTGTTAAAAGACCCCACCCAGGTTGGCCGCATGGAAAACCTTGCGTGTAGTAAGGACCGGGTCTGCCACTATATATTTTTTCTTTTGAAGAACCATGGAGGTACCCTCTCCAGGAAAAAACATTTGTGACACGTTTGACCCTTTTGACATCAGGCTTTAAAAAAAACAGGATTCGAAGCCATGTCATCACAAACAGTAGAAACCGACCTGTTTGGTGATCCGAAAGATCGCTAATTTTAAGCTTGCGAAGGAAAGAGGATGATAAAAATGTAATAATCGTCAATAAAAGCCAATTTTCACCAGTAAGGAGATACTTGTTCACTATATTCCAAGCCTTTAATAAAAAGCTCTACCAAGATTTACAGTATAACAGAGATTTACGAGTCACATTTAATAACATTACAGAAGATAATATAAGTCGTAAAAGCGGCACTAAAACATTAAACACGATTCCAGTTTCAGGCAGTACAGTCCCTCACCACTCAATTCGAGAGACCGCGCGAAAGAAAAGCAAACGCGCGTACTGCGAAAGGTCAGGAGAAATGACAAGGAGAGAACGATTGTTCCATCACACCCTCTAGCCCTCGACTTCAGTACTTGCGCTCAGTTCTCCTCAACCTCATGATCCCTAAAGGGTCCCTCCTCATCTACTCCTTTTCCTCTCTCGCAGGACGACGCTGCGAAAGGGATTGAGTTTTCTTTCCAACTTGGACGATCGAAGGATAATGGGAGAAATTAGAGGGCAGCCTGAACTGGAGGGTGTCATCACATCATCGAGAGAGTTTACATTAACAGATATTCCTTCCACAAGAAACTAATCACGGTAAAAGACTTCTTACTGTAACAATGCCTAGGTTTTTACACACTAAAATAAGAACAAACATTCCAGTGTCTTAGTTGAATAAAATGAGCGGAACGTCAGTTTGGTTCAATCACTTCTTCCTTCCTCCACGTTCTTTTAGTTGTAGTTGTACTATGCTGGCAGGGGTGACGTTATAATAAGCCAGTGAGTTGGAGTCTTTGATGAAGATACCCTGTAAAACAAAACGAACAATTGTGTTAATAATTTGCGAGGAAAAGGCGTAGTTTTTCTTCAATCAACCCACATGAACATAGAAAGCCGATAATCTGAGTAGTTTCACACTTGATGACCTTTAAACCCTCCTTACTGTGTAGTTTAAAGTCGAGAATCAAATTTTCATTGATTTTCTTACCCCGAGCTGAAGTTTTTGTTTCCCTGCCGGCATTCCTGTTATCTCGTGAAGTTTTGCCTTAATGACAGACACCTGTAAAGACAACAAATGGCCATTCATGAAAATAACATCAAAACTATTCTCGGCAATGGTGACCGAACATCCTAGTGTATGTACATGACTAGTGTCAAAAGTAAATATTATACTGATTAAAAGTTAGTTTTGGCAACAAAAAGCGTAGATTCTCAAAAGTAATGGCCACCCCGAAAGCAGCGATCCCCTCAAAGTAGCGATCCTCTGCTCGGACACCTCTCTACAAAGGCTACCTTTCGGTAACAACCATGTTTTTTTTGGCCCCGTCGAATATATCAACACTTGTTTACACCTTTTAACAACCGTGGCACTTATCTCTGCCCTCAAGAAGGCCGTTATGGAAGATTTCATTGACTGCTTTGTGTTTAAAAAATACGACGTTTTAAGTAGTGCGTTAATAAGATACTGATTTTTCTCTCTCCCCACCACGTGTCACCTTTTCTCGAGTGGGGTGATTTTCACGCGCGCTCGCGTTTCGCACGTTCTACTATCCCTGAGGAAAAATGGGGATCTACTCGTAGTCTATATACTTAAGTAATATCTCGAGGCGTCCGTTCCCTGATCTCTAGCGCCTTCAACAGACATATTGTACTGCACATAAACTCATATCTAAATTGTCCGCAACACACGGAAATAAAGTTCTTCATGCATACATGAAAGCAACTGAAACATGAAAAATTATCTCCTGGTTTACCATGAAATAATCTCTGCGCCAAACTACTGCATAATTACAAACATTTTTTTCTTGGCAATACAAAAGAAGAAAACCCTTTCGCCTTCTAAATCCAAATTGTACAGTATTTCAATTCACGTAATAGAAGCAGTCTGAGTTTTCTAAAGGGACTTTGCACAACTAAGGAGCCATATTTACCATGCAACACACATTGCAGAGATAAAAAAGCTCGACACAAGTTCCATTCTCACCTGGTCTGTAAGCGGCAAGGTGAGCCTAATAGTGTTACCGTCCAGTTTCCACTCGGCCTTATCTGGCATGAGAGGAATCTGGACACCAAAGGTGACTTGGCCTGGGTTGGAAGAGAGGAAGACATCTTCAGGGATAAGATTTGCTTCAGCAGGTTCAGCTCTGGACTTCTTACCACCCATATCTTCTCCTTCTGCGTCCCGTTTGCTTGGCATAGGGGGTGCAACAGGGGGGTTCGGGTTCACAAACATAGGGGGTGGCATCCTTGGGAGACCACCCGGGGGTGGCGGGGGCGGTATTCCTGAGGATAAAAAAGATACACGTTTAGATGAGCTGGAGGGCTACACTGGTCTGACATGTCAGCCGTCTCCTCCCTGCGAGGTTTCCACGCGAGGAGACAGCTGACATTTCAGACTAGGACAACACTTACTTTTCTGAAGTGTTCGCTTGAAAAATGAAAAAACAAAGAGGTTTCAAGTTCTATCTAACGAGACATGAATTGTTCCAAGAACTTCGCTATGTTTTGGGTATTTATCTCTTCTGGTACAGGCACTAAATGAGGCACACTCCACGTAAGGATCCTAAAACTTGCCTGGTTGTGGGCCCCACTAACATCGCCCTGTCAGTCTTATACTAACCTATTGATTGCACTTTCCACTCCCACAACCTTACTTTGCTTTCAAAATAAAACATGGCCTCTGACTACACAGAAAATAATAAGCGTTATCTCGGACAAAAAGTAAATAAATAAATAACAGCGAGGTATGTAAGGTTTCTAGTGGGACTGGGTTGGAGCCATATCAGATTGCTCTATGGCATTTTTTTGACCCAGCTTGCAGCCCAACTTTGTAACAGCCGATAAACGAGGCGATAGCGTCCTTAAAACAGTTCCAAAGTGCAATTCAATACAGCCACCGCGACGCAGTCTGGGCAAACTGAAAATAGCCTATTTGTTATGCAACTCAGTGTTGGACATACCTTAGCTGTCCGTTTGTCGATTTTTCCGTGTTTATACTTTCTTAGCACCGTCAGAATATACAAAAACTTACCCATAAACCGTGGAGGACCGCCATGTGGAAGGATGGGTGGAGGAGGCGGCAAATTCATCATCGTTGACAAGGGGGGTGGAGGTGGTGCTGACGTTATAGGTTTTGTACTCATAGAGGGAGGGGGTGGGATGGCTGTAGTCGGCGGTCGGTTTGTTTCCGGTTTTTCCTGGTCGGGAACTTTCGGACCGATTCGTTCTCTCTCTTCTGATGGCCTGGAAAGCAACAGCGAACATAAAGTTTCGAGCGAGTAACTTTAGGTCGAACAAGAGAAAATGGGCACAGAACCATTTACAAAGAAGTCCCTATGGCAAAATGGTCTTCGTTAGCCGTGAAAGTGGGGTGGAATAAAGGGATTTAACGTGCATGTTTTGAAGTTTTGAGTGGATATTATATTTGCACTTCTCATATCCAAGTAAGCGCGCGTCTTCAGGCTTTTTAGCTCATTCTGTTGACCAGTAATTGGTAAACTAACCAGGTTAGTTTTACCAATTACTGGTTAGCAATGAAAATTTAATACGCCAGTTTCGAATTATGAACATTCATACTTAGCTCCGAGGCTGGGGGGAATAAAAGAAAAGAAATGAATTGTTCATCCCTGATTCTCAATGCGATGTCTTTTGTTTTATACCCCTCAGCCTCGGCCAAGTGTCAAACTGGCCTATTCCTCGCAGCTTTCAATCAACGTAGTATGTCTTGTTACTTTAATAGTCCTAATAACTCAAAGTTACAAGAAAAGAGCGATGATCTCTATAATACTGACTGGCGAAACAGCGTTTAAAACCCCCATGAACTTCCGGCACCGTTTACGATTTGGACGACAGTTCCTAATGGCCGCTGAAGTTGGCTAAATTAGGTGACGTAATACTCCACTATGCTTAAGGCGAACTCTCCCAACATTGTCTCAGCATTGTCGCTGTAAAGTGCCAATGTTGACACTGTACATCCTAGAGAGCCAAGAAACGCTAACCGAGAAGGAGCATTCACGGAAAAGAAGAAGGGGGTCCTTGCCAGTACCTCAGGTCAAAGCGGTTCCAGAACGAAGCATTTGAATTACAGTCAAACCAGGTCAAGCGTTCCCGTCGCTAACAAACTAATGAATTCATTAATGGAAAAATGATTTCGTTTGTTGATTCAATAATCCATTCATAAAATGAATAATCCAAGAGTCAAATTGTACCTCGATTCAATAATCAAATGTTGATTTGGTTTATGAACAAAATCTACCTGTTCTTTATTCTTGTCTGTTGTGTTCAATCGTATTTGCTTCCCTTTTCCTGCCGTTTACGATTGCGTTTTTCATTGCCTTTAATCAAAACAACAGCTAGAATAGACAGACCGCAAACGCAAAGAAACTGACAAAGGCCGAGGATCGAAATCCACCAATCACCGCACATACACTGACCTCAATTTGACCGTCGTGTTTTCTAAGAGGTCAGGCCTAGGTCTGTTGCACTGATTACTGGCAGCAAACTGACGTACATGTAACAGTTTGTTTGGGTTTGAACTTCAGAACTCGCCAGCACTCGATTCTCAGAAAAAAAGGGGAAAAAACAAAATTCTGAGGTCAACTTGTGGAAAGTGTAATTTTTCAAAAAACAGTAATCGAATCATGGAATCGAGGCTAAATATGACTATTGGATTGTTCATTTTATGAATGGATTATTGAATCAACAAACGAAATCATTTTTCCGTGAATAAATTCATTAGTTCGTTAGCGACGGGAACGCTTGATCTGGTTTGACTGTAACGCCTATGGTTGGCCAGAAATCATTTTTTGACCAATCATAATCAGGAAAAAGGGAATTCAAATTCTTCTGGACTGGTTTGGTAAGTGTACAGTAAGTAACCACTGGCTTTCGCTTTCTCATTTAAACATGAATTGCCTGCAACGATCTTGCCCGTAAAGGTGCCCTCGAGTTTCCAACGATAAAGACTATGTTGAGAATGCCTGACCGGGGCTAACGTGTTCAGAACATTTGATCAGCACTTCACTCACGTCAGTCCTTTGGATTTGTGAATAGCCTCAATCTGTTGCTCCAAAGTGACGCCTTGTTGAGCCAAGCGAGAGGTAGCAGCCATGGAGGCTGTATGACCATCCCAAGTTACTTTCTCTGGTTTACGGGTATCTTCTTCGCCGATCTTTTTACCAATCACCGTCTCTTCGTCTCCTGCTCCGAAGATATCCGTACGACGCTCAGCCAGCTGCTTCAGACTGCTTCCAATAGACATTCCTGTAATACAACAATTACAACAGCAACAGAAACTTTTTCCCCATCTTTTTCCAATAAATTGAACCTGACTTCATCAAGAGCCAAGTATAGTCGAACCTCTAATAAGCGGCCAACAAAGTGTCCACTGGGAATAGGGTGACCTCAACAAACGGGCTGTGACGTCACGGCTGTCGACATCATTTTATCGGGAACGTCCTTTGACGACGGGAAAGTGCGCGGAGAGGACTAAACTCGAATTCCGGTGCCCAATTTGTCGTTCTACCATTGGTCAAGCCAGTTGTTTGATTTGCGCGCACCGTCGTCAACTGACGTTCCCGTTCTGATGCTAAATCAGCCTAATAATTCCAATTACGCGTCCTCATTCGTTATAGAACTTGAGAAATTACTTGTAAATGACTATATACATCTGAGCTTCGTGTAGATCCTAAGCATTATATCAAACGTTACAAACAACAAAAGTGAACTCTGAAAACTTGTTAGGCTAACAAGTTTTCAAAAACCACATCGCAATCCGTTTCTGTTCATCCGTGCCTCCCTTTGTATTTGCCGTGTTATGTGTTATTTATACCTTCTTTTAATGTTTACAGCAGTTATTTTTATGTTTCACTCAGTTTGGTGGTAGTTCTCTCTGTTGGAATTTTTAGAAATTTCGCGACATAGTATTTTGAAAGTTCGAAGGTCTACATGTATTTGTTCACTGAAACTTTCGAACGTGTTATTCGTCTTATTGGAAACCCGATCAGTCTAAAGCACTCGTTAAACTGGAAAAATTAACGCGGAGACGGAACTCTGTGCGTAATTTATGAACAGAGTTTTGCGTCACATTGTACCAGTTGTATATCCAGGGCTCGAAGTTAACGCTAGCAAACTCGTAAAATGCGAGAGATTTTGATAATCTGGTAGTGAGCTATATTAAACTTACTTTAGTCAGCTAAACAACAACAACAAGCAAACACTAAAAAGCAAGGTTTTAATGAGACTGAATGTGACGTTTACGTTTTGGCTCTTTCAAAGCATAGCACTAAAGCAAATAAGGAAATGAAAATAAACAGTCAACCCCATCAAGCCTTGCAGTATTAGGGAGCGTATCAATCAGGCTTAAATTCTTTCGTGGACTCAACACACTAGAGTCTTCATAACGTTGCCCCTCTTATTTCAAATTTATATCGCTTAAAAAAAAAAGTAATAATAATAATACAAAAACCAACGGGGCACACTGGAAATCTTACCCTCGGCGAAGACCTGTTCCTGTTCTTTCTTCTCCTGTAACACTCGATCGCGCTGTTCTCTCCATCGTGGATCCAGCAGACTGATCTTCATATGTTCAGCCATACTCTCAGCCGGCACACGCTCGCCGGTGATGGGAGAGATGAGGAATTTGTCGGAGGGCACAGCAGCTGGAGCCGCTTTAGGTGCCTTAGGGTCGTAGCCTCGTCGGATCTGGATGTTTGCTCCAGGGGCTGTGGGAGGTAAGGGTGGTTTGGGGCCGGGCTCAGACGGGGCAGGCGGAAGAGGTACCTCGCTTAGGTCTGTATCCTTCTGCAAAAATGGACAAGAAAAAATAACATTCAAGCACCAAAGATACGACAGGGCATGCGCAGACAATTACATGTCACAGCTGTAATCGTTCCTGCGTTTCTGCCTTCAATATATCAAACCCACGTCAATTATTGCATGATAATTTCATTCCTACTCTATCTCATTTGTTTAAATTCGCTTATTTTCAATTTCCCTTGAAGGTTTGAGTTATAGAGAGTGGACTGTACTCGTTTTCTTCCTTTCTTTATAATTATTTTTACGCAGTCTTCCATGAACAGTTTTCGAACTTTTCCAAAAAGTGTCCATCCATGTTTCTTGCCATTCAAGGGAGTGAAAGGGTTGTTTTAAAAAATAATCTGGACCCAGAGGAATGCACGTTAACGAATCAGTTTCTCCACCTAATCACTAAGTTACAGAGGCCTGTTTTCCTCCTACAGAGTTAAGTAAAAGGTTTGTGTAGCAGTTTTCCTCAAACACATTAAAACACTAACTAAGATAATGCAACTCGCGTGCTGTTCGTAACACTGTCATTCTAAAGCTAGAGTCCCTAAACGGCTAAGGTGACTTACTGCAATTGAATCCTTGGGGGGAGGTGGTGGTGGTGGAATGGAGAGGACTGGGGGTTCCGGTTCATCAACTTCCATCTCTACATCCATGTTAACTTCCATATCCTCAGGGGCGCCTCCTTCCTCCTATTATATAAAACAATCGATTCACTCATTGAAATACTAATTTTTGTGACTTACATGTATTTATCAGATAAATTATAAAAAAATATATTCTCCTAATTATTACGTCTGGCACCAGTTGTTCGAAAGTTGGATAGCGCTATCCACCCGATAAATCCCTATCCAGCGGATAAGTGCTGAGGAGACCAATTACGTTATCAAGTGGACAGTGATTTATCCGCTGGATATTGAACAACTGGGGCCTGGACGTTAATCTAAAAAATACCAAAAAAAGAAGAAAAAGAATGAGAGAGAATGTATAAATGATCTGATTAACGGTATAACAGAACTAGAACTGAAGTGTAACTACGTACATGAAACTAAAATTAATTTCAGGAAATGATATGTACTAAACACTGAGTGAAGGTATGTGCGAAATAAACAAAAATTGAATTACCTTCTTCTTAGCTACGCTCGAAGAGTATGTGGCAAGGCCGAGTATGTGAAACAGCCTAAAATCTTGCTCAGCATACTTTACAGCTATTCTGCTGTGAATCTCATAAGGTCGATTTGTGGCAAGTTTAAAGTACATGTATACTTTGGAAAGTTGCAGATTGCATGGTACACAAAATCATTCCAAGTATAGACACATAAAATATATAAATAAATAACCTCTCTCAGCAAGGGCTTTTGATAGGGATAGGTGACTCTGTAATCTGCTATTACCTGAATCTGCTCATATCTCTCTTGTGCTAATATTCTTGCTCCAAGCTGTTCTTTGCTCACTGGTGGTGGTAAGTTAGCTAAAGAAAACAATCACATGTACTTTTAATTTCTTAACTACGGAATCAGATGAGTAGGATGCAAATACAGTTCACAATGTACATTTTTTTGAGTATCAAGAATATAATGAAATCTCTTTATCTCAAAAAATAGATAAACAGTAATCATGGTGCTACAGAAACAAATCAAGTCAAAATAATATTATTGCTAAAAACTCAATACTATTTCAGTCCTCCTCATGTCAAAGTATTCCAAAGTGGCTTATGCTTCCCTACCTACACTGCAGAGTGCACCCTTATTTTTCTCGTTTGTAACAAAGTCAGCTGAAATCACGTCCAAGGTGAAATTTAGCTTGATCAACGGTCACAGATGGTTGTATTAGGTGTTGTTCAGTGCAGTCAATAAAAGACTGTACACACCTTGCCTTTATCAACACACTTCTAAGTGCTTGTAATGTGGATCTCACCATTCCACATATCACATGGTATATCATGATTTATGATGGTTTTACCTGTTTCACTGTCTTTGAAGTCCACTGTTTCCACAACAACAAAGTCATGCCAATCCACCGAGGCAAATGCAACTGCAACAAAAAAGAAAAAAACAAATATCAGTTGTACATGCAAGACTTGAATTAACAAAATCATACCATGTATATGTGGCGTGCATTTTGTTACATAAACTGCAGCAGATGCAAGACTCTAGTGCATGCATTCAACTTTTCAAGCCTGTCCATAATTTTCATGTCACCAAGGAAAAACTGGATATCTCTTTAATTCCGGTGCCCATGAGATGGGCACCCAAATTAAAACTCACAGTTTGTACATGTAAATGAAAGCCGTTGTAAATCATGGCTGTGCTACAAGTGGAGGTGAGGATGCTAAATAAACTATAGTTACAGTGTGAACAAATTAATTTGAATCATGAATTTCAATTTGAATCATGAATCATGATCGATATTACGCTGATTTAGCTACAGGGAATGTCAGTTTAAGACAGTAAAGTGTTTGGTAAAGACGAAATGTGACTTCCAGTGCTCAATTTGCCACTCTGCCATTGGTCAAGCCAGTTTTGTTTCATTTGTGTGTGCTGTCGTCAACTTACATTCCCATTCTGTTGCTAAATTGTCTTATTAAAGCAAGTAAACTGACCTCTTTCCTTTTCTTTTTCATCCTCCAGCTTTTTCCTTTCTCTTTCCTGATGACGTATCCACTCCACTCGGTACATGACACGATCCAAGATCTACAATAACAATGGGAATGCCACCATTCCTTTTTGTTTAACAAACAATTTGTACAAACAGTCCTACTCAGTCAGGGTTTTCATTAAAAATTCTTGTAGCAGGCGAAAGGTGTAACATTACAGGAGAATACTTTGAAAGAGGCTCCACGTCTGAGTAAAAATAGTCATAAGCTACTGAATGTTAGCCAGAGAATTCTGCATAGTAAATGATGAATTCTCAGATCTCGAATGCCTAATGAACAACCTTCTAAGTAAATAGACACTGTTGCTTGATGAAGACTTGCAGTACACATTAAATCACGATCAAGAAATATTTTTGACTATCACGAGACAAACGATAAAAATGAACATTTTATAAACAACAATTACTGTAAAACCTTTAAAAAAAATGCTCATGGATGCAATTGCTTCTAATACACAATATACATGTAATTATGCAGTTGTATGCACCTCTTTAGGTTTGTTTGCATCTTTTAGCAACTTTTCTTTTACATCACTTGGTGGAATCAGAACCTAGTAAAACAAAACAGGTGATGTCATAAAAGAAAACAAAAAGAACAAATGGAAAAAAAAATAAAGACACTAGAACTCCGCCAGAAAGTGTAGCACACTTTCTATTACATTGAAGTACATACATGTACATGTGAAAGAAAGAGTGGGAAAAGTAGTTTGGGATTTGGAATTTTCTGCTTTGATTAATGTTAAAATATTTCCACATATAACTAAGCAGCCAGAGATCATAAGTCATAAAGGCAGACAAATCAATCAATGGCTTCTGAACCTTAATAACAGGCTGGGCTGAATTTTACATTAATAACTTACATGTACAAGGCAAGACATCTTAAGTTACATTGTATCTGAGGAGATGCTACACAATGTCATAATTCAAGTTTGGCACACTTCCGGTTTGTGTGGTGTAGAATACATTCTTGGCTTACTAAAATAAACATCAAGTCACAAGTGCACACACAGTGTAGCTGTTACCATACTTGCTAGAGCTACATATGTATTGCATTGTAACAGTTCACTGTTTTGTATACTTGAGGTCTCACCTTTGTGTACTGTTCTACAAGTTTGGTGAAGTAGTTGAACAGACTGTGCTGGGGACGCAAGAAGTCAAACTGATAGTTCCGCTATAAAAACAAAATCCAACAGTCAGTTAAAATAATACCATAAAAAACAAAACAAAGGATATGCAAAGTAAGTCCACTTCAGGTTACAAAACTTGCCAGTTGCTGCTACAAATGCTACTATTAAACAGCATGATAAATCATATTTTCAGTTGTTTATCCTTATTATTATGGTTGCTTTTATGAGGGAGCAAGATAAAGCAAATCATGTGTCCTGATTAGCTACTAGTGTAGGCAAGACACATTTAGGCCACCTTGCCTAGGGCATGGAATTTTCTACTTTAGTCCGTCAAAAAAAATTATGTTTCCAAGGAGTGGCCATATTACAAATACGTTTTTCACCAAGTTTATTTGGTCAAGATGGCTAGACATGGGAGGGTCTATTCTGAGTAATTATTCGTCCAAACAAAAGCTTTACTCCAATGATACTACAATGTACTGTAGCCTACACGCACCTGTTCTCTGTTCATAAGATTGGTTAAAAACTGACGTCCATTTCTTGCCACAAACTGTGCTGTCAGCTTAACAATGTTCCTACACAAGTTCACAGAACAACTCAAATCATAGAAACTAGAGTGCACTTCTTACTAAAACTAGAAAAGCAACAGTTAATATTACTTTACTAAATCCAAAAATATTGTGTTCTTTTAAAAAAGGTAGGAGTACAATCATGCATATTTGATTTTACTATGTAACAAATGGTAAAAAAAACCTCAGCATCTACTATTGAGTTATGGCTGCACTTGAGAGAATTGCTAATGTCCAAGAAGCTAGAGTCACACTTAGCTATTGCATCATACATTTCCTACACTTCTTTCAGCTTCCTACACTTCTTTCAGCTTGCCTACCAAACTCCCTTGTATGCACATAACTCAATAGTTCAGGCTGAGCTGTTTACCATTTTGCTACATACATGTATGCACTAAAATGAAAATAAGACCATTGGGAAGTTTCCACTAGATTAACTAACCGGGGATGTTATGTAATGTTTACTATGGATGTTGTCTATCATCATTTGGGAAATGATGCACCTTTTAATTAGGATAGAAAATTTCGACTCCAAGATCCTAAATAATGGTATCTTTCCAAGGAGCTATGTATTGAAGCTGATAATGATAAATCTTAACTTTCAATTTTAGAATACATACAGGTCTAGTGCAGATATGGTAGGTGGATCAGCGAGGAACTCAAACTCTGGGGGAGGCTCTTTGGGTACAGGCAGTTCAGCAATAGTTACTGGAGTTTGTTGCATCAAAGGTTTTGGCTGAGATGAAAGCAAAACGTCATCATTAATTTAATACAGTACAAACAATTATGACTGTCATCACTTGCAGGTCAAATTTCATGTTGATTTTTGATGTTGATGTTGATTTTTTTTTTCCAAGACTGATTTTATCCTCTAGTGCCAGGAGGCAAAGGAATTGAGAATCAAACTACAGTAATTTTCTAGGTTAAATAAAAAATAAACTGAAATTAAATTTGACCTGTGACATACACAAGTACATTGTAAATACTCACCTTTTGAGGAGCTGGAACTGTTGGAATAAGCTCTTGAGCTGAAAACAAATCAAAAATACATTGTATTAAAATTAATTATCTGGACCACAAAAGAATACTTCTTTATTTATTAATTTTATTTATTTATTTACCATAATGGCTGTCACCAAGAGCCAGGGGTCGGGGATTTCTCCTGGCTACTATAAGCGAGGCCCCCGGCTACTTCCTTAGAAAAATAAACCAAAAATAGAACCAAAAGAAATCTTTGTTTGATTCTGCCGTTTGATTCCCCACCAACTTGTTGTATTTACCCGCCAACTTGAATACCAATCTTTAGTATTTGGGATTCCAGGGAAAAAATAAACTGTTTCCTGAGAGACCAGTCTATAAGTGATTAATGTTATATAGTTGCTTGCTGTAATAGCCGTTGAAGTCAACATTTGTTAGCTACAGTGCACTGTTACCCTTAGTCTGCTACACAGCCGTTTTTACTGTCATTACGCAATGCTCCTCCCCACAAATGGCTGCTGAAAACCAAACTACATTCCTTTCCCTTTGTGTTTGTGGTCTAACGAACAAGCCAATCATGTATAAGAGATTTGACAATATGTGAGCTGCAGGGCACTAGGAAGTGAGCGCGCTTCTCAGTTTTCGACAAGTCAATCAATCGTCGCTGAATTTAGACGGGCTCTGTGTTTTCAAGCGACGAAAAGGTTAATTTGCAAAAAAGTTTGTGTTAAGAGGTCAAGAAAGTTCCAAGTGAAAAAAGGTTTGATAGGCCTAGGAGACTTTTAAGAGCATCGATTGGTTCTTCATTTTAACGTGCATATGTACTGATACCAGAAACTCATAAGGGGTTGAAATGTGTAACTCACGTTCAATGCTCGTGAATATTCACTTTCACCATATTTGGAAACCTTAATGACAGATATCCATTTTCAACAAATGGCTGTCGCGCGATCACCATGCAGATGTTTTAAGACAAGAGTTCTGCATTTCAAGTTAAAAATACACCGTTAAAAGACAAAAAATGGAAAGAGAAAGTTCAAAAGAATGCTCAGCTTTCTTTTTGTGGAGGAAGGGAAGTTCTTCGTCAAGAAATCGTCCTTCGAGGAATTCAACCTTGTTTTCTTCACGACGGAGCGCATGGTCTGTTTTGAAATGCAACCAAGGCAGTGAAGTTTTTCAGGTACATTTTGTACTCTATGGCCAAGACCATTACGTTTTTGAAAGGGAATTTATGTATTTTTAAATGTTTCATAGCCGTTTTATAAATTTTTCTCTCCGGGCGCTTAAGAGAAAAATTACAAAATGTGCCCCGATTTGAGATGGATTTTGTGTTGAATTTTGCCATTTGCTCAGCCGATTTCACTAGCGTGAACGGATCAACGACCCAGATAGTGTTTCCGAATTGCTTTAAAGGACTAGCTTTTTGGACTTTAAATAAAAATTTTCAAGAAACGGATTATCTGTCTAGTCTTTTGACTTTGTTCATTCATAAAATTAGCTCAAAACACGATCATGACTACAAACATCCAAGCTGAATTTAAGCTTAAATGCTTCTCACATTCATTACACCCATCACTTTTTGCGAAGATGTCAGGTTCAGGTTTTGGACACTTCTCGATACGCAGCTAATGATTTTCTTCGAAAAGATTTTTTACTGTTTATTCTAGACTTTTAGTATAAGAATTTTAAAAGCCTATAGTTTACTGTGCAAAGGGTCAACGAGGGAACCTGAAGTAAAATTACGTCACGTTGTTTAGGAAGTTTGATTGGTTAGTTATCTCGTCTTCTCGTTCCAAATGTGGTACTTTCGAAAATGAATAATCACGAGCATCGGACAAAGCAAACATATGAGAGTTGCACGTTTCAACCCCTTATGAGTTTCTGCTGATACATAATAAAGAATTTAATGTGCCGGATGTACTCATTGTGTTCTGTGAAGACTAAACTCTCAAGGGTACTGATTCAAAAGGCAATCTTATAAATTATCGATGAGCGATTTCCCGAAACGTTTTTCTGACAGAGGTTATCATTTGCTCTTTCAACAACAATATGCTCAAGAAATGAACCAATGGCAAAGCCTTTAACATCATGGCTAGTGCCCAGTTTTTCGCAACATAATCGACGCCTGATAGTTTCAGGACGTTGTTTGCATGTTTCAGTGACGAAGTTTCAAAATAAATTTACAAGTTTACAGCAAGTAAATAGCCCCAATAGCTGAAATAAGTTTCAAATATGTTGTACAGACATCTATTTGATAAGATTTTTGCCAAATTTCGTGGTATTTTGCGTGTTTTTGTGATTTTCGTGGGATTTCGCAGATTTACCGGAATTTCACGGTTCCGCGACTGCGCGAAATATCAGAAGCCCTGACTATGCTGTGTATCATTTACAGTATAAAAAAATTAATAGTTATCATGGTAAATGTCACAAGACAAAGCCGGGATAGTGCAACACTATAATGTAAAATTTCTGTTGGTCTCACCTTTCCCATCCTGTTCTTTTATATCAGCAACTTTTTGCTGGAAGTATGCATGGTAGGGATCTCCAGGATTTAGGAAGTTAAACTTTGGATTATTAATTTCATTTTGCCTGATTCTTGATTCAAATTCTGGACCTAAAGGCACAAGCACAAGATTGTGTTTTAATAACTTTGTCATTATTATAACAGTTTCAATTACTAAAAATAATAATAATAATAATCATTTTCAAGATGCAGTCTGTACAAAGTAAATAACACTTTATTCTTTACCAAAATTCCACAACACTAATAATAGAAATTAAAAACATGAAACAAGTTATCTGTTTAGAAGACAGGTGTTAGATACTTCAGTAACTTTTTAATTTGTACAGTTGTGTATGCTTATTATTCTTTCTTCTTTGAAGATTAGAGTAATAAATATACCACTTATACGATGGTACATCGAGTCGGACACAAACTCACTTCAAGCCAGAAGCATGGCACCCTAGCTGTTTTGACATCATATTTCATTACACCAGATGTAAAAAAAATGTAAAGTGTATAGTGATTTTGGATGCTCTGCGTCCTGCGTCCCTGACGTATAAAAATCCCAAAACTCATAGTATGCATCCCATAGGACACAAAGATTGATCGATAGATCAATTGATCTGAACATACGCACCTGTATGTTTCAATTGTAAAAATATCTGGCCCGTTCGTGTGGGAAAATAGGGAAAATAATGATGAATCAGTTCATGGTTAAGCTGAATTGCAAAGGCTGTTATCATGAGGCTGAAAGCCAAGGTAGATAACACCCTCATTTGGTCTGTATAATACAGTCGAACCCCGCTATTTCGAAGTCCCAAGGGAAATGAAAAAAAAGTTTGAAATAGCGGGGCTTCGAAATAACCGGGGAAGCATAAAGGGGAAGAGTAAATCCAAGGGCATTCAATCTTCCTTCGAAATAGCAGGGACTTCGAATTAACCGAGTTTGAAATAACGAGGTTCGACTGTACTTCACAATATACCTAGCCTCATCTCTGTAACTGCTTGTAAATAATGAAGAATATTACATTACAACAGGAATCACTCAAGGCCTTATACAATTTAAGCACGTGTACCATCCACCCTTTTAATTAACACCAGTAAAAAAATTAAATAGTTACTCAATTAGTTACAAGAATCATTATGGATATACCTAGCAAAAGATACTTACCATTTCTTGCAACGAAGCTTGCAGTCTTGTCAACAATATCTGATTATATTGTTAAGGACTTAAAAAGTTTATAAATCGAAACTTTTCCACCTACTATGGAAAAAGAATCGCTCTCAACTTGCCTGAGGATGTAAACTCAACATTCTGTGGAATTTCTCTCGGAGTCTACGGAGAGACAGTTTGTTTCGACTATGCTTATGTAATGAGAAGCGGAATCAATTTCAGAACACGTTCAATCTCGACCAGCGCCTCATGCATACGTACGTTACTCGTAAGAAGCGCACAATAAACGCTTATATGCATACGAGTACATCGAGAACTAGGATTCGCTTTAGCCTGTTTTCTAGCGAATTTGCCTCTTATCCCATCCTACTATTGAACCTTTGGCATCGCCTAACTTCGTATAAGTGCAATGTAGAATTCTACATCAACACACAGCTACTACACAGGAATCAACAGCTACGTTTGAAGTGAAGAAATATGCAGGTTCATTTGCATACACCAGTGAAGACCAATGTCATGTATGGACAAAGACGAAGAGACTAACAATTACAATCAATATCATATAAAACAACTATCAAAGATACTTCTCACCTCCGGAGGAGGATAAATAACTCCGATAGCAGGCATGTTGATAAAAATAAAGAAAAGACGTTCAACTTTCAAGCGGCGGCCATGTTTAACATGATGTCGAGGCGCCGGTAGTGGACGAGAACACCTGGGTACAAGTTCACCGAACTTCAACGATACGGTACGAAGGGCAACGAATGGCCGAAATTGTACGGTTTTTTTTCCGATAACTACTGCCGAATTTCGAATGGGGGCAATAGCCTACGTTCGATATATTTTAAAATTCTAACATGACTCCGAGGCTTTCTGGTCATTTTTCTATACTTGGTTTGGTTTTCTTTAGGCTCAAGTATCTTCTGGGAATTGCGAGACAATGGAGTCTTGAAAAATTTGCAATTCTGACCCTAAAGTCTCGGAGTCATGAGAAAATTGAAATATATCGAACGTGGGCTATTTCCAGTGTCAAGTGTAAATTAAAGAAAGTTCTAAGAGATTATGCTTCACTAAGGAATTGTATACTGGGGCCATGGCGGCATGGCAGCTTGGGTTCAATAATAAAATGCAATCATCTCTAAACAGGTTAAACTTGGGACCTAGACTAGCAAAGAACATGCCCAGGTGAACAGACAAAGAAAAAGCCAACAAAAAGGCGGATAAAAAGTTATACAACTGGTGCTAAAAGTTATTGAATGGCCCGATCTTAATTAAGCAGAAAAAGAAAAGGGAATGCAATTCAGCCAACCCAGCAGCGTCTGAGCGAAATAAGAAAGTGGAGGGGGGGGGGGGGGGGGGCTGAAAATAAAATTGGACATTCAATTTCCCCCCTCCCCTCCCCCCATCCCCAATAAGCAATAAAAAAGGGGCCTCTGCCTTTTTTTATGAGTCGCCGACAACAATTTAGCCTATTCCCGGCCTTCGGATAGTGGAGTACGGCGTGTTCCCCACGATCTGAACGCCTGGAATAGGCTAACAACATTTTGGACCTCTCAGATGTAATCTTCAATGGTTCCGACAAAGAAAAAAACTCAATAGGGCAGCCTTCAGTGTAGGAGGGTGGGGGCAAGAGAGAGCGAAAGAGAGAGCGAGCTGTGAAGCGGCGACAACGAGTCGCAACTGAGCGGCGCAAATATAATTCACCACTTTATTTTTGTTTTCTTTATTTATTTTTTCCATCACTCTTCCGGCTGTAAAGATTAGTTTACTGTTTTAATTTTAAAATTTGGTACTTGTGTAATAGTTTATCAATAAGTTACAAATACCAAGATGACTCTTGCAAATACGTAATCTTCCAATGACATCTAAAAAACTGGCAATCACCCTTCCTGTCTTCAGACACTTTTCAGTACCACCCCCCTTTTCCCTGCAAAAACTTTTAAGACCCACCGAAACTCCTCCGCCCCTCCCCTCTCTCCCCCCCTGTGGTATACATAATGAATTCAGCCTAATGGTTTGGGATCCCGCACATGGATCGTTCCCACCCCCATACCCCCACCCACCCCACCCCCTCACTCCGTGCGGCGGACAGGTAGTCATTGCAAGGATATGAATGTTCATATCTTCTCAATAAAAATTCATGCCTTAATGGGATGATCTGCAAAGATGGCTCACTGTTTAAATTTCTTGGTTAGTTTTAGTTTTATTTTTTTAAGAGCCAATTTTTTAGCTACTTGTCTATAGGGAAACAATGTGAGAGATGGTCTTTTCGATTAAAAGTGTTAATAAAATGAGAAATGGCAAGTTGAAACTGGCCAAGCCTCCCCCTGGGGGTACTCCTGGGAATTCTTTTCGGGGGTGTGCCGCCCTATTCTCCAAACCCTGACCCTATTTCAGGCCAAGAAATCCCTTACGTTGACACCCGTTTTCATATTTCATCATCTTCATCATCACTTTTATTTATAAAAGGTAAAAAACAATCAGGCTAAATATGCAATATACAATATCCTAAAAATGTTTACAAGCTATAGAATTAACGGTACTTAATGGTAATTCACTTACTTTCTTACTCATTTGGAATTCATACGTTCATACACTCTCGTAGTTCCCTCGAAAACCATGATTTTAGACCAAAATGGGCAAAGTCTAAACCCAAGTTCCGATCAAAACGGTGCAAAAACTCTTCCCTTTTGGGGCCGCACATACCTACATGGCTTATATCAGGGAGTATCAACCCTCCCTCCCCCAACCCCCGGAATCTCCATGACCATAGCCGCGGGCTAATTGTAATTGTTTGTCTGAAAATCTCGGTTTCAATATTTGTACGAGGTAATGCTTTATTATTTATGCTTATTTTGTGGAACGATAAGCACAAAGATTTTAATCTATTGTTTGCCATCTGTCGGGCTACATATTAGAATTCTTTAAATTGCTGAACAAATCCCTGCTACGATTGGGTGTTGCAATGAGTGATAAAACTTCAGTTCAGAATGACTGTTAGATGTTTGCGAATTATGATTTTTTTTGTGGACATCTGAAATAAACGCCACGATCCATGACCCATCCACTGCTGAATTAAAAAAAAATCGAAAACAGAAAGCGGAAACAAAAATGTTGGGCCACATCTACTATTTTTCTACCATCAATAATTCATTCTATTTTTGAATTTAGGACAATCAAAAAATTGAATTGACCGCTGACTTAGAAGCAACGCAGTTAATAGGAGGCGGTCACTTAACAAACCAATCAGCGGCAAGGAAGAATGTCGCCCTATTTATACGGAATACAACAGGTGAAGTCGACCCTTTTCACACACGCTTTAATCTACTGCACACCAAGTTTTCACAGTCTTGTCGCCACTGCCGTATCGGCCCTTGCGGGCTTATACGCATCGGCGCACGAACCACCAAGACTCCGGCTTGTTCGGTAACTCACGGCATTCTTTTAAAACAAACACTTCAGCTTGGAAAACTTAACATATGGTAAGCAAAGCTCAGGTTATATCATTTCAAAGTTTCCTTTCATTTAAATGTTTGTACTTAGGTAATCGAACAAAGCAGCCACAAGTTTGACCAGAAAAAAATCAACAGAATGTCAATTAATCCTTGAAAACGACTCGCTGCTGCTGTTTGAAGTTCGTCTGCATGACTGAATTGATTGAACCATAGGTCGGCATCTGTCAGATTTGGTGAATGCCTTCCCCTAGCTATGTTAAAATTAGAACACAGCACGGTACTTATCTTCAACAGTTTCAACATCTTAATTATTTATGCCCATAAAACCCGTAGTGGCAACCTTAAACAACTGATTTATGAGGCAAGAAATTCGAGAAAGACATGTGTTTCACTGAACCCAACTTAGAGAAACCGACCCCTTAAATCAATTTTGCTGATTCAGGTAAAACGAGATATGCTGAGCCGAAAATCCTTAAAAATAACTCGAGATGAACCCAGAAAGCGAGTTAATTTTACAGGAGCGGTAAATCGTTTTGTTTTCAGACCTGATTGTCTACTGGAAGAAATAAGCTGACTTGAAAAACTTCAACATAAAAGAGGGTTCCTTTTAAAGAGGTGGAAGCATATTTTTAATATCATTTTTAGATGACTCTGTCGCACTATAAAATTTCGTGCGAGATGATGAGCAAGTTGATTCGTGATCTTTCCTAATTAACATTTCTTTTTTCTCTCAATAGAGCTAAATAATTAGAAATTCAAAAACACAATGAGCCCTTGACATTCACTTAATACCTTAAGAAAGAACCTTTGTTGCTCAGGATTGTTTGAAATACACTTCCCTCACGACACATCGGATCACGGGTAAAATAGGGCATCTAAAATTGCCTTCAGCGCTCAGTAGAATATTGATAATATTATCTAAGAAAAATCACCGAGAAAAATATATATCATTTTTAGATATATATTTGAAATCCTTTAATGTCTTCGTACCTTGTTTGTTGTAACGGATGAATGGTCGATAATGGAACCCGCTGAATTATGAACTCGCCACCTGTGAATTTGCGTGCTTTAAAAAACAATGAAAACCGCTATATACGCAGAATCCCCATAGATATTTTTTGTCTTGATTTTCTGTTTGGTTTTAGTTAAAATTGTTTTATTTTTCATTGAGTGGTTTGAGAGCTAGCCAGAAGATATAAAATAAGATTGTGAAAACCAAACAGATTTCTATGGCTTCTCTGATAGGAGCGTTATTGTAAATGTTGCCAATTTGAAAATCTGTAATCCTTCCTGCCAAATTGCCCACGCGTATTTACGCACGCTGCAAGCGTGGCGAGATAATTAAATAGAACCTGCTGTGAAAGTTATTTGATTGATTATAGCTAACTGGGTAGAAGAGCAACAACCAAAAACAAAATGTGGAATAAACAGAGATGACAAGAGATCTGTAAAAACCCTACGACCATTTTTACCAGAAAGAGACTAATTTTCTCTCTTACCGCGGCACAATGCGACAAGCTTCTTCGGACTTCCTGCGAGTGTTGTGTTATTTATATCTAACAAAAAAAACGCGAGGGCTCGCCGAATCGTCCACGAATCGTATTCATAGAAGCCGAACTGGTGGGGAAGGGGAGGAGGGGGTGGGAAGGGGGGGGGGGTTGCTTTCCTTTCCTTTTCTTTCTTTTCTTTCTCTTTTTCTTTTATTTTCTTTCTTTCTTCTTTGTCCTTTTTTGTTTTTGACGTTTTAAAAGGCTTTCATTTTTTTATCACTCTTCAAAACTTAAATGGCAACATACTCAGTTGAGTTGCCAAATAAATTACCTTTAATCTACATTTTAACCTTTAATTCAATTTTGTCTGTTGAATTTTGCCAATTTACGTGAGAGACCATATTGTGACAAATCTAAATCAAGAGCCTCTAGAAATAATATTAAACAGAACAGCCAAACTTTTTCGTAGGTTAATTCCAAATATTCATCCCGACCATGGAAACGACGTAGACGTCCCAGATAAAGCTTTTAAAGCAACTTTGACGTATGTTATTTTGTTTCTTTCAGTGCTTACACAGTTTCTAGCCACGCGATACATCGAATTACAAGCAAATTGTACCAGATAAGTGCACCGACGATTTCAACACTAGCTAATGGCAATTTGAGTGAGCAGCACGAACTGTCACTATAAACTTCAACGGACTCTCCCAAACTTTCAAGACAACCCTACCCTGTCCAAGAAGACTTCATGTATGATGCCCATGACGTACTCATCAGTTGGCGAGAATTCACCACTTGACCTGCCTCCAGGGCGTATCCAATCAGAGATCAAATAGCACCAAGGAAATCTGCGTATTGATGGAAATCGGCGCCGTTTCAGTGAGCTGGCAAAAAAGCGAATAGATAGAGTCAGGCCATAACGTACTAATTGAGAGCTAAAAACATAGTAGGCGCACGCATAACAGTTTATATAATTTTACTAATCCATTTCCGAACTACTAACACAGAGACGCGAATGAATTCGAATTTCGTTTGCAATTCAGCGTGTTGTGCTAACATGTCTAAACTTATTTGTATTGCTAACCATTTAATAGTCCCCTTTCCTAATTTGACCTAACCACTATGTCTAGCTAACTTACCCACCTTTTGGCTACTAACTGCTACCTTTTACTTACAAATACTTAAGGTGTGGTCTATAAAGGCACTCTTACTTCTTTACTAACAGACTAATTGCCCTCTGTTCTGCTTACTAACCTCTCAGTCACTCTCCATCACTTATGATGTAAGGTATATTATCTCACATTCTACCTTATAGCTGATCTAACCTAACCTAACCGAGACTGATCTAATATAAAGTAATGAAATCTAATCTAAACTAGTCTGATATAATCTCATACAATTTGATCACTTTCATCTCTTCCATTTATCTAATCCAATCCAGTCTAACACAATCTAATCAAATTTAATCTAATTTAACCTGACTCTCCCATTAATCTAATCTAATCTAATCTAATCTAATCCAATCTAACCTAGTCTGATCTAATGTAATGTAATCTAATCTAAACTAATCTTACTTAATCTAAACTAAACTAGTCTGATCTAATCTAATCTCATTTTATTACTTCCTTCTCTTCCATTTGTCTAATCATATCAATTCAAATCCAATTTAACATAATCTAATCAAAGTTAATCCAATTTAACCACATTCTACCATTCATTTGATCTAATCTAATCTTATCTATGCTATCTATTTCAACCAAAACTGATCTAATCTAATCTAATCTCTAATCTAAACTAATCTAATCCAATCCAATCCAATCCAATTCAATCTAATCTACTCTAATCTAATCTAATCTAATCGTTAATGCTATCTAATCTAATCAAATATAATCTAATCCCTAATATAATCAAATCCAATCTAACCCTAATTCAATTCAATCTAATCTTGTCTAATCCTCAGTGCTGTCTAATCTAATCTAACTGATCTTATCTAATCTAATCTGATCTTCCTGGTCTTTTCTAATCTAATTAAAGTTGATTTAACCTAGCCCAATCAAATATAACCTAAATTAACATCTTCTAATCTAATATAGCCCAGACTCCAAACTAATTAGAATTAACCACATCAAATCAAATCAAATCTACTCTTTTTGTACTCTGACAAAATTTTATCTAATCGCTAATCAAAGCTAATCTAATTTAATCGACTGCCTGACAAGTTAACTAATAATATCAGACACTCAACTCAAAGCAAATAATTCCCTGACCAGTGACATGAATAATCAATTATTCTAATTAATTAACATACCAATATATGAATATTAACAGTTATAATATTAAGTCATAGTAACAGTTTAAAGACCATGTGTTATAGCAAAGGATAGAGCATAATAAGTAAAGACTTATCCTTTAATTGCCACTAATAGAAGGCCAGCTCACTCTACTAACGACGATAGAAATGTGAGATTTTTGCAATGAAGTTTATGATTTATGCTTTCCACATTTATTTGTTATTTAGCGATTTCAGTTTTTTCAAGGTTCGACGTTCAATTTTCTCTCCAGTGAAATTACTAAATCGGCAACACTACACTTGCAATAAAATGCGATAAGACGAACTTCTCGTTCTGTTTTATCACTAAGTCAAAGACAATCCACATCTTGCTCCCAGACCTCCTACGTCCGAGCGGAAGATCTTGCTCTGACTAAGTAAAGCTAAAGTAAAACGGGCAACAAAAACAGTAGACCTGCACCATTCCAAATCTCTTATTTCACTGGTCCCTTTAATCTGTATTACCATTGTTTCAGAGATAGGGGCATTGTTATGTGACAATCCCTATTGTTCTCACAGCTAATCAAAAACAATCTTTCAAATAGGTGCGGGATCGCCCAACAAAGAACGTGCAACCTTTTTTGTAACATTGCGGCAAAACGAGTTGAATAGCGAAGTTGCACGCCTTTCCACTGACGCTCGAATCTCAGTCTCGCAACAAAATAAGGTTACAAGGCTTTTTTCGCGCCTGGAAAAACGTGCAACATCGCTGTTCAACTTGTTTTGCAGAAATATCGCAAAACAAGTTGCACGTAATACAAGCAGCTTTGGTTTGGGGCACGATTTTTAGAGCCAGTTTCACCAATAAGATTAGTGCTAGGTGTTACAAAGAGATGACGCGTCATTAGCTTGCCCTTAATCATCTAATTTCCCATATAGAACATTTTTGTGTGTGTTAGTCTCTGTGCACCGCGAAACACATGTAAGCGCAACTTTAAAAGCGACTGCGTTGTACCCAAGAGCTTATACGGTTATTAACAATTATTCGCCAAAGGCGATGTTAATATTGTTGTTATTCAACAATATTAACTGAGCCTGAGGTGAATAATTGTTTTAGTATATGCACACGAAGTGATCTCAACAGAATCAGAAAGAAAACCATGAAAAAAAAAAACGATTAGTTTGATTCACGGTTGAATTCATGCGTGAACATGTAGCCGTAAACAGCCGATGCACAACAGTTGGATCTTTATAGTATTTTCAAACAAGACAAATCATAATTTTAATTGTTTTGTAAACTTTAGCATCAATGATTGAAAAGAAAACGTTGAAAGTTTAAATAACTCCCCTTTCTGAGAAGAAACACAGAGCTTTATTTGCCTCTGTCAACTCACCGTGAATGAGACAGTTTTTTTGTCGCTTCTTGAAAATGCCGTCAACAGCGGCTAAGATCGAGGTGAGCGTTGTTTATCTGCAGTGCAGTGTTCCTTGCCATGTTCACTTGCTGGCACGTACAGTTTTCGAAAATATTTGCTTTCCTTTTTTTCTCCGTAAATTAACTTCTATTTCCAGGCAAAATTGGTCTTGTGAGGAAATTCTGAGTTCACGAAACAGTGAAAAAGCGGCCACCTTTTCCGCTGTAGTGGTCAATAAAAACATTGCTTCGAGCGTGTGAAAGTCAACTGCAGTAAATCACTTCGCAATAAAATCACGCTGTTTACACACCATGCGGACCTTTTGGGCCTGTTTAAAAAAGTTCTTACTCTGATCGAAACTTGGCAAAACACCCAGTTCACGACAGCGCTTTTGTTTTGCTTTATATTCACCGCCTAGCGCGGTGAATATAACGTCATAGTCCAAGATAGCGAACCAATCAGATTGCTTGAAACACTAAGATCACTGAGTGTGTATATACTGAAAGGAGATATAGGAATGTTACAGGTTAACCCAAAGCAGCTCTTCCCAAGATGCCTAGCTCGCTTGGAAAATGTGTTCCCAACTCCTTGCCCTCAATCTCTCAAAATCTTCCACAACACAAAGGGCTTGGACAGGTTAATACCTGCGATATGTGACCTATGTGTGTTTTGTGGACCTTGAAAAAGCCTAGAACGCGCTTGACTTAGCTATCCCTAAATCCCTCGTCCTTCAATAAGAAAGAACGAACCTCGACCCAAGATACCCTTAGCGCGTTAATGGTACCTCGCAGAAAAAGGCAAAAGAGGCTGCAATTGCAAGAATCATGGAACTTAATCATGTGTCGATAATTTTTGCACGCAAGTTGTTGCTTCTTTCTTTGTGATAGATCAAGATGGATTCTCTGACTTGCTATACTGGGAAAAAAAAATTCAAGAGTGTACGAATTTCGGTTAGATGCATTGCTCTAGATGTAAATTAAAGGATTAAAATTGAGTATTTTATAGAAATTGTGGCTTTGTGTAAATCACATGGTTGCTTTTACGGTTGTTAGGTTAGTCGACATTAATATTTCAAGGCTTTTTCTTGATTTATTCACGAGGCGAACTGTCTAAGTTGCTCTTCTCGAACATCAGAACACAAAACTTCTTCAAAAGCTGTTTCTAAAAAACTCTATTGTGAATAGAGTCAGCGCGTTGAAGTACTAAGCTTCAGATTAGCAGCTGGGACCACGAAGAAAGCGCATTAGGTTTGGTGCCTTCATTGTTTTAGTTGTAACACTACCAGTTAAAACTGTCTTGACCCTAAGTGGTACACGTTAGGTCATTATTGACTTTGTGGGCAGTGAAAAAGTTGTTCTATTTGTTTACTATATTCCTCTAGTTTCTCTGATATGTTTTTAGCATTTCTTCGTAGTAAGTCTTGCGGCTGAGACTTTTGTGCACCCATCAAGATTTATACCCTTTACAGAGGGTTTTTACTCTTATTGTAACATGTGGATCATTGTTTGGGTCCTGATTAATGTGATATGGAACATAGTGGATACCAGGCACATCAACAAATTAAGCAAAGGTAAACAATATTCGTTTCACAATTTATTGCTGCCGTCAGACATATTCACTAATCTATCACAAAATATAAATGGTTGTTTGAATTGCCTAATTCAGGGAAGCAATTTCAATTGACGTCTCTCTTATCTCTGTAACTAACTATAACCTGTTTGCGACAAACAGTGGGAGATAAACAGCACCACTAGTTAGAGTCATAACCAAAATTCAGACAAACACGTCCCCTGTTTCATTTGGTTGGTCTGAGCCACATTTTCGCCCCGGGCCATATTTATCAATAGCGGTGAAAGTTAGACAGTCTCTTTTCTTTGTAACTTTAATTTCTACGCTTGGTAAACCCACTGCAACGATAAAAATGATACAAGACATACAAGGATTTGTTTCTACTGAACTACGTACGCGAGCAGGAATCCCGTTAATACAGTTACTTGCAACACAATTTTTGTTAAACAAAAGAAAATCGTAATACTTTCGCATTATAAACTGTTGTCCTCTCCATTTATTTTATTGAGCGTTATCGTTCCTTATATGTACCAGTCACAATGTTACTCCTTATTCGGAGTTACTTTTCCCTCTCCTCGACTCATGGGCCGACAGATAAACGGCGACAACAGGCCTCAAAGTTTTCAAATCGCCACTATGTACCACTCTGTAGACCGCTGCTTCTTGGGTCATTTCAGGGGAAAGCTGAGAGATAAATTCCCCCCGTGTGCCACGCCTCATCCGTTTATGAGTTTATTTTAAATCCCGAAAACTGATGTCCAACTGTATGATCATACGGAAATAATCCCTTAAGAGTTCACGGCTGCTTAAAAATCCACCATCATGAAACACTTCTGCATGTTCTGTTCACGCTGCATGTGACTTTGGTCCATAGCGACCATCTGTCAAACCAGTAATCTCTCTGTAACTAAGTAAGGAGAAAAAATATCGACCTTTTAAACTTGCGCTTGAAGAAAATATCTCTTCAAACTCAAAGGTGCGACGCTTAATCTGTAGAGGAGTTTATTCGAATAGATACGGTATATGTATTCCGAAAGAAAGATCTAAATTCCAAAGTCTGGTTTATTTTGTCTGTTAGCTAAGAAGGGTGTGACCAATTCATATGAGAATTTTAATCGAAATTTTCAACCGTTTTCCTGCTTGGTCGTCATCATGAACGTACTCAACAAAACGCTTTCTCAATATTTTGTGACACAGCTTTAGAACTATAAACTCGGCGGGATGTACACAGTAATTAAGGAGAAGAGCTAACTTTAACAAATTTTATCACCAGCTTTTTCCTGATAATGCTATTAATAAATTTTGGAATTAAGGAAAATAACTCATTTCCAATGATCATGATTAACGCTTTTCTTATTTCTTTCTCTAACACAAAACCAAAGAGGATCAAGAGTTTGAAAATCTAGAGAAAAGACAGCAAATCACCGGAGAGCTGGAAATAGGTGGCCAAAGTAGGTGAAATTTAAGCATGTGCTAAATACTTATAAAATACATTTGAAGTTGACTGTCAGCAAAATCAAAAGAGGCCACTTTTGCCGAGACATACAGTCAGCTCTGATTTCTATGACGGTCACCTTTGGGATTGGCACTAAGTGTCCATCTTATAGAGAGTCAAACAAAGGGGAGAAAGGAAAGGATAGGACCAACTCAGTGTCCGTTTAAGCGAGGTGTCCGTCTTATAGAGGTGTCCGTTAAGAGAGAGTCGACTGTAATCTTATGAAAATCCAACGAAAGTGTTCGTAGCAATGGAATCTCTTGAGACTGGCCTACCCTACCACACTTAGATTAAAAATGAGGGTCCTTGGGTGACGGCGGGTTGGAAATAAATAGATAAGAAGTTAACAACTGTTAGTTTACAGTTGAATCGCTAATAAACCCTAACACCTCTGTTACCACTTTTTAAGAGACCAACCGATGTATATATGGTCGCTACCTTTTCTTTCCCAGGGGGGTGGGCGAGGTTCGACTGTAGTTATCTATAACTAGGACAAGTTATATAATTAGAAACCACTTTCTAAGAAGCACACTTGGAGAATACATTCATGTCTTTCTTGCGTCCCACATGTGTGCACCTTCAGTTAGTGTATCATCATAGTTCTAATGAAAACTTGGATCAGAATTTTTTTACATCGTGCGAGTTCCGACAAACCAGTTAAACTAAGAATGACTAATACAAATTTCATCAAAACTAAAATTGTCGAGCGTTGCCAAAGGATATCAAATCCGTTATAATGATTCAAGTGCTCCTTTGACAAAATGCATCCCACGTCCTTTATAGGGTTTGAGAGTCTTGGTTGTTGGCGAGATGCATGGTCACGTAGCCTGCCCACGCTAGAAGGGGAACACTATTTACTAATGGATCCAAACTACAAAGGCAGAAGACATGCCCTATTTAAGTGCGCAAGAGCAGCCTTAGACAAAGGCTATAATTTGTTCGGTATTGAGAATGGCGGACAGTGTTTTGCCAGTGCCGATGAAGATAAAGGTTATCACAAGTATGGAGCTTCGAAAGAATGTAAAGGTAAAACGGCTTGAAAATCGCATCTTTTCAAGCTATATTTTAAGGATATATAGTGGCAGTTGTTTTGGTTAGCCCCTATGTTACAATAAGTTCTGAGGATAAGACACAAATTCGAGTCGCTTTTAAAGCAAGTTATGAAATAACGTTCTTCGCCGCCTTGTTTCAGGGGATGGCAAAGGTGGTCCATGGAGTTTACAAGTGTATCGGTAAGTATCTTTTCCAAGGGGCGCTGGCAAATTTTATCATTTCATAATTAGTCGTATCAACCTATAAGAGAAAAGCCCTGAGGACGAGGCTGTTTTATTACCATCTGCATGTTGCAGCCGTGAATTCTCCCTCAGACGTACACTGTTGAAACAGCCAAAAACTGTCGTCTTAGCGGAGGTGTCTGCCTTACACCAACTATAGAGAGACACTGAAAAAAAAATTGGCAGAGACCTGAACGGTAGGCAACAGTTTTTTGGGAGGTTTTGCGGCTTATAGAGATAGTTGAACAGTCAGTGTTTTTGTCTTTGCATTTTTTGGCCGATTTTTAAAAACGTTACCGCCAAATGAACCTTTTCTGTCCAACGGTATTTTTTTTGCCAAAAACTATCCTCATAGTAGCCATTATAAAAACTAAGAGTGAAACCATTGGCTTTTTTTTTCTTCTCCTCACTTTCTTTCTCCTCGATCTTTCTTTTTGTCGTTTACTTTTTCTTCTTTAGTGTGATTTTGGAGAATATCGGGCCCAATAAACCTGCTTTTTGACGGCTTGTCACTCAAAGACGGCAAATTTCGTTAGGTTGGTTTTCAAAAAGATTGGCTAGATTTACATTACCGACAACGATCTGGTATTCATTCGGTTACCAATTGTGTTTTCAGGTTTCTAAACAAGCATGATGCTGTCAATGGTGCGTATGGTCAGTGGTCGTCATGGGGAACATGCAGCAGAACATGCACAGGAGGTGTCAGGCGGCGCATGCGTAAATGTTCAAATCCTCCTCCATCAAATGGAGGGCTCGACTGCAGAAGCTTGGGTCCAAGCGTAGAAAGCCAAGACTGCAACGTTGAATCATGCAAAAGTAAGGAACATATTAACTTCCGGCTGACCCAACATTGTCTGAATTCTTAGTTGTATCAATAAATAAATCAATCAATATCCATGGCTTGCTAGGATCTTACCAATTGTGTTTATCATTATATTAAATTAGATGAGCACTGACCGTACTTAAACTTCCAATTTAAATAGTTTACTGGTCACAATAACTTCTGTAGTGATGGCAATGCAGACAAGTAAAAAGCGGCAACTAATTAACTCGACCTATTTAATTTCCCTATTTCATTTTCAGTTACATTTGGTGTTGGAAAACCTGAATCTAGAGATCTTCCCTTAGAGTCAACGAAACGAGACGAAAAACAATCACAGCCGCTGGTGGCAGCCACTCCTTCTTTTCCACTACCAACGAATGGTCAACATTTGGACCTTCCAGTAAACATAAAGGTAACATCTGTCGAAAGCAATAACAACATTCAAGCCAATAACGACAAAGGCGAATACGTATCCATGCCTAACAAAAATAACCAAGATATGAACCAGGAAACTAGCGGAAATCAACAATCCAGCTCTAACCAAGATGGTGATCAGGTTAAGATGCAACAAGGGAAGTATATACCAATGTCCAGAGAAGACATTAACGCGTTTAAACAAGTGGCGACCTTTCAAAACTCAAAATCAGGATCGAATGTAGAACAGGCAAAACATTTGCAGGAAAGCCAAAAGCCATTTATGGACGGCAGAGACCAAGAGAATTCTACACAAGTCCCCACACATCAAATGGCAAACAAAAAGCCGCCACTCCGAAATGGCATGCATTCGTCTTCAACAGCTTATCAAAAGCCCGATGCTGTCCATGGTAATGATGACGTCGAGGCTGGTCTAAGTTCTTCGCAAATGTCAAGTTCAGGGGAAGGTATCACCAGTGAAAACTCCCCCAATGAAGATAACAGAATCCGTAACAGCAGTAATTATAAAGGGTCAAACGAGGAGGATGATAAGCAATCTGAAAACAGAATTGACGAGGAGTCAATGACGTCAAATGCAAGTGGGAAATTTCATGACGAAAAGTCAAGGAAAATAACTAATGAAGGACAAAACCAAACTCAAAAAGGATTTAGCAAAGTAGGTGAATCGTTAAGGGTATCAGGTCCTGAATTTCAGGGGAAAATTTCAACGGATAATGAGCCGGATGGATCTCAACATTCTAGCAAGTTTGAGAGTGGGTTAGATGATGCACGTAATGTTGAGATACAAATGACTAATAAAGGGACAAACATAGAAAAACAGTTAAACAAAACGCGTCAAGATTTCAGTAATCAACCGCAGGTAGTCGAAGATCAAGAACAACAGCCGAAAGGAACCGCTAAGGAAAACTTTAAGACCGCAGTTCAAGGTTCAGACCACGCCCCTGTAAACGTTGAACAAAAAGCCGCAGACATACAAGGCCAAGAGGGCAGAAAAACTGCCAACAAAGTTCAGGAAACTTCGCTTGGAAAACAATCCTTAAACCTTAAAGGAGACCAGCCGTCTGATAAACACTATAACAAAGACACTTCAGACGGTAGTGAAGAATCTCAGCCAAAGGCATCCGAGGAAGAAAGACACGATGAAGGGCGAGAAAAAGAAAGAGCGTCTTCGACGAAGATCCAGTTCCAAGGGCCAGTATCTCAACAGGGAAATAAAGTTGATGACTCCAGACATTCTCCGAATAAAGCAGACGCTTTGTCGACAGATGGAGGGAAGCCGGTTGACAGCCACAGCCCACAACCAGCACAAACTTCTCCAAACCAAAAGCAAGACGGTGAATCAATGTCACAGCAAGAGAGTCCCCAGAACGTTCACGACTCTGACAAAATGTCATCTTCAAATGAGAAAACAAGCTCGCAGAACTCACCGGAAGGTGTAAAGAATGACAAACATGAATCATATGAGGGGCAGCCGTCTCGGGAAGAAGGAGAACCAGTACCAATAGTTGACCTGAACAAATCTGGTGCAATGAATGGTGAAGATTATGGGCCAGCTCCCAACGGAGAGTTTTCGGGTCCAGATGAAAGCAATTCGATGCAAAGTCAGCCCCAGACGCCGGGCCCCGTGTATGATAATGAGGCAATACAAGGAATAAGCGAAATGTCTCAAAGAGCCGATCAAAGTGTTTTTCAACAACAAAACCCCGGAAACCAGGCTGGCCCTGATGAGAGCTCAGAAATTGGATATGATGATATGGGCTCACCACAAGCGTATACGGGTGAAAATGTACGGGATACAGCCAGACAACAAAAACAAAAAGAAGCGGCAATTCAAGAGCGATTTCCAGACCAAGAAGAAGGTCAAGGCCAGGTTGGACTGACATCAGACTACTACAATACAGAGCCTGCCGAAGATTGTCTATGTCCAAAAAAAGGTGATGGGTAACTTGCTGGGGAAATGGCTTTTCATAAACACCACTAGATCAGAATATATTTTGAAGGGGCTTCTTTACAGTGAAAAACCTAGTGGTACTGATAGATCGATTTTTATTACCATAAATTTGGTGAGTCATATATAGCTGGGCCATAACTCCTATATTCAGCACCACGAATAAAGGCTAAATTTCAGCTATCAAAATTCAAAGGAATCCCAGAACAATGGGACTCGTCAAATCAAAGACTAAAATGACATTTTGTTATTTAAAATTAAAATTTAAAATATTATACGTAAAATGAAATTTTTTTTTCGACCTTTGTCACTCGATGTTGCTCGATCGCTATTTTCGTTAACTTAAAAACTAATTAACGGTCACTCTTTAACTTAATTTCTACACAGAATGTTCCGCAAAAGCTGACATTGCCTTTCTGGTTGACGGATCAGCTAACATCCCTCAACCCTACTATGCACGTGTTCTCGAATTCATCAAGATCTTTTCCCGCGGATTTGACAAGAGCAATATTCATGTTGGAATGATGGCTTATGGAGATGATGTCAAAACAGCTTTTGACCTCAAAGCCCTGTCTGATTTCAAGCAGTTCGATGATTCCGTAAGCATTGCTCCCTACATAGGTGGAAGAGCGCACACAGGAAAAGCTCTTTCAAAACTGAAAACAGGGCTCTTTGAAATGTCTGGTCGCCAGGATGCACCAAGGGCCTTGATACTTTTGTCTAGTGGAGGGTCTGCTGATGATGTTGTGGCACCAGGCGCAGAACTGCGGGATTCTGGGGTTAAGGTCACGGCTATTGGTTTAGGGAAACAAGCTAATGTTAGAGAACTGATAACCGTTGCATCAGAACCCAAATCAGAACACGTGTTTACGGCATTCCTGGACACACTGCCCAACGCTATGGATGAGATCATACAAGGCGTCTGTAGAGGTAATCTCAGCTATTCACTACATATAGGTACACAACGGTCTCCATGAGAAAACAAAAACATGTTTCCAGCAAAATACCACCTGTTTACTGTTTGCCATGTTTTACAGCGGGATCGCTTCTTGTGCTTAATCTTCATCTGCAACCCAAATAGTCTAGAAAAACAGCCCCTCCGATTCCACCAAGCAAAGGTTAACATTCGTCTTTACATAACAACTATACAAAATATTTTATGCTATAATTAGAGTGTATTAGTTTAGTTTGTCACATGTGAGGATAGGCGTTTGTCTCGGAGACGATCTTCAAACATTCTATCGGTCTGAAGCAGACGGATAGAACGTGTTGGACAATCAAAACTCTTTCAGACGAACATAACTGAGCCAGACGTCGAACTTTTTATGAACTTAACTCACTGAGTTTGGTTCGTCCCATGAAAAGCCCTCCCCCCAGTCCCCTTGCCAGTCGTTGGGGAGGGGGGAGGCAGCGGGGGGCTAGGTGGGGGGAAGAGAAGGATGGCATTTCAGACTAAGTCTGTAACTTTTCTTTTTAAAGTCCAGGATTTAAAAGAAAGTTAAGTCTATTTTTCTTAATTCCTACTAGATGTAATGGGAATTGTGCGAGACAGGCAGGAGCCATGCACCTGTGAAACTTTCAGTGCTCAGGGTGCTCAATCGAACGATTACACTAAAGTGCCTGTAGACAAGGATACTAATGACGAGAGGCAGAGTACCCAGCAAATACAAGGCTCGTCATATCCCCAAGATCAGAGAGACTTGGAAACTATGAGAGTTCCACTTTACCAAAATAAGCTGAGCCAAGGTTTTCAGCTTCCTAATAGCAGTAACAAGGACTTTAAGATCGTTGAAGTTGGTTTAAGTGCGGCTACTCCTGGAAGTGATAACCGTCCATTTAATAAAAACTTTGGCCAACAAGGTAATAACAATAACCTCAAGCCCGCCATTGGCCATGGATTTCGCCTGACCGGGATTGGATACAGTAAAGACATACAAGGTGAAAATCAAGACCATGCCTTAGAAACATCACAAGATCCTGGTGTTCAAATGGCCAGACCGTTTGGTAATCGACTGCGACAGTCGCCTGTTACTAATGAGCACTCAATCGGTGCAGATGACAATTTCATTCTTCCTGATTTAAACAACAGTAAAAACGAACATTTAAAAACCGACTTTTCAAATCATGAGCAGAATCATATGGATGGGCCTCAGATGCATCGTTTTGCTGCCGGCCTCCCTGAACACTACAAACCTCATGGTAATGATGGCGCAGACAAACTACCAAACCAAGGGGCATACGGTGAACAGCCTGTTGAATCACTTTTCCTTTATCAGAAACCAGGTGCGAAACAAGATAATACTTTTTCGCAGTCTTCGGCTGTAAATCAAGCTCGAGGTCCCGGATTACTTGTTAACTCTACCGCTTCTATCTATCCCGCTGACAATGTTTATGGAAGGCCTCTACAGCAACAGCGAAATCCCACAGCTAAACAAGGCGATTTGACATCGGATTACAGAAGGCCAACCAAGGTTATTGCTGTGGGGAAACCTGCAGAGTACGTCAATTCTTACCCACAAGAACAAAACCGACAGGGTGAGATTAGTTTGTGCAGGCTCCTGGTTTGTGCAAATATCATTTAGAAACAAAACAACACAAACAAAAATATATACAAAAAAACCAACAGAAAATATAACTTTACTTGGGGGCTTGGGGGCTGTTGTGTACGCCTCACCATGTCATTGCGGTTAGATCTGAATCTAACCGACTGCTAGATAACTGTTTTTACCCACATTCAAATTTTCTCAGTGCAAAGTCGATATAGGTTTGAGAGGCTTGCAGTTAAACGTATTTGGCTAGCTTAATTCATGATTAAGGCCAAAACAGTGTAATTTCGTGTTGTTGATATTAGTAATCCCAGCAACCGAATAAAGTCCTATCTGTGGTGGAACACCGCACTGTGCTCAAATAGCTAACTTGGGACTCTGGCTGGGACAGACGGTTCCTATCTCAGTCTATCTATAATCGGTTTGGTTACATAGCGTCAATACTCTTATATTTAACTTGTAAAAACAGAAACTGTTATTACCAATTATGACAGATATTTTCCGGAGGAACAGTCGTTTTTGGTCTGTCCCCTTTAGAATTAAAATTCATTCCCCTCAGTGATTGAATTGTTTGATACATAGTTTCCCTGACGGAATATCTTTCAGAATGCTCTGGAGTTAACCTCGGAGTGGTCCTCGATAGCACTGCAACTGTTAATGGCCAAGACCTAAATCAAGCTACAATGATGATGAATTTGGCCAAGAAGGTTTCTCATCTGTTTGCCTCATCCCCAGCTGGGAATAGCGTTGGCATGGTAGTGTATGGTGGTTCACCACAACCTTCAGTGGTCCACTTCGACAAATTTCTGGATCAAAAGACCATGGATGAAGCTATTGAAAATGCAAGCAAGCCGAGCGTTGAGATGAAAATTGGGAAAGCTCTGTCGATGGCACAGCAAGAACTCTTCAGTCAGCTTTCTATGTTTAATCGCAATATATTGCTGCTTGTTACAGATGGTGCATCTTTTGATGACGTGAGTCGTCCTGCATTGGAACTGAAAAGGCGGGGTATTGAAGTTTTCTGTCTAGGTGTCGGCAAAGATGTAAATGAAGCACAACTTGACTTAATTGCATCCGACCCAAAGGAGAATCATGTGTTTTTGGCGCCACTTAATGATGCCGATGCGCTGATGGGAAGAATTCAAAGGGAGATATGTTTGGCAGCGAATAGAGAAAGTAAGTTGTTTTTCAAGTCGACAACAGCATTAGCAACCAAATCACGTTCTAATGCTCAATTCAAAATGCATGTAAATAGGCTCTTTAATGGAGCAAGTAGGGATGAAAAACATACAAATAAACAGTAAATGATAACCAATCAACCACTTGATTAATCAACCGATCAATCAATAACAAGTAGAAATATCAAAGTGCAGACTTTTCAATTCGACCCGCTGACAGGCCATTTACCTGATTATTAATGTCCGTACTATGCCCTCGAATAGAGGCTTTTGACAGGTTAAAAAAAATTGCTGTATTGACACCCATGCACGCCAAAGCAAGGACAGTGAATTCAGTCTATTGAAAGTGCGAACGTTTGGTATCCTGTGAACATCTCACTAAGTCTAGAAGATAGCTTCATCCGGAATCTACATATTCTTGTATAGACGTCCAGATCTGCTAAAAGAAGAAAGTACGTCAGGACCGTGCAGTCAATTAAATCACACTGTTGTTTCATGAAACTGGCCTTAATACTGTCTTACATTTTGTGTTCACACCATTTAGCATTTAGTTGATTACAGCTGGTGCTTTTGCAAAGAAAAAAGTACAAAAGCGCAAATTCTCACAAGAAACAAAAACAACGTTCATAACAATAGTAATGATAATAATAACGTTGAAGATGATGATGATGATGATGATGATGATGATGACGACGACAACGACAACGATTGGGCAGAAAACCTAGGCTAATGAGCCCTTATGGATCCGATAGTATTAAATACTGAACAAGAAAAATGTTAAAAACGAACAAAAGGGTAACTAATATAAATTAAGGAAAATTCACTTAAAGAGAAGCAGGATTAATATCACCTAAGTTAGACATTTGTATTCTAGACGTGGACAGCATCATGATCTTTATATATTTTAAATTTCCTCCAGTTCATTTTGCTGATGCCTGCTTTTTATGCAAGGGTATGTTATGTTATATAAAGAGTGAGCAACGCAGGGTACCAATTTTACAAACTCTGAAACGAAGATTTGATCAAGGAAGCAAGCGTTCTAATAAGTTTTCGTTAAGACCGCCACCACCATCTGTTTGGTTTAACTGCAGTATCATACATTACATCAAATCATTCAACTACTTTGTGCCTAACAGATTATGTCGCTCACGTGCGCGTAACAAAGAGCAGTGATTCACTAACCCATAACCCACCTTATCTAGATTTTAATTGCCTCATTACAACGAGCAGCTAAGGGCACATTTACCGTTTAGTATTAATCATTAACATGAGATAGCTAACTGCTGTAGCTTACAGCTCCTTTTGACTAAACTATAAATGGCTTTCCTTAAAACTAATTTTCGACATTCGGCGTGTTTGCTTGCAGCTCGCTTCTCTACCCAGCGAAAGTGTCCTTCTGACCTTGGATTTGTTATCGATGGCTCAAGAAGTGTCGAGGTTCTTGGAAAAGGAAATTTCAAGAAAATGCTGGACTTCGTTAAAAATGTTTCCGTGGGATTTTCCCCTGAAGACACCCGCGTTGGGGTCATAACGTATGGAACAGAGCCCCAACTGGTTATCCCTTTCAACAAATATACCACACCAACTAGTCTGGCCTTTGCCATCGAGAACGTTCCTTACCCCGGGACATTTACCATGACAGGAAAAGCATTAACGCTAGCCAATCAGAAGCTTTTCGATAGCGGAAGTCGAATTAATGTCCCCAGAGTTCTAGTTGTTCTTTCAAAAGGCGCATCAAAAGATAACGTCCAAAAATCGGCAGAGGCTCTGCACAAGTCTGGAGTGGCAGTCATTTCTGTTGGTTTGGGTCCAAGTTATGACATTACTGAGCTGAACAATATTGCTTCAAAGCCTGTTGCTTATAACGTCCTTAAAACTGAATTTAATAATTTACCATATAAAGTAAAAGAGCTGCAAGACAAGATATGCCAGGCTAACGACAATAAGAAACTACTTATTTAAGCATCAAGTCTTACCCCGTGAAAGTAAAATTAACCGCAGTTCTTTTAACATTTAAGAAAATTTTATACATGATCAAACAATGACATTGTAACAAATGGTTACTTGAAACAATTTTTGAGAGGGAAGCCAACAAAAACATACTTCTTACGTTTCTGTCACTGGCAACATATATAGTACAGTTACCTTTAGGTTACCCTGCGAATACAGATGACTCTCATCAATTTCATAACCAGAAGGACACTGAAAACAGAATGCGACTTATGATAACTTCAAAACGCCTTGCTTTGCTCAATACATCAGTTTGATTGGTGCAGGGGACGTGAAAAGAAAGTCTCCTTTCCATAAACTTTGTCCAGTCTGTATCTCTATGCTTAATTCGGCTATGGTCGTCAAACAGTCGGTAAAAATGTGGTCAGATTATTTACTCCAGGAAAGAGCAAATGATGATACTGGCTCAAAACGGGCCGTTTTTCGAAGAACATAATAGAAAACGCCTAATTATTTATCTTTTTGGTTGAAAATGAGTATTATTATCTGTATTATTGTCATGCTTAAATAACACATCTTTCAATTGTGTTGCAAGGAGCGGTATCATATTACCTTTAACCCTATTCAGACCGGGCTATTTTGGCTTCTGCTTCCTGTGACCGGCTGGAATAACATACTCGTCACTTCCATTTTATTGAAACAATGGCGTAATTTGATGCCATCATTACTGTCATATCCCATGAATCCTTATGCGCTTCGTACATGCGCAGTAGGTGCTTCTTGCCATGTGCTTACAGACTTGAAGTTAAATATTGTGGAGTTCTCCGTGTTTCGATATACAATTTCCTGGTACATTACAAAGTACAAATTCCTGGTACATTACAATTACATCATATTGTTCAATTAAGTGGCAAAATCCAAATTCCCCTCAAAGTAGCCGTAAGGCAAAAAAAAGAAACATTAAAAAATTAAGGTGTCCAATGATATGAAAAAATTAGCTAAGATATTAATGAACAGTGAAGTTATGATGACGTCATTCATTACGTAATTAAGGAACTAAAACTACCCGCCATCTTGGATCCACCATTTTGTATTGCTGAAATGTATTCCGTTTCATTTAGAAACCGCATTAATGAAGGTAGTCTTGATAGAAAAGTTGATGTATTAAAGCATATTGAGGAGGCAAAAAAATCGGCAAGTCATGAAATTCTTACAGAAATGAACATTGTGCCAAACTAAACTAGGCATCTGCAGCCTGTGTTACATTAAACGCTCGCAAAAATGTGATAAAATAATTAAATTTACTTGAGTTTAACACTATAATTCAAGAAGTTAAAATAGAAAACAAAGTATTTTTTGGAAAAATGCAAATTTTGAAAAACATGGCTGTCAAAACTCGGTTGCCATGGTAACGTTTATGTTGACGAACACGTCACGACGACTCTAAACTGTTCTCAGATAATTTTTAGGACAATTCGCTAAACTTGGGGTCATAGCTTGAACGGTTATGAAATTATTCGACTTTTCCGTGAGGCCGAGGGAGGGTTCAAAAAGCCAGTCCGTCAGAATAGGGTCAATGAATCTCCGCAATAAGCACCATTTTTGTATCTTAGCTATATCCACGGCCTTTTGCTTAGGTAAACATTTACATAGGACAATTCCGCATCACAAAAGATGAATTGGTGGCAACAGATTTTTTTCGATATTCTGAAAGAACGCGGTGAAAACTTTTGTACAAAACAGCAAGACGAAAATTGCTTCTCACCAATCACAAGGATTTCCTCTCAATCGAAAAGCGCAAGTTTGTAAGATATTAACACTGATATTTCCTGCCGACTGCATTTCGAATAGAACCCAAGAATTTATTAATGGGTTACAGCAGATGCAGCATAGGCAGTAACTCACTATTTTTTTTGCCAAGGTAGCATTATTGTTGTTCTTGCTCTTTTGAAATATCTCAAAAATCCTAAATCTTCATACGTTCAAAGTTATTTATTTATTTATATTTTTCACACAACAGATTTAAGGATAGAAAATAATGTTAATAAAACTTAAAAAAAAAAGAAAGAAAAAGTGAGGAGAGAAGAACTAAAAGAAAGTCGAAAGTTATGAGTGATAGGCCTTCGTGATCTAGCTACGGGCTAAATTTTGATTGCATAAAGTGAGGAGTATATGGTGTTTAAATGTATACTAACACCCTTATAGACTCTATTCTACAACTATATATACTTGTATAACCATTGAGTATCATGATCGTTCAGTCAAAGGCGAGAAAGTAATAAAGCATTTATAAACGAAGAAAGATATCTTTGGTTCTAATGTTCACTTTTTTTTTCTAAACTAACAGTATAATCGTTATCTTGAAAACAGGAAATAGCATTGCATGCATATTGTAATGACAATTTATCGTGAAAGACCAGATGAAATGAAATGCCACAGGTTAGGTAAGCACAGTGTTAAAACTATGATCGTTTTTGCTTACATAGTAGCCTTAGAATGCTATAAGTGGACCTGTTTAGTTTTGTTAGTTCTTTCAAATGTAGTGTTCCAGTTGCCTTAGTGTTAGCCAATAACACAACAACTGATGCACATTTTTTGTCTGACCTCTCGTGTGACTTTCCAGACGTTACCGAGTGATGAAGAAGATCTGTTAACTTCAACAGTCTCACAGATTCAAGCGCAATCTTTCCTCTGATAGGAATTGTTGGATTTGCTTATCAAATAGTTTATTCTTGGGACAGTGCTGCAAATCTAAACCTGTAATTTTGGGATGCCTTTTGCTTTGAAAGCAGCACTTTCTTTGAAAAATATACTTCGCATCCCTCCCTCTCCCAACCTTGTACAATATCGAAACTTCGGTAACAACGTGGGTACAAGGATTCAGTTTTGAATTTGAGGTGGGAAAGAGGATTGTCATGCGCCGTAAGCGCCTGATAAATGTAGACTCGGCCCAAGTCTCAAGTCCTCAGATGAAAGTACATAAATGTACTTATACAAGTACATATACACGAAAGACGCACTTAAAAGTCCTGATATCTGTTTTATTCACCCTCAAATAACCACAAGCCTGCAGTTGCCTTAGAAGTTTGGTTACGGCCGCGAGATCGAGTAAATTCGGGTTTTTAAGTTAATATATATACCACTCATCACCTCATTTTTCCTTTTGTTCATTTGTGTTAAGGGCTTATTACTTGATCGCATGGTCCTGTTTGTCTTTTCGGTTAAAAATTTATCATCTGTTCTTTGTGTCTTTTACAGGGACAGAAGCCAATGTGCCTAAAAGAAAGAGTTTGCTTGACAATTTGGCCGAAATTTGATCGCTCATTCAGTACTGCTCACAACGGTCATGAAAAGGATGCGAAAATTTGCTATCCGTTTAGAACTTTGCACGGAAAGCATGTTAAACTATGTTCAAGACAGAGTATTTTTTTCTCACCCAAAGCTTTATAACATTCGTGTAAAAGTGACTCTAAAATTATTTCCTTTCTCTGACTGACGTCACGTGTGTATCGACATTAAACAGTATTTACTTTCCATTCAAAAGAAATCCTTCACCGAATGTAATAATTTAATTTGAATAAAAGCTGAATTTTCCTTTGTTTTACGTTTTGTTCTTTTTTAAACCTTCGATCTTACATGCTTTACTAGCGAAAAGGTTCAAATATTGACACTGTGAAAAAGTCACATCAAGAACAAAGAAATAACCTAACTTTCAGTGTTACTAGTTTTGAAGCTTTAATTCATTTTCATTTCATTCCGTTAATTTACCCTTATTTGTTTTGAAGATAAATTATTACATAAACACTGAAGAGAGTGGCTCTCTGCTAGTTGCCGCTATTTTGAGCTATTTCATCCGCGGTACTTGAACGACGGTCACATGATTGAATGAAATATCACCCGACAATAACTATAATACATCAACCTGTTAAAGAAAACAAGAGAATCTAGAAGAACCCAACAGAAGAACAGAGGAGCAAAACCCATAAAGATTAAAAGGGAATTGCACTCAAGACAGGTAAACTTGGAAAAAGGCTGCTCGCAATTTTTTCTTTTCCTTTTTTTCAACTCTGCTTATTAGTAAATTTGTAAATTGACGTGTCTTAAAAACACTTGTGAATGCTTAGTAATAAGGATGTATTTATATTTGTTATATGGTGATGATGATTTTGCCCAGTCAGGTTGTAGTTTAAGACACATAGCAAACTCAGAAAATAATGCTGTGATGTAACTTAACCCTTTTATTACAAATTCGTTATCGCCCGGTTGCGTTCTGATCATGATATTCCGATGGAATAATAGTTTGCGATTTAGTTCAAAGACTCGCCAACATAAAAAAGAGCCGATTGTTGACATCTCAGCACGAAAAAGCCACAACCAGTTGTTAGCGGTAAAATATCGGTGTTTCTTGGCATTGCAGAAGCCATTGTTGGTTCGTTTTGTTTGTCGAGCGTCTTTTCAAACTTATGTATTACGTTATTTGATGATTGCACCCATGGGTCCGCAAAACCTAGAAACCACGGAATCAATGTGGAGATCAAAAGACGTATGCATCCCCCCCGTTCCAAAAATACTTTCTTCTTTAATTTTGAATCTAGTATTAAGCCGTACGGTTCGAAAATGTTTCAAAAAAATGTCTCGAGCCTGCATATGGCACGCTAATTGAACAACAACAAAAAAAGGAAAAGGACTTTGTTTGTAGCAGTCGGCTTTATTTTTTCCATCTTTTTGTTTTACTGTTTTCGACAAGACAGGCTTCTAATAGGCTTTAAAGAAAGTATTCTATTGAAATAAACTTTTAGCGTAAGTACTCCGTTAATAGCAAAATTATTTCCACCAATAAAAAGAATTCAATTTTGATGTCAATTTGAATTCGGACCATATTCCATTATTGTATAATATCCACTTCATGTTTTATAATTACTTTGAGTCGCCTAGCGACATTCTAAGTTTGCCACTCTGTGAGCTTTGCTGCTTTCGTTCATTTCGTTCACGAAGAGGTGAGTGTTATGCCACATGTATGATTATTTTATTACAGTTTTTATTCAGTCCATTGACGAGCGGTTTCAGTTGTAGGTTTCTGATGTGCGCTAGATTCATTGTCGTAAGCCCTTCAGTCGAATGTCTTGGATAAAGCTGATTTGAGCCCTTTCGTCTCGAAACGTCGAGGACTGCAAAGCAAACGAATAAGCGCTTTCTAAAAATCCTGAGATTATTAAGGCAGTAAATGACTTCCTTCCTCCTCAGTTATTTTTTTGGTCTTTTCAGAGCATTTCAAAGCTAAAGTAACTTGCAGTTGTAAAGGCTTGCTTCCGCGGTTTACTTACTGATGCACGTTGCTCATTTGAAGCACTCGCACCAATATCTAACTTAAGACCTTCTTTTTAACCAAGTATGCAAATATAGGTGAACATTACGGGCTAGAAGTAAAAACAAAAGTAATAATCGTAATAATAATCGATAATTTATTGCTTGTTTGGTGCCAAATTAACATGTGAATATGATCAAATGCGTCTGACATTTCAGTCTCTAACCTATATCCAGACAGGTAGTCAAAGCAGACAAAGTGTTCTACTTTTTTTTTTCTTTTTACAGCAAGCCGCTGGTCAAAACTACAGTTGTCTCACGAAAAATATGATTACCAGGGATTCTGATTAAAATGATAAAGTTTAAGTCTGGAAAATGCATGCTCACGTGTGTTGGTTCTGCGATACTCTTGCTTACGGCCATTCATCCTTGGATCCAAGATCATGAAGATGTTGAGTGGACGGCGTCTTCTTTTTCTACTAATTCTCCTTCAAATATCTCAGATGCAGGTAAACCAGTTGATAAAAACGAATAAACACTGCACGAAAAATTGGATTTACACAAATCTACTCCGTGCAAATATATGTTGCAAGAAAGTGCAAGCAAGGGGGAAATTAAAAGCAAAGATACATGGTAAATACCGCATTTGCTTGCCAGTTTTCATGGGGTTGTACCCTGGTATCAGAGGTTTTTCTTGATTTTTCTTGGCGAAAGAGATCAAGAGCAAGCCGCGAAGCGGCTACAACGAGTCTCGAAAGCCATGAGGAGAGAGAGAAAAACCTCTGGTTACCTTGGCCTCGAATCTCACTTTCATGCAGACGACAGCTGTCAAACGCGTCAAATTGCTAATAAAAAGAGTGAACAACGGCAATTTAGCAAACATGTGCTTACCAGCCGCTATTTTTTTAACTGGGGGTAGACCTGGGGAAATTATGTTATGAACAAACCATCTCCACTTGGGTAGTAAAGAGTGATTTGTTAATCGGGGTCAAGCTAAAGCATGTGTTAACGCTGGGCAACAAGAGTCCAGGAATAAGAACACCACTTTATAAAGAAACCAACATTGTTCCAAACGTCTGCTGCAGGATTTGCAGAATTTAAGTAAAAATAAGTGGCCGATCTAAAATCAACGTTTTTGGGTATAATAACAAGGACTTTTCACAAACATTGTCATCTGTTCTGTCGGCTGTGTACATGACTCAACGGTATTATCTGTCAGAAGTGCCAGCGGGAAGTTGTAAAGTTTGCAAGAGTCTATCAATCGCGCTTATTATATTGTTTACTTCTGTGGGGCGCGCCGTTCGCGTCGATTCGAAACATGTATTGTAACAGAAAATGTTAAATACATCGAGACACGAGATTCTGGTCTTCAACGTCTGGACTGCTCAAACTGGTTGCTGAGACGCCACGGTGTCGTAGTTCGCGGATAGGCGAGTCCAAAAGAGACACTTGAGAGGACAGACAACCAAAATTATTGCATGGCGAGGGTATGGGTAGCCTCTTAGGGAAAGGTACTTGCAAACATCAGGTAACGACTGAAATATTATATACTTTCCATTTCCGGTTGATAAAATGGTGAACACATCCTTTCGACTCAACGCGGTGAACAAAGCTTTCTTATGTTGCTCAGTGAGACTCAGGAAAGCACTCATCAAGTACCACGGTCAAAATTTCTTCGAATATTCTTTCAGGAACAACATCCATGTCAAAATCTCGAAATATGGCGTGCCTTTACGTGTCTTGGTCCCGTGCAAATGTTATTGCGAGTGCAGCATACAAACAATTTTCTTCCCTTGTAGAGAGAGGCAAAATGAGGTGTGAAAATCGTCAGCGTCCCCTCGGTAGTTACAATTAAACGAGCCAATCAAATTGGTTTGCGTGTTTAAAAAAATATCAACCAATCAACGCCCGAGGGTCAGATCCTGAACCTGTCGTCTGCATGAAAGTGAGATTCGAGGCCAAGGTAACCAGAGGTTTTTTTCTCTCTCCTCATCGCTTTCGCGACTCGTTGTCGCCGCTTCGCAGCTTGCTCTTGATCTCTTTCGCTAAGAAAAATCAAGAAAAACCTCTGGGACCAGGGTAATGGGGTTGTAAATTTTAGGGCAAATGCAGTATTTACAATCTTTGCTCTTTATTTAACATTACTTTGCAGTTTTTTGCACCAAATTTGGTGTAAATCCAATTTTTCGTGCAGTGAAAACGACACAAAACAAACTGCAAACGCAGTATTTACGAAGGATCGGGGTTTAAAAATTTCATCGGATTGTAATTAATTGTCACTAATTACTGACAATTATTATTATTCGTTCAAAATATTTCCCCAATTCTGATGGGCTAAAAGCAAACGCATAAATCACCATAACCAGTTACTGATGACCAAATTTGAAAGAATTTTGTGTTTAACGAGGAAATGACGTCAAAAATGCAGCCCACTACAGGTTAAGGCACCGTTACCGAGAAGACCTGGGGACGAGGTTGAGTTGTTTTGGTTGTGAAAAAAGAATGGCGGACATCGAAGGCCTTAGTGGATAACACCCTCCTCGATCTGCTTAATTCTTCATATCCTATTCAGCCTCATTCATTAATTGCCAATTTATTTATTTGTTTATACCACTCAAAATTTCTATTATTCTTCCAAACATCACATGTAACCTTTCGGTCTGCTCAGTAACATGGAACCATAACTGCATTCCTGGAAGCCTTCCAGATAATGAACTCAACCTTTATGAGCTCTACGAAGGAGTGGAAACCTTCCTTATGTTCATTGGATATCCGAGAAGTTCGCACAGCCTTATGGGAGCAATCTTAGACGCTCATCCACACATAGTAATTCCACATGAATATCACATAGTTAATCGATGGAGTATTTACCAGGACGAAGCACTTATAAATACTGGCATGCAAAAATACCTTCTCTTCTATAATCTTCACTCACTTTCAACTTGGCAAGCCGTTTTTGGCAATCGAGCAAAGAAACCTGTTTTCCTTGACGATGGAATCTATTCTTACAATGTACCAGGTGCATGGCAGGGAACTTTCAGCGGCAAAATTAAGGTAAGCACAAATGCTTTTTTTTTAACCGTTTTTTTTTTTCCAGTTTTTGATAAAAAGTCTTGTTTTCATAAGTTACGAAACATCATTAACTAGAGGTATTTTCAAGACATACAAAAAAAAACCCGCGTGTAAGAGCCAAGTGGTTTAAGAACCATCTGGCGAAAAATTGATTCCAAAAAATATAAGAACCTGTTAAGCCAAGCAAGATGAACAGATTCTTATGAGTGGATTATTTATTTATTTTATTTTATTTCGTTTTGTATTATAAAGCTCTTGCTGTAGAGATAACGCCTCAAATAGATTCTGTTATCAGTTTAGTTGGCTTATTACAATGCAGCTGATGAATAATGAATACGCTATGTTTAATTACCAAACCCAAATTTCAAAATTAATTCTAAAAGAAATTAATTCTACTTTAAAGTCTTAATTGCCAATAACTACACCAAAATACAAGAACCTCTATTTTTGTGCAGTCTTCAAAAAATGAAGGTTTGTACACTTGGATTTGGCTGAAATGTACAATTAATGAAATAGTTTTATTACTTTAGGTTATCGGTGACAAAAAAGGAGGTGGAACTACCATGGAACTATTTGAAAAACCACTCAAGTTTGATATTCTAAAAGAAATCAACAAATCCGTTGGGGTTCCCATGAAGTTCATTCACGTTATAAGAAATCCTTTTGATGTTATCTCGACTTGGGTTCTGAGACTTTTTAATTCAAGACTTCGAGTCAACGATGGAATAACAAAGGTAAAAGAGAAACGTTTGATAGCAATCAAGAGAGGATAGAACATAAGCTAGAGGATTTCATATAATATAGGCCTTAGCTTATAACTCTACAGATAAATCACTCATGGATTATTTGAGATCATGTAAGATTCACGTGTTAAAACCTGAAAGCAGCTGGACGTAGAGTAATTAATATATTACTGTCTATTCAGGAAGAAGGTACCTTCCTTACATAATTCCAGCCGATTGTAGCTTCTGAACTGGCTGCACACCATTCAGCAAGCATCAAGGTCATTGTTAGTTTGTTGGTCTCCTTTTCCTTCTACAACGGAGGCCAAAAATCCTGCAAAAATCCATCTGCATTTATTGAAAACCTTCCTTTAAAAAGCGGTAAAAGATCAAATATGCAAAGAACGTAACATAATATCCACCTTTGCAATAGTTCGGATGCCTCTAACGGCCCTCCCCTCCTCCTCCAAGCTATATTGGGATAGACAAACACTTTTCAGGACTGGGTAAAGTGGACAGAGTGAGCAAAATCCAACATTGCTTGGGGGTGAGAAACGAAGGGAGACAGTTTAAGTCGTATCGTGTTAAGTGCCCCCAAGACTTTTGACCTCCATGACAGCAGAGGTCTCTGACAGGCCCCGTTTGGATAGCGCTCAGTATCAATCGGATAATTATTAGGGAAACGCGCTATCTGCTGTATAGGAATTTACCCGGTGAATATAATAGTGGTTTCCTCCTTTGAAAAACTGGGGCCAGATCTCTTTCCTTCCTTTCGGTCGTAATTGACCTTTGCTAGCCCTGAGGGGAAATCCTCCTTCTTATCAACTTTTTATTTTGGGAACTTGAGCTATTTTCTCTTTTTTTATGAATTAGATCAACAAACCTCAGGCTCTGGAGAATTTCATTACCTCATACTTCCAGTTAACTGACACCAATGCGAGAATCAAGCAACTTTACGGAAATGCTGTTTTAGATGTCGTGAGCGACGAACTGTTGTTTAAGCCAAGGGAAACCTTGCAAACGATATGCGGTTTCCTTAGCGTTTCGTGTGAAGAACACTACCTTTCTCGAGTGGAAAGGATACTCTATAAGAAGCCTTCTGATACAAGAAACACAGTTGTATGGACTAAGGAGCAGAAAGACAGAGTTCAGACGGAAATGCAGAAATATTCTTTTTTGCGTCAATTTACCTTTCACTGAAATATTATTAGACTGTTTACTTCGTTGTCATTAGCCAGTGAAAGAATGCCTGATTGGCAGTGAACAACCCGGAAGCATTAGCTAATTTGGTCACTGCACACATCTTAATTCCTTAATTTCTTGTTATCTTTATTTCTGATATTATTCCGTAAGGTACTTATACAAATTAAAATACCAATGTAATCAATATGTATATATAGTGCAAAAACAATAAAATCTGAAATCTGAAATCCGAGTGGACTGAGTCGGTTAATTAGTTAATAAATGTAAAGAAGAAAAAAAAAGCTTCTTAAAGTAGGTTATCGGATTTCGAAAATCAGGAATTTTAGCTCGTGGAATGCGGAATCCTGCGCTTAGGAATCCGGAATTCAGCTCTTTGGATCCAAAATCCCGCTGACGATTGGAATTCAAAATTCGAGTTCTACGACAACGAATCCGGAATCCGGTACCTGGAGTCCGGAATTCACAGCGTGCATAGCTGTTACACTGTTTGGCTAGCATTACTTGTAAAATACATAGCGATCACTTTCTCGCTCTTGATTGGTTTTGTTTGTGTTTCATTCAGTTGACTTGTTGAAGACAGACAGCGGTTTCCTGCTAATCAAGACACTAAACGCAATGAACACATGTAAAGGATCATTGCTTTTCTTTCAGGTTCTTTTATTGCGATACAACAAAAGCTACATGGTATTTACAGTAGTATGTATACTTTTATTCTGTTGCACGACACCCAGCGTCACTCTATCTTTGAGCGAAGCACGCAGTGTTGTGTCGTAATCGTGAAGCAATAACCTAACGATAACTTTGTTATTTTCCCGAATTAGTGCTGTGCGATGGAAGTATTAAGAGCGCAATCAACTACTATTATCATTATTTCCGATGAAGATCTGCACAATTAAGCAGTTGCGTTAGAAAATCCTTCTTTCTTACCGCTGCTAAACACAATTCTACGTTGAATGCTTCGCTCAGCTTTTACAATTTTGCGGATATTGATATATAATTCCTAACCAGCCCGTTTTTGAATATCACTATCACACTATAAATATGTACTTACAGTACCTACTTGCTTGCTTTCTTTCTTACATAATTGATTATTTAGAGGTATTCATTTCCTAAATAAATTAATTCTGAATGAACTAAATGATTACACAATTATATAATAAGTTAATTAATTACCTGTTTACGTAATGCTTGTTAAAGCATTGGTTATTTTCCCGAGTACAGACATTGGAAACTTAAATTTGTCAACGTCCAAGGCAGAACTAGCAAACACAACGCAGAGTGAAATAGTCTAAACGCCATGGCTGAGTTTGAAGAAGAAATAAAAGCGCAAATATAGGGTAGGAAATTATGATGGGTGTATGTTAGATGGGGTAGCGCAAGTTTTGCATATTGCTAAAGCTGTTCCACTGATTTCCATCCTTTTTATCGCCATTATGCTCGCTTTGTTTGGTATGCTATGTTTTGTTATGTTCAGGGTACCTTTAGACCCTTTACCGGGATCCACCCAGCCCAGAGTAGCTGAGTCTATCCCATGAATTCATGCAGCATTTTGATGGCTAACGGCAATTCTGCAAAATGATGACGGTCGTGAACTCGACAGTCAGTGGTAACCGAAGCTTTTCGTAAGACACTGTCTTTGTGTTTTCAACTTTCCCTTCCTACATCATGTGCCCTAAAACCCTATACTTAGACTAAATTCAACCCCCGGACGTACTATGGGGGAGGGGGGGTGGGTTCTGATTTTTTTTCCTTAGACGATAAACATCAGCACCTGAAGATTTTTGTAATGGGGGCATTTTGAGAAACGTTTGGTGATGGCCAATTACTATGGTTATGACGTCATAAGCAGCAGGTGGTCAAGCCATTTTTGAGTGAAAATGCATGTTTTTTAAACTTTTTTCAACAAGTAAAACTTCTGGACAAAATGATGCAAAGTAATTGTTTATGATAGTGTTATTTTACAAGTCAAGCGCAAAAAACTATTAACTCTCACTGTTTTTACCTAATTTCTAATTTTTACCAAAATTCAAGATGGCGACCATGTTTGGTGACGTCTCATACCTCCAGCAGCGCCACCACCCATAACATTTACCTCATCTTGTAGAGAAGATCAAAGGCTTTCCACTGAAGGCAAAATCGGATCGAATACTGCAACATATAAAAAAAACTCAAGAGGGGGTAAATCAACCTCCCACCCCCCAACCCCCCCCCCCCCTCCCCGTGTACCACGGTGGGAGTATGACTTTGCGTGTATGTCCGAGGGTTAAGAAGAATAAAATTATCTGCGAAAAACATTTCGTCGTTATATACGCTGATTGTTAACTCTAAAACGCATTTACACTATATACAACTTGATTTGCAAGTTAAGCTTTATATACATTAATGTATAAACATGAAGATTATGCAAACTTTACAATTACATCATGGGAAACAATCTGCATACAAACTTTGCAGCAGCCATTGATGTCCCTTTCTAAACCATCAAGCACCAAGCTAATTCTTTGTCTCAAGTGGCAAATGGAGAAGCCTTGACACAAAAACCTGCATATATCTACACAACAAAAACCGTTTGTGTAACCTTCAAAATTCGGAATAATCAACAGTTCTACTAGTAGTGCTAGTTGTGATTGCATTATTGCATTGTTACACGAGTTATTTACACCAATTTGTACGCAAAGGGAATTTGCAGACTTAAAAGTTAGTTAATTTTAAGCTTAATCTTGTGAGGTGACTACGCAGCGTAGCTCCTTACCATATATAAACTTTTTGTTGCTTTGAATATTTTGGTACAATATGTTATTTCATCATGATCAATATTGCCAGGTTTCTTTATCAAACATGATATTTTAACAATATTTTCCTTCTAGTTTGTTGGTTAAAAAATTTTGGTTTAAAAAATGTCGTCGGTTCTTGCCATAAGCAAATAAATTTTTTTTGTGGTTCTCGGGGCTACTTGCCTGGTAAGTATCGCTGCGATAACTGTAATTTTAACAAACCTTCAAAAGGGGAAACGCAGTCCTGTCGGAATACTTTTTTCAGTCACTTTAAATGTAGGTAATCATGTTCAAATTAGCTATGTACAGCCATAAACGTAGACAACATTTTACGGAATCTTTCATATTTGCAAGGATCATACGATTTTTATATCGTTGACCTATACATCAATCAAGAAAACTCAAGTACATGTAAATTTAGAAAACGTTTAAGGGAATATTTGCCGTTATAAACTACATTTGCTACTATATATTATTGATATCTTTTCTACTTTCACTCTAAGCAGGGACCTACGATAAAATGATTATGCGATGGTTTAGACGTAAAGTACTATCCTCGTCAGCTCTTCGACCTCATCAGGGGAAACTAAAGGCTCAGCTAGGCGCCATTGAGACATTCAAGGTACAGTTATGTTCCATTTTAAACTATTGCGATTTGATTAAGGTTTGGAGCAGGAGATCTTGCAAATAGCCTCTTTACAAAGGCGCAAAAGTCTTTCATTTGAGTGAGATAAAGTATGAAGTTGACAGCAGGATTTGTCATCGCTAAAGTCGCACCTACAGCTCGAATAACATAATCGGTTTCATAATGGAGTTTTGCTTTGGTAACATTGTTATAGATTACCTGACAAACATAAAACAAGTAAGGAAGGATAAATGCAAATGTAATTGCAACTAGAATACTTGTACTGCGAACTGCTGCGGCTCTTACCTTCAATTTGATGCCATTGTCTCGCTGCACGTCAACTGACTTCCTGTATATTCGCCTCCAAACAGTTTTTATAAGCGAGATGTTTATTATGATCATAATGACCATTGGCAGAATAATTTGTAAAATTACGAAGGTGGAGTATATCAGCCGGGACGGTAAGTAATGGTTATTGTATCTACAAATAACAGTGTAATGTGTATCATTAACACTATATCGTACCCCATCGAAAGTTGCAGCAGGAAAACACACAATAAGACATCCTTCTAACCAAGCAAACAGAACCAACTTTTTAACAGTCGAAAGCTTAAGCGTTCGTGGGGCAGAGCGGGTTGACAGATACTTCTCAATACTTATAACTAACAAATTACTCATCGTGATAGTGGGAAACAGGATTATAAAGTACATTGTTGCCTTACAACCCCAACCTGACTGAATAGAATGTGAATCAGAAAGGAGGGAGATTACTGTAACTGGAACTGAAATGAGAGATGAAAGAATATCAGATGTAGCTAGACTCTTAATGTAAAAATTAAAATTCTTCTGGAAAGAAATCCCTCTTAGAAAAGAGTTGGTTACTTTCTTGGTTTTCATGAAGTACAGGACGAGCACACTCCCGACAAGTCCAAATATTGCCGCAGTTACCAGGAATACAGATATTGTAATTCTGATTGAAGACTTGATTGCGTCGCCACTGGAAATGAACATGCTACTGTTAACAACCGTTTCTTTGCCCGCTGTAGTGACTGTGTAAGGTAATAATCTGGATGAAAAATGGGATCTGTTCATCATGCCCATTTCATCAAGAGCCGCCCAATCTGTAATTTAAAAAAAAGACAAGCGGAAATATTATTAACAACAATTTGAGACTGATTACTTACAAGTGATCAAAGCTTCATTGAGATATGATATTGGAGACCACCCCTCTACTTCTTCTTCTTCTTTACTGGATCGCTTTAGTTTTCACCCGTGCTTCATTATGAACGCTTGTATCAGACCACCCATTTCGAGTTCCACAGTCCCCCACTTTCAAAATGAGGCTCAGAGAGCAAACCTTTACGATGAAAATAATAATGCCGCAAATCCTCTGTTAAGCTCCCCCGGCAGCTTATTCAGTTCATACATTTGAGCAAAGACGATGTTATCAGTTCTCCATAAAGAACTAGAAAGCAAGGTGGAAAAGCTCAAGTACAAGAAGTTGGAGGTCATGCAGCTGAGGAAAAAAAACAAATCCGAACTTCCAGCTGGTGAATAAACCATCCTGGATCAGTCCACATGTAGTGTTACATATGGGATTGATTAATACAGTATTATCATTCATTAGTGAAGACTGATAAGGGAGAGGGAATGGGGAGCTTAAAAGAGAGGGGTGTCGAGGAATCGGCTATCAAACGCGAACACTTTCCTCAGCGCAAACGACTCAAAACACATGTTCTTGTCTCATTGTCTACTGTTGATGTCAATCAAAAAAATAAACGGAAGCGGAGGCGCATTCCCGCGCCTAGAGTCAAGACGATTTACAGTTTCTAGACCTAGGTCTCCGCTTCCTCTAAGAAACACAGTTTTGTGATCGGTCTCTTGTACTCCTCGTATTGAGTACGCACTGTGACTGCTCGGACCATCCCATTTTGTCCAGGTTGAGTAGTCACAATCCTTCCCAAAAGCAATATTCCTAGTAGCTGGTTCGGTTCTGCAACAAGCACTACGTCTCCTTCCTTCAGATTCTTTCTCTTCTCTCTCCATTTCTTCCTCTGTATAAGAATAGGGATATACTGCTTGGTAAACCGCTTCCAAAAGAAGTTGACAAGCGCCTGAGACTGTCGCAATAGTTGCGATGAGTTGATCTCTCTCACACTAACATCAGCTTCTTCATTACTCGGATTTGTTCGCACAAGCGGAAAATGATTTGGCGTCAGCTCTTCTATATCACCCGCATCGCTTGAGACGTGTGATGGGACGACTGTCCAGTATCCCTTCTGCTTCCACCAGAGCAGTTCTAAGCGCTTCTTTAGCAACGATCCTATTTTGCAACACAGACTTCAAGGTTTTCCTTTTACACTCCACTAACCTCTCCCACATGCCACCGAAGTGGGGTGCACTTGGCCGTTGGAAATTCCACTCAGTCTCCGTTGGTGCACAAAAGTTTTGTACTTTATCTTCATTTAATTGCTTAAGACGTTTCAAAAGCTCATTATTGACAAAGTTAATTCCATTATCGCCGTATATTCTTTGTGGTCTCCCACGTCGCGCAATGAACCTCTTCAAAGCGATAATGAAATGATCCGTCGATAGATCGTCCACCAGTTCAAGATGGCAAGCTCTAGTAGCCATGCAAAGAAACTAACAACCGTACACTTTAACGTCACTGCGTCTCTCCTTAATTATCATAGGACCAAAGAAATCAACCCCAGTGTTCCTGAATACTATTCCAGGTTCAAGTCTACACTCAGGCACGTTTCCCATTTGCTGCTCCTGGGGTTTTACTGTCTGACGATAACAGTGATTGCACTTAAATTTCACGCTACTTACAGCTGGACGACAATGGATGATCCAATACTCCTGTCTCATTTGATCCAGCAAATGTTCGATTGCCGTAGATGATGGTAGATACGATGCATGTCCTCAATGATCAACTGTGCAAGCTCATGACGTGAGTCAAATATCTTTGGGTGTCGTGTCTTGTAAGGGAGGGCTTATGCCTTTGCAACCTTCCACCTACTACTAGAAATCCACCTTCCATTCTCGGATCAAGGGATTTGATTCTGCTCCGCTTACGAACCTGCTGACGATTTTCCAGGCACCTTATCTCCTCGCCAAAATACTCTACTTACGGTCTCTTCACTAGCTGGTTCTGAGCAGCTCTTAACTCTGTTGCTGTCAGCAATCTCGTCTGACGAAGTTCCTTCTTTACTATTGTATTGTTTACAAATCGCATCACGTACGCCAGCACTCTTCTTAGTTTAGCTGGGGACCAACATCTTTTCTTTTCCAAAACAGGTTCAGTTTCCTAGGAAACTCCGACCCATCTTACCCTTTTCCTTTCTCACTCGTCTTCTTCCAGGGCCACTTCAACTTTGCTTTCGGGGCACAACTCGGCTACTCAGAGTAAAGGAATTCCGGCCCAGCGCTGTAGCGATGCTTCACGTTTGGTTCTACAGGGCGGAGTCCCCGGGTATTATCATCTGCTGAAGTATCACCTGTCCGCACGTATCTCCAACTCACCGTACCCGCCTTTAGTACAGTCTCCACGTTACTCGTGATTATGTGAATCTCCGATATTTGATTACCCACGAATGCCTTGTAGTTGGAGCTCGTCTGGTGAATCCAATGGGGAACGGCGGTAGAATCATTCCAAAAAGTTATCTTCTCTATCTTTGTCATAAACTCTGCCGCTAGTGTTTGAGCTAAACGGGCAGCAATAAGAGCTCTCATTAGTTCAAGCCTGCAGAGAGACTGTGCCTTAAGGGGCGCAACTAGACCTTTCCCAGCGACATTACTACATTATCTTCAAATACTTGTCTAAGGTACGCACACACTCCGAAAGCATCTTGTGTCGCGTTACAAAACACATGCAGGTTAGTTTCTCGAAATGGCTCGATTCGGCTGAAAAGTACCCGCGGAATATCCTCAGTTTCAAGCAGCTCTGATTCTTTAAAAAAAATCAGCCTCTTTCAACTCATCATTCCATCCGTACTTTAAGCGATTCAGATTTTGAAGGATAATCTTGCTTCTAATTGAAAACGGGATAAGAAGTTCTCGAGAATCCCAAACAGAGAACGCTTGGCTTAAGACTGTTCTCTTTGTAGTAGCTGGTTCTTTTCTAAGTGCATTGAACCTAAATAAATCCCACGTAACGCCCAATGCTCGGTCTGTTGGTAATCTATTTTCACTCAACTCAAGGAAACGCGGAGACCTATCCTCTACTGGGATGGTTGCTAACACCTCAGGGTCGTTCGTTAACCACTTGTGCAGGTGGAAGCCTCCACGGCGCAGTAATTCCGTCATTTGTCTCCGCATTTATATGGCTTCTTCTCTCGAGACGGTGGACGGTAGACCGTCGTCCATATAAAAAAGCAGTTTGCTCTAGAACTGGTAGACACTGTGTTCTTCGCTCGGTGATTCTCCCCAAAGAAACCTGATGGCTGCCTGATCACTCTCGGGTAAACGCAACATGTGGCACATTTCTCGCACGTCTACAGTAGTTATGATTCAGCATTTTACGCCTGTTTGGTGGATAGTTAAGGATAGTTTAGGGTTAATCGCTTTAGGGATAGTCGATGACGTCACCTCATTAGTAAAACCTCGACCTTATGTCAAGTGCGTTCCTCCATATATAATTAAGTGGATATTCGTTTCGGCATATGGAAGAACACAATAGGCACAATAGGCTTGCCTAGGCTTTCCCGGCTTTTCCGGTAAGTAACTTTATTCCGGTTTTCGAACTGTCTATTGGAAAAAATAGGAATGAGAGGAGCAATCACCTAGCAACGCAACAATACAAAGGTCCAGGAAAAAAAATCTATAACATTCATAGTAGGTCTAGTCTTGACCTTGTGGAATGGGCTGCTTTTCGTACAATCGATTGAGTAAGAATTTTTGCTTATCGATATTAAGTTCTGTCGATTCCAGCCAATCAAATCCTTCCGAATCTTTAAGCTCTTTTTGGGTTTCCATCACTTTTTTGAAGGCGGGCTCTTTTTTGATGGCACGCATTCACTATAGATTCTCTAAGAATGCTTTTTTCAGCTCTTTTCTGTAAACAGGAGGAAGAGTGTCCTCGATTTTAATACGAGCCACGTTTTTCGAATCTCCGTTTTCTTCGTATTGATCAAAGAGTTTAGCTGGGTCTCATGGCGTTTCTCGGCTTCATCAAAAATGCGTGACCACGGCTCTAGGTGCTCTGTTTCTTCTTTGGAAGACTCCGTTCCTTGGCTAGAGACTTCGCTTTGTTCACTGTCTTCATAATTTTCAGCACCTTGTTGAAGAAGGCTGTAATGATGGTTACTGTTCCACATTTTTGTTTTGGCGTTCTGATAGGAAACTAAACTTCAGCAAGTAACGCGTCTCTTTTATAGAAAATTGGTGAAGGCGGTGTTACTAAGCGTTCTACTTTGTAAATAATAATCTATCTTACATCGACCCCACATCGACCCCAAAATCGACCCCACATCGACCCTACATCGACCCTGCATCGACCCTACATCGACTCACAGTCAACTCCTATTTCAACCCAGCTTCGCAGTAAAGCTATATTCCACCACCCCCACCACATTTCTATTCTTTTCTCTCCATCACCACCTCCTCATTTTTACGGTTTTTATATCAGGTAAGTTATTTAGAAGATCAGAGGGGCTAAAGCAAGGCTAAAAAGGCCAAACGAAGATCAAATGGGCCAAAACCAGGACAAAAGGGACAAAAAAGACTATCGGGCCAAGTTTCGTAATACTTTCTCTTTAATCTATGTACTTCAATCTACGTATCTTTAGGAAATTCTCTAGCCAGCCCCGCTACATCTATACAACTGGGACAAGGTTACTCTTCTACAGTGTCTCCTGGTCTCTTGCTATCCAGGTAATTACGACAATCTTGACAGAGCATTATATATCGAAGAGCTAAACATCGATAGTTTAATTCGTCACACTTCTTTTCTTTCTGACGCAATTGTCGTTGCGTGTTTTCCACTAACCCCTCTTTCGCTCTTAACATCATGACCCAACTGCTTAAAATTCAAGAGGTGGCCATCAGTGAACGGTTTCTTGCCCGTCCTTTTTCTAATCTGGATGGAGTTATTGTTGTTATAGCGTTCTTCCCAGCTTTCATATTGTTCTTTGCATTCCTCTTATTGGTTGGTTATTGCTACTTGATCATTAATAACAATAATAATAAACAAGAGCAATAAATAACATAATCTGAAATTTGAAATACCAATTACTAAAGCAAGATCAAGACTTTTTAATTAGGCACTGTTTTTTGTGATTACACTTAATAAGGATGATGATGATCCAATATTGAGAGCTGTTGAGTGGCTAGCGACAAGCGACAAGCGACACCCACGCGTGTGTATGAGAAAAAGAGGCATATGACTAAAAATGGTCCGTTTGTCTCTTTTGTCCTTTTTGGCCTGTTTTTGTCTATTTTTCCGGGGTTTTGGCCTTTGTGACACTCTATATAACCTGACTATTTGCGAAATAGATGTCATTTGAGTTCAGCCATCGAACTGTCAACATGGTTTACAAGAGAGTTTGCAGAAACTGTCCGATTTCATCGTGCAGGGCGAAGTACCTTATTGTCAGATTAGCTAACCATCTCGCGGATCTTCATCAGATAGACCACATACGGCACACTCGGTTTGACAATTTTAATGAACGCTGGAAGCATTTTATCAAAAAATTGATTTAGCTTGACTTGTGGCTCACCTGGGCTCCCTGTGGCAGGCGGACTGCATATCGTATTTTCGCCTCGAGGCTTTCTTGTCTCCGGTTTTGCATTTCGCTTAATTTCTTCATTCGTTGTCATCGCCTTCTTCAACGCCTGGAACGGTTAAGGATTCTTTACCAACGGGATGTTTATCATCAACAACAGTCTGAGTGTTGGAAGTAGATTTCAGATGTAATAGTGAAACACGATCCTCTACACTGTCAACAGGTAATCCCGCTAAATTTATAAAGTCAATATCTCCATGATTAGAATCCTCGATAGCAAGGCATCTTCGTAGGCCACTTCAAATTTCGTTTTTTCAGCTCTCCTTTTAAGTTCTAGCAGCTCGGTACGTCGTTCCGCCTCGGAACACAGTAGCGTTATATCTTCTTCGCATTTTTGCTTGGCTATTTTTAACTCGAGGGCGAGTTTCTCTACTTGAAGGTTCTTTCTCAGAATTGAGCTTTTACTTGCTTTGGACGAACTGGTAGACTCACTAGCTGGAAATAACTTCAATGTTTGACCTCTTTTTCCCCTGAAAATGGGGGCTTATTAGAGAGAAGGGGGGCTCATTTAAGATGTTTACGGTAATCAAAGTGTTACTCTACGCTTACCTCCTGAGTCACTCGAAAATGTTCTTTTGCGTGATTTGGTGGGCGATAGGTACTCCGGCCTGTTTATAAGGTACACGTGCAACCTGTGTTAAGTAATATGGAAACAGTATCAAGTTTAAAAAAGTACCCTTATGGAGAGGAGAAGTGTGACGTCAGGTTACCATGGTAGCAAAATTTCTGGATCACAACAATAGGGAGCTTAACGAAAACGCAGAAAAATTGTAGGCTTAGTAGCAAAACAACAACTTTGAACCTGCATCGCGCTTTTTTGTAAATTCCTTAGCTGTCGTTGGACGACTGCGACATAACCTGAGATCAGGCCCGATTCTCATACAATCTCTCTAACGGCTACCGCTAAAATTGGGCCCGATACAAACTCTGTCACAAGTTCGTGCTCACTGCGGCCAGATTTTGGCCGCAAGGCTGATTGGCTTAGAACAATGTCACAAGATCTGATTGGCTGTTGGAATCAACGGAAGTTGAAAGGGCTTATTCCTCGCGTTATTGTTTTCGCGAGGATTGATATTGCTGTCTTTTTTATTGTTTTATGGTTTTATAGTAGGGAAATATGCCTTAATATGTGCCATGGAGATTCAGAAAATTCAGATGGTTGTTCATATCTTCTCAGGATTTGCCTTATTTACGAAACTAATGAGTGTATCGCAGAGTTGAATCTCTCTGCAAGTTGTTGACCGCGTACAATGTGTAGAATATGCCTTTTGATTCACCAGCAAACGAGTGCAAATCAAAATACTGTCCATCTTAAAACTGTTTTATTTTAAAGGTTTAGCCTGGAATGACTTCTCTGAACGGGGTACGCAAGCGGAGGCTCACTGCGAAAGAAACCTCAATCGCCAACTGTGAAGTATTAGACAAAAAATATTGCATTGCTGTTCAAGGAATTTTTGTAGGCATTATTATAAGCTAGTGGCGCTAGTAACAGACTTGTTGTTAGCCTTCGCTTTTTGTAAAAAATAAACCAGGAAAACTGATGATGGTGTCCTCGCTCGTTGGCAGTTTGCTGTTTGTTAATTTCGATTAATAAATTTAGCGAGCTTTTCAGACCTGCAGTAAAACAACAACACAACTAAAGAGAACTACGAAGTGTGTTTGTAATATTGTTTTTCGTTTTGTTTACAGGTCAGTTGAGCATGCATTTTTAGTAGTGTCGTTTCGTCTTTGCAAATTGGCTAATAACATTTACCTGGATCTATAAAAAAATATATTTTTTTAGACGTTTTGTTTCTTTATATAGTAAATTCGCAAATTGCAAGTGTACTTTTTGACCAACAGAAATAACCTTCGAGATCTCCTTTAATCTCGTAAGATGTTAAATGTGATTGTGCTGACTGTTTTTATTTTTAGTTAAAAAGTTAGATGGTAAAAGCTATTTTTTTAAGTCAGCGAGTGTGCAGTTTTCCCACGTAAGAACAATTTGCATACTAAAAAAACAAGGAACGGAAGTAATTTTGGTTGGCTGATTCAGCAAATGGCAATCAATCAAAAAAGTGGGCGGCAGACGTTTCGTAGAAGGTTTGTATCAGGCTCTCTTTTCGTTTCGCCTTGCCCGCCGGAATGTTATTTACAAAGCGAAACGAAAATTGAGCCTGATCTCAGGTGAACTGCGACATGAAACTTCCAAATTTCCTACAACACAAAAATTCTGTTTTCCCAGAAAATGTCCCCACCATTTGACAAATTGAGTGAATGAAATTGAAAAAGATAAATTTTAAAAAATTTCAAATTTCATAAAGTTTCAAACAGTGCGAGTTCTCTTTTTAAGTGGCCTTTTCGGTCTGTTGTCATCTAGAAATTTTGCTACATAGCATGGCAATTAGTGACTTAACAACTTATCCTCCCTATATAAGTCTATAAAAGTTTCTTAAACTTCGATAGCAAAGGGTAAAAAACGTTCTTTAATTTGTTTTCTCTCATCTTTTTTTCTAATAGCACCTGCAGGCTCATGATCTTGTAATTGACAATTTGTTTCTTAATAGGAAAGGCCTTTTGTCATGGCAGAAAAATAGTGTGATGTCAAAGGAATTAGAAGGAAGATTAAGCTTGGTTTACAACGCACCCAGTAACGTAAATCACAAATTAAAAAGACTAAGGAGAGTTGGGGGGGGCGTGGGCGAGGGAAATTCAGATCCAAAATCAACAATCGAAAAGCGAATCCAAAGGTGTATTTTTAATGAAAAACGCACAAGCGAGTTGATTTATAAGATCAAATCTAAATCCAGACTTTTAGTTATCAAGACTCACACAGACATAATTTGCAGTGCGCGTAACTCGGGCCAGTCCTGCTTTTGGAAGGGATGATCATTTTAGATTTCCGCATCGAACTCCAGGTTGCTTTATACATATTTTGTCGCTCAATGTATCCGTGTGAAAGTTAATATTAAAAAAGGGCAACTGACCATTTTAATTATACCCTTTTACTCTTTTCTTCCTTTCACCATTCTATTCATCTTTTTCTTTCCAGGTTTAGAGGGATTTTACGGCTTTTTAGAACTGATCCAAAAATTTCTGCCTTGATCTTTTCTTTTTTCAATCAAATGGCTCAATAGACCTTGTCACGGTTTTCGACGCCATCCTGAAGAGAAGGCAAACGAGTGAAAAATCACAGTGTTTGTATGAGAATCTAATGTCGAATAGTTTCCGTAAAACGGCTGTTCTGAAGAAAATATGAATTGAAGACTAAAGCTGCAAAACAAAGGATGTACTAAAACCATTTTGGGGGCGTACCTATGCTTAAATGTCTCCAGAGGCTTGCTTTAGATTTTCCATATCTTTGTCCGTAATTTTCCCGGGACTTTTCTTAGAGACAAATGCATATAAAATTTTAAAAAGTGGTTCTAGGTCTTCTAGCGCATCTAACGCCCTCAATTTTTTTCCGAGTAGAATCCATAGGAGTGAAGCTTTAGTTTACAATTAACAGCCGTTCTACGGAAATTAATCAACATTAGATTCTCATACAAACACTGTAATTTCTCACTCGTTTGCCTTCTCGTCAGAATGGCGTCGAAAACTGTGACAAGGTCTATTTTCACGACGTAACGGCCCCGTGTTTTTACCATAAATTTCCAAATAAATCACCAAGTACAATAACTATAAATACTAAGTAATTTAACTTTACCTACGAGAAGTAAGTTTCTTGTGCAATCTCTAGTCCTCCACTGTTTTGGACTCTTCGCTGAAACTGGTTTTTTAGTAAAGTCTTTGCTATTCAGGTCTATCTAATTTTGTGCCCTTTAATTCCTCCATTTACGAGAAAGCTGGCATTTGGGAGTAACTTCTCGTCACCTTTACTTGTACTGTCTGACGGCTGGTTTGTTAACTAGAAACACTAGGATTTTCTACGACTACCGTTCGCTGTTTTGATGGATAATCGATCATCCTTCCTTCTTTGTGTCCAGCCTGCTTTTTTCCCAAGTGAAACTAGTTTTCAGTGACATTCAAAACACTTAACTTTGTTTAGTAGTATTCAAAATGGCATTCTTAAAATATCCCTACAAATTTCGTTTGGTCAGATAATTGTTCAAGAAAGAAAAGAAAAATAAACTGTAAAAAGAAAAAAAACCTGTTTTCCAAGTACTTTTAGCTCTTAATGATCACTCTGACCAAACTTTAAATTCGCAATTATAGATATTTGCAAAAAACAATAACAACAAACTACGTCTAACCATATACTTATAAAAAAACAAATATATAAATAAAAAATTACTGTCTAAATCTTACTTCAAGGGTATTAAACTGTAGGAAAAAAGACTGGGGAAAGTCACTTGTAGCAATATGGTATTAGAATAAACAGATTTTACAGAAAATCAAGGTAGAATAAATTTACATTTTGACAATACTTTCTCAAAATGTATCATGCTTTTGTCTCTATTTTCTCATACTGTTTGACGAAAATATAATGTTTTGGAGACACCATAAGTCGCTTTATTTGGACAGAGTAGGGAAGTCGGGAGAAAACGGAATCACCGAAAAAAAATGCAATTATAGGCTTACAACGAACTTGAAAGGTTGGAGTAACTTACAACTTGTTAAAGACTGATTTGCTTGAGTAGTTTACCTTTTAAATTTCGGGAAAATACACTTACGATTACCCAAACAAATGCTTTGCTTAGGATAATAATTATTAATTGACAGACGCACATAGCAATGAATAAATAGATCAATGATAATAAGAAGAATAATTGCCATGGATGAATATTTCAATCGGCTAATTGGCTGACCAATTCATACCTTATCACAGAGGCGAACGTCGTGGTTCCCCTATTCTGAAAAGTGATGCAACAAAACTTCAGTCTCCCTTTTCATCGTCTAAGTTCTGTAGGCTGTAATTGTCTTTTTTTCTTTCTTTCTCTTGCGCGAACTGGGGGAAGTCAAACTAATAATTATTATTATTTTATTGCAAGTAATTGAAAATTTGATGTAACCAAATAAGAGAATAAATATAAGAATAATAACCATTTCGGAATAGTTAGTCATGTGACCCACTTTCTGCATACGTACATGTACACGCACGAAAACGATTTGCTTTGAAAAACACTTTAGCTATGTAATGTTTAGTCAAATTTGTAATTTTTTTTAGCAAGATCATGCCAGTCCTGTTGAAGTAAGTATGATTTGTAGCTTTGTTTGTTTTTATCCATTTCCCTATTAAAAGAACTCATTGGAGTTGTTTCTGTAAACTTAGGTTATTTCTCTTTGCATTTTAGAAATATAACAGTGCGTTATTCGCTAAAAAGATTTTCTAACGTATTAGAAATATATTGCTATTATGATATAAGAATGATATTATGTTTGCAGTGAATCCCATGCGTGTAGTTTAGGCGTTACTTTCTCTGGTTTTTCAGGCTTGCGAAGGCAAGAGCGAGGTGGGAGAAGAGCACGAGACACGCGTGACGAGGGAACACTACTTCTTCTTTTGAAGGTGGCTTGAGCTCTCTTGCTTACCGTGACTTAAATGAAAAAAAATAATAATTATAATAATAATGATAAAAAACAGGAAATGAATAAGAAAACTCTGTTTCTTTTTTTCTTTCCTCTATCTTTTCTTGATATGGAAATAATTAACATTCAACGGATTAGTTGGCCTGCTAAGAAAGCCCTTTTGCGTTGTGGGGGATAAAGCGAATGGAAGACAGTTGAAGGGTTTTCAGAGCGCTTATTCGCGGCCTAGCCGGCTTGGTCTGTTGCATTGGAACTGAACAAGAACGACCTAGGTTTAATTTCACAAAACATACAATGCGAATAGCACTGTTTTTAAAAACAGGAAGTTGCGGGAACTAATTAATACAAAATCATAGACTCCCCCAGAGTCATTTCTCGCATTGGGAATTTTTTATTCAACAGTGCCCGATTGTAGTGATATTTCTAAATGCAGTTTGAAGAATATCGAATTTATTGTACAATCATTAGGTGCGTTTAGTTTTTGATAACTAACGAATTTAAAGTTTCTTACTATTTTGTAGTTAAAAGTGAGAGCTGTGAATGTCAGACGACAAGACGATCTCAGACAACACGTCAACAACGGCAGTGAAATCTCCATACATTGGTTAGTGAATGGAAAAGAGTCTCAAGACATGGTAAGAACTCTTTGCACTTCAAGATGTCAAGACGACATTATCTCTGTCCCGCTCTCTTTTATTATAATTATTTTTTCTATAAGAGGAAACATGCAATAACCACCAGTGGAGTGGAGGTGATATACCCTTTTGTGGTTTTTGAAAGAAAGGTGATATTATGGAAATAAAACATTAAAAAATGAGTGGCCTGTTTGAAATGTTTAACCGACATGTGACATGCTTTGGAAAAAGTGAAGTTGCTTGGATACTAGTTATTGCTTTACGATCGCGGCATTATTATTGTTCAGTCATTACCCTTATTTAAGAGCTAGCTTTCAAGCAAGGATCTACTGGATTTTATAACATAACGTAATTTGTGAGTGGTATAGTACATTGTATATAGTTCTTTTACTGAATATGTGTCTATTGTTTTTGTGAAACCTCTCATATAAGCTCAGCTTCACAATGTGTATATAATAGCCCCTAAAAGATCATTCAGCCGCACAAATGGAAATGTATGTAAATATAATTTCTATAATATCTTTATTGTAACATAAGTAGCAGAAACCTGTTTTTTCTGTTTATCGATGTTAATTTTTCTATCTTTAATTTCATAATGCCAATAATGAGGGAATATAGGGTTTTGAATCTTGTCTTTTATGTTTATTTTTCTTAAGCGATCAAAGAAAGAATGAACGGGTGGCGCTTAAGTAAATCAACAATGCCATCCATAACTGCAATGTTTTGAGATTTTGGGGCAAATTCCTTGATAGAAGCTTTTTCATTTATTTTCATGTTAATTTTACATGTATGTCGATGTATTTATATATATTCCTTTCCTTCTTCCTGAAATGCAGACCTTATAACTAGTAATTAAAACCGTTTGGCCAAAACCCAACCTCCAAGTGTTACATGCAAAGTGAGTGCCTGGCCAGCTTTCAAATAGCGTAGGAAATCAAGAAATTTTGAAGTTTACTCGGTTAAAATTCGCTTACTAGGCTAGTTCAACGGTCACAGAGAGCATGGAGAGGGAAGTGTTTCAAGTCACAAGTTGATGTCCAGAGAGGGTTGCGGGGGAGCTTATATGTGCTTCAAAACACGACCATAAGTGACTACCAGTGAGTTATGTCGCCACCATACATTTACTCCCTTATCTACCCCGAGTTAACGTGTTGTTTATTCATGATATATAGATTTAGCCAGGGTAAAAACCGAAGCTCTCGTTAATATGCTTATAATTTACTCAAAATATAAAAATGTGTGATGCTAAACGGCTACGACAACAAGAACGGCAATCAACAAGTCTATTTAGCAAAAATAACAACAACAACAACTTTGCACGTGCAGGTCACGTTTTGTACATTTCTTTGCCGTTGCTGTTGCAACTTGAAGCTTCCTAGTTGGACTTTTTAGGAAGGAAATGCGTCGTATGTGCTTACACACACAAAAAAAACTGCTGCTTGTGTTCCTGTTCACGTTTCCTTTTTTTCTTTTTCTCTTTCTTCTTTTTACTGTCGCTCATTTTCACGTTGCTGGCCACTAGCATTTCTCATTTTCTCACCACCGCTACAGAATTTTAATGATTTTTTTCCAACGAAATTCGTCTCCTTTGTTTTTCATCTCCAGCTGTAGCTCTCTGTTCGTCTTTTGTTGCCTACTTTCTCGTTTTCTCTGCCTTTTTCTATTTTCCAAATTTGTGAAAATGGCAAGTTATCTAAGCTTAATACTTTAGACAACACATATACAGCAACAATTTCCGCTTTCCTTTTTGTCCGGCTATGGTCGGCTATTGATTCTTGCTTCACAAGACGCGAGTGGCCTAGTGATTTTCCGCCAAACAAACCTCGAGTTGCAGTTGGGTAATGCCATACCTGTTGATTGAGTCATTTTACATTGGTATGCCTGTAGTGGGGACTGTCCGACGTACGGTCACGTGACTAAGTCACCAAAATCTCACGGATTCTTACCCATAGTGCTTCGCTTCGCGCGCTAGAGAGCTCCGCTACAGTTCACAACTGCAGTCAATTATTTATTGGCTTTTTCTTTTGCTTTCAGGAGATCGCTTAGGAAAAGCAAAAATGCAAAGTTTGTTAATCACTCCTAAGAGACTTCTTATTTTCCTTGGAACGGGGATATTCATCTTGCTGGTTAGAAAGAGCTTGCAGCAGAGAAATTCTTTGACAGGTAAAACACAAAGAGACCTTTTCTCGTAGTTTAAATACACCACCTTAGTCTTATACTCCGTCAAGTGGGTCTGCAACTTTAGTTTTATTCACTGCATGGCAATTTTTTTCTTAATTGTCTGTGGTGCGAGGTGCGAGTACCCCTAATGATCCCCGACGCAAATGATCCACAAAATGGGCCGCGAATGATCCTCAACCGCAAGTAATCCCGTGAAAAGTAGAGCAGGGATGGATTTTAGGGATCATTTTGCGGTCTGTGGATCATTTGCGTCACGTGTTACAGATGTATGGTTAGTTTGACATGATGTCGCTCTGCTGAATCTAGGAGAAACAATCGAACTTATATATAATCACCTTACCATTCCCCCTTGAAAACAGACAAACAACAACAACAACTCTCTAAAGTAGGTATGTACGCACTAACTTATATCTTTACGCCAAAATGGAAGGGTAAGCAATACGGGGAAATAGCACCGATGAAGGCAGTTACAATGGAACCTTGATATAACGAAGTGTCAAGGGAATGGGAAAATGTGTTCGCTATATAAGGAGGTTTCGTTATATCGAGATTCTTTTTCATATATTTTACGATTACTGGTGTAAAGAAAATCGTTCGCTATAATGAGAACTCTGTTATATAGAGGTTCGTTATATCGAGTTTCATTTTTACTGAGATCTTATAGACTAAAGCCAACTTTTGTCTAAGGGTTATTATTGACTTGTGTTTTCATTTATCAATCTTACGTGCAGATCAGGTTTCATCAACTTGAGCAATATCATTCATTTACTGCATATCTTTTGATTGTAGTTTGTGGATCAAAAACGGATGTAAATATCAAGACAGGAGCCTATGCTCCTGATCAATATAATATGACAACATGATACCATATTGAACACTCCTTGCACCAACCACCCCACCCTTACTTCTAGTTCTAACTGCTTCAGCCTCTTGCCTAATCGGCTAGTCTACCCTTGCTTACTTACTCCTACCTGCCGAACGCACTCCCCTAACTTGCAATTATTACTAGTATTATTATAGTTAATTGTGATTATGATTGTGATTTTCTGCCCAGTGCCAGATGCTCGTAATGCATACCACCCCTCCCCTTTTCCCTCCTCCCAAGAAAAAAAAGTGGACCTCTGATACAAAGAGCAATAACTGCCTTTTCGAAGTTAAGGGAGCTTATATTTTCTATTTTCTTTTAATACTTTCTCAGTCTGTAATTTAAAATGTTCCTTCTCTCGTTTTCCACATTTTACTTTAAGCTCGATCAAGTCCTTGCAACTATGACAGACTTCCAGAGAGCCTGGTAAAACTGAACCAAATGTACAACGATGTTAAGACGTTCGTAATTTTTTTGGGTTACTCAACACCTATGGAAAGTCTCACAAGTGCCATGTTAAATGCACATCCCGAAATATTCATTCCTCAGCAGTACGATATCATTGGGAACTGGAAGATGTTTCACGACAATAATCTTCAAGATCTTGGCCAGCAGAAATACTTGCTGTTTTTCCATTTGCACTATCTTTCACGATACCAATCTTTGTTTAGGAATAAAGCCAACAAACCCAGTCAGTTCTGGTTGTGGACTTATAAAGGCGACATCGTGCCCAACTTCTTTGTTCCTGACTCCCGGCAGGAATCTATCAAAGGAAAAATTAAGGTTGGTATTTTTAAATTAGTTACTCATAGGAAGGCTATAAACCCAATATGTCGGTGCGGGGATCAAAAATATAGTTTTTAGGCAAAGACAACATGTTGGGAATTAGAGCCAGTAAATTAACTTATTTTACTCATTTTTTTTAATTTTCCGTTTTAGCTGGGATCTCACTTCTTCAACCTTCACGTAAGAACGCAAAAGCACTAATTATCCCAAAGAAACCTTTGTGTCCTTGTGACAGCGTAGATAGAAATGAATGTGATATGCATTTCAAAAATTTAACCCACAGAAATTAATCACACAGACCATGTGTGTTGTTAAAACTTTGTTTTGACATATTTAGTGTGTTCAAGTGATCATATTTAGAATTATTAAAAACTGAATCATTGGATAATACAATTCTAGAGCTCTGATTGGCCTAGCCATCATGGTATATGAGCCATTACTCCATGCTCTCCAAATATGGTAACTGTACGCGTCCGCTCAAAATTAAATTAAATACAAGCTGGAAAACGATTGTTTTTACACATAAAGACGGGAAAAATTCTCGATATTTTGTCGGCGTTAAGTAAAGAACAATTCTTCTACTCGCGCTTGTTGGATGTATGTAGAATACTTCATGGAAAGTGCGTACGTACGGTATTTACGCACGAGTTGTTGATGTATCAGAAATCGAACGGGTGAGCCCATCGAACGAGTGAAATTTCTGATACAAAAAAGAGTGCGTAAATACTATACAAAGCACTTTCCATGTGGTATTTTGTTTATTACATACATATTGAGACACTCAACATTTTGCCACCCCAGTTTTATTTCAAATCTTCCAAAATCCTAAAATCTCAAGGGGTTTAAGGCCTGGATCAAAGGTGAATGATTGGCAATATCTCTCGCTAGGAGACCTAGAAAAAAACGAATTTTTCCCCAAAGGTAAATCTTGAGGTTTTCTTGTGCCTTAACGTTTAATTATGGTCACGTGACAGGTCACCTGACCAAAAAATACCTTACTTGCTACCTTTGGAATGAACGGACGCGAAGTTTGAAATTAAAGTTGTTAAATAATTTAAGATTAAATTTGGGCATTTAAAATGAAGTTCCTTCATAATTTTTGTCATTGAAGCACAATGGACGGTCATTCCAAACCTGAAGTGTTTACTTAGAAATATTTAAATAAATATGAATTAGAAAAATGTTAATGCTCGACGATTGATTTTCTTAAATTGGCCAGCAATTGGTCAATAATTTTCAATTTTTGCAAAATGGTCACGTGACAAATCACGTGACTTATTAACACAATATTTATACTTTAAAATGTTAAGGACGATGAGTTGTTTGTGTGCCAAATTTTGACTTCAAAGCCATCATCTATGCCGAAGTTATAGCCAATAAATCATTTTCCACAGGTAAACACCTTAGTCCCAGCCCTAAACTACTTGAGAAAGCCAAAATATGCCGCTACACACCACGAAATGACAAAGAAAACGAAGTATATTAGTAAGCTTATTTAAAAACGCTTGGTAAAAATTATAATGGGGGTAAGGATATGAAGTAACCCAGGAATTTCAAGTAATATTAACTTCTTTTTTTTTCTGAATGTACAAAATTAAATAAAAATGAGCGATTTTTGTTTTACTCTTTTCTACGAGAACGACTCTACTTTATCGGGTCTTTTCTTCTGAATGTCTGTGAAGCAACTCGCAAATTATAAATTAGGGGTACTGCAAACTGCAAGTACCTAAAAAGGGGGGAATTTTGGCGTAAAACCCACACGCCTGTGGCTTTTTATTGGACGTATCATTTTTCTCACACGTGACAAAAAAACATCGTTCGCAATTCTGATTGGACGTATCGTTTTTTTTTTCTGCCATGTGAAAAGCTTCGTTCACTCCTCTGAATGGCTAGAACTCATTTGCGTATGAAAATTTAGGCCATTGCTTTTCAGTGAGTGTGAATAATTATATTTCAGCCAATGATAGATTCGATTCCTTTACTCAATTCCCATTGCAGAATTTTTCCAGTCAGAACTTAATTCGCAGCTGTTGAATGACAGTTCTACAAGTTTCTTTCCAAAGCAAATTCGATTCCAAATGTGCTGTGAAATAAATTAAAATTCAAAAACTAACGAGAAAAAATAAACAAAACAAACAAACAAAAAAGGCCGACTAAAAAATGTGCAAACCCCATTGATGATTTCCTGGAAAGTCCAAGTTCAGTTGACCTACTTCAGTGAACTCGAGAGCCTAAAAACGAGACAAGAAACATAAAGTGCATTTAACCCTACTTCTCAGTACTTTAACAGCAAAAAAGATAAATAAATAAATAAATAAATAGATAAATAAATAAATAAAGTAAAATAGAAGGAAGTGGACGAAAAGTGCAAATTAAATGCGAAACAACTTGAAAAGGAATTAGCACAGGCAGGGTATAGCGCGGTTACAGGGCTTTGTTCAAAGGTTAGGATTAAAATCCTGGAAACATTTTAATTTTTTTCATTGTAGATTATTGGAGATTCAAGTGGTTTAACAACAACTATGAAACTACACGGTCAAAATAATTATACAGTTCTTAAAGAACTTCAAACAGTCGTGGGCATTCCAGTCAAGTTTGTGCATCTAATTTCAAATCCATTCGATACCATTGCCGTAGATGTGAAGCAGGTATGACGATAGCCAATCAGTAATTACTAATTTTTAATGTGTATCAAGTAACTCAAATCTGAGAGAAATTGAAAAAAAAAAAAATGAAAGAAAGAAAGAGAAAGTAAGAAAAGAAGATACCACAACAGGAAAACCGGAACATTTAAACTAGTAAATATGACAGGATAAGCTAAGCAGACGTGAAAAGAATGCTAGACTTTCTGTCGTGCTACATGTACCAAAATAAACCAGGAGCTGATTAAAATTGTAGCTAGTTCCTGATGTAAATGTGTTAAGTGTTCTTAAAAAAATAAATTAATTAATAAGTAACTTATACCAAGTTTTGTAGTGGAAGTCCTTCCTCCTTGTATTTAAGTTGTATTGCATTTTAGGCCAACAACTCTAAAGAGGTAAGAAGAGCGATCAGTACTTTCTTTGGATTAGTCAACACCAATGAGGATATACGCAAGAATTATGGCCGTGCTGTGTTGGATGTCAATACTAACGACTTAAAATTAAGACCAAGGGACACACTTAAGACCATTTGCAGATTCTTGGATACTAAATGCGACGATAGTTATTTGGATGGAATTGAATATCTCTTCAGAAGAGAAATTCTTTCAAAGCATCGTCATCTTGTTAAGTGGACAAAAGACTTCAACGATTCGATTTTGATTGAGATGAAAAAATACTCTTTTCTTCGGCCGTTTCTCACCTGATTCAAAGTGATGACATCAACAAGGTATCAGTTCACCTGACTTGAGTCAGAGTTAAGTCACGAGTTTAATGTATATATAACTTAAGGTTCAGGCTATCTTTATTGTATTTAGTTATCAAATCATTATTTTGTAATTGCATTGTGTTATTTCAATTTCTACCTTCTGTTACAAGTTCCTTGAAAGCACAATATTTGAGCGAAAAGAAAACGTGAAAGGAGTACAGAGCCTTTGTTTTATTCCCTCATTCAAACAAATGACAAATGATGGCCTCTCATTTTGTTTCAGCGGTAGGTCACTTCCGAGTTCCAAAAACCTACACTTTCAAAATGAGGCCAAGTGCACAACCTTTCTTGTGAAAATGAGTTTTATTTGCATGAGAACAAAAAAATCATTTCCATATCAAAGACAGAGCACCTAACCTCGTTTTGATACAGAGGCGCGGTTGAACTCGGAAATGGCCTATTGTAATTCATTTAGGGATGTACCATGGGATATGGAAATCAAGTTAGCTCCTACTGATCCTATCCCTTGCTGCTGTTTTCTGGCAGGAATCCCACAGGAAACATAAAACGCCTGTTTGGCGATCTTAGTGCGAAGAAACTTAGCTTTCACGTGGTAACGGAAAAAATTCCGGAACCTTATTTTCAGCTTGAGCAGATTTAAAGTATAATTGTGTCCTCCTTGGCCCATTTACTGAAGAGAAATCCATCACTCTATCTTACTTATACAAATTCAGTTTATACCAGACAAAGTGTGGTTTTGGCGACGTTCAGATCCAGACTAGAATTACCAATGTAGGCCCCTTAAGGACAATTATGTGACTGAAGGTCTTCCAATACAAACGTCAGAAAGGCCCTTCACAGAACGTTTTGATTTTGCAGCTAGACTTAAGATGGAGCAAATGAAACGTTAATAAAAACAGGTGTTCAGCATATTCAACGTAACTTATCTTGGCAAGCCTTCAGACAGCGACATAATTTCTTTTCTTTTTTTTTTATTATTTCTTTGAAACCTGAATTCTCGAATTCCTAAATGGAATGCTCCACGAGACACCAGACATTTTTTCTGTAGATGCTTTCTTCTTATTGTTTTCATCTAAAATCCTACCTATGCATCCAACTTATTATTTACAAACAAACTAACGAGTGTCCGAGGAAACTTTACTGTCGGTTTCCATTTAAACTAGCTTCCTGTGGTTTCTTTTAGATATTTATCCATTATGTTCATTTTATCATTTGTTCATTTTGGAAGTGTAGCTGTTGGAAGCCATGGTTTTCCCGACTACATTCTGTTATTTCTAAAAAGTCAATCTTTGAGTTGTTCGCAAACAGCTGTCTGTATTGTCGTCATATTCCCTATTTAGGATGTATTTTCCATGAAAGCGAAAAACAACAGCAGAATATCTTTCAGACTTACCGAACGCTGTATCAACAGTGACTACACTGCACAGGCAAATTTGTGGCTTCTAAACTTCCCTCGGAGAGTAAATTTAAAGAAGAGCTAAAGAACCGACTTCGGATTTAAACAGTCGTTATTTTCAGTCATTCCATTCTCAACTAAGAAGACATTGAAATTACCTGATTTAGAGATATCTGCTACTTCGCTAACGGCGCGAGCTGGAGGTTTCTGTTGAATTCTACATTTATTCGACAATAATTATATATTTTGGCCAGTCTTTGACTTATTGTAAAAATTGCCCTTTCATCAATTTTAATCATATGTCTCCTTCCATTTTAATTTCAGATTTGGAATTTTCTGCAACTGAAACTTTGGTCGACACATGCGATATGAATGTCTACTTTGGGATACCGGACAGCAATATTTCCATATCTTCTAATGAAACATTACTTACCGATAAGATATACGTCTATAGCCCGCTAGGGCGATATACATCATTTGTCCTTTTGTTATTACTGGTTACTGTAGGTATTACGGGATTTTTGGGTAATACTCTTTTTATATTCTTTTTAAAGTCAGGGAAAAAAACTCCAGTATCATTCCTGAAGGCATGCTCTTTTCAAAGAAACTTTGCAGTGTACCTCAAGAGTTTAGCTATTTCAGACGTTTTTTCTTCGCTTATTTCAGTACCATTGCTATGCTTTGAGCTGTATTTAGATCTGTTTCATTCAGGATGGAGTTGCAAATGCATTCGTTATTTAACAATTCTCTTTCCGTGCATAACTATGAACAACCTGTTATTAATAAGCGTCGAGAGGTATTTGTCAACTCGTAAAAATCCGCGCACGTTCCGGCTTTCTACAGTAAGGAAAATGGTTATATTTGCATGGGTGGCAGGGGGATTGATTGTCTTATTTCCTGCCTTAACTTACGACGGGTTGAGATTTGATCTTAACAAAAAACACTACACTATAGTCTGTAGGTTCAACCAGCAACATTTGCCTTTTAGAATAATCATCTTAAGTTTCGTGGCTTTGCAATATATTATACCAACAATTATTATAGTGAAAATTAATTTGTCACTCATTAGAACAGTATGGCGGGTTAGAACAGTGCGAAAGACTGCCGTAGATGTTCAACGAGACAACGGAATCAGAATGAAATATAGGGCGGCTACTATCCGAAGCACGTGGATCATCATTGCTCTTACATTTGCATTCATTATTCCATATATAGCTTACTTCGCTCAGGTTGCCTACAACCATATAACTAAGGCATCTATCAATTTTAAAACCGATTTTACCATTCGCATTGTAAGTGGTTTGATAGCGATGGCAAATGCTACAGTTAACTTTGCACTTTATCTAGTGCAGTTGCCCGATTTTCGCTCTTACGTAAAGAAGAGAATTGTGAAATATCCCCTAGCTAAGAGAAATTCTCAAAAGGTAGAGTTGATAAATGTGGATATTCAATTACTCCGCTTTTCTTCCTTCACATATACTATAACGCACTTAGCTAAACAAATCGACAAGAGTTCCAAATACCAAAGTTGTGAAAGGCGAGAACAGGAACACGCCTAAATAAATCATCAATCAATCAATCAATAACCAAAAGCATTTGTGTACACGTTTGGTATTTATTTATCCCATTCCATAATTGAGTAAAATACCAATACAATTAATTGGGAATGAGAATAAAATTGAATCGAAATCTGATACACAGAAAAACCTCATCGTAATTGACAATTTTTTCGATAATTATCAGGTTTCAGTAAATATCCGGATTCAGTTGTGAACGAATTGGTAACAGTTTATGATAAAGTTCACCCAAATGATACATTGTTAAGAAGCTAATTACGTGTAAAATGAATGTCCAATGGCCAAATGATAAGTATGTGTAATACTTAGTACGCAGTTGTTCATACGATTTTGCTTCATGGTACCGTAGGCCGTGAAGTCGTCAATGCCCAAAGCTCAGGAATTATCTGCAAGTACAATCTGAAAAAGTTGTGGACTTCTCTTACCAATCCTCTCTCTTTCTCTAACGAGTTTCTTTACTCCAGTAACAGTAAAATATATGGAAACAGGTGCTATAATCGGGGTAGGAGACCGTTAGTAGATACCTTCTCCAGTAATGTGATTGGCTTCATCGAAAAAGTCAATTATGCTATTTTTAGCACAAACTGCGCCATCTCGTGGGACACTCCCGCGCAGTTCTTGCGAGGGCGCCCCGCAAAGGATGAGCAAACAAAATAGCGCCAGAAGTTATCGTTGTAGGGGGATGAACAAATTCAGTTTCTGTCATCATTCCTTTCTCCGAATTTGAGGCAAGACCTTGAGGGAAACCTTATTGACGATAACTCTTAATATGAGGGCTGTGAATGTAATTCTGATCATGTTATGTCTCATCACCAGTAGCGGTAGTGAAAGTGTTCTTGACAAATCCAGTTGCGAAGAGATGTCGGAGATATCGTGATGAAATCCCGTTCAGGACGAAAAAAAAAAATTCCCGGGAAAAGGAGGGCCGAAAGTTAACAACAACAACAAATATAGTTAATGTGTATAATTTTATTTCCTCAAACATATCTTTGAATCATGATAAATACAGCTTCACCAGCTTCAAGCAGCGTCTAACGGCACTGGGCAGGTGTATTTGTATAGGTAATAGCATGATTTGAAGTGACATTTGGTATAAATACCACAAGTAATATTTCCAAGTTGTTATACGTAATTTCAAGAGTGGTGTTTTTGCCAAGTGTCACGTACAAATCATGCTATTATTTGTTTATACCACTACCCGCAAAGGTTTTGTAATTTTCACATACTGAGCTTGGGCCGCCTGTGTTGAATGGAGCCGTAACATAGACGGTATCAAGTTTTCCAAGATACTGCTATCAATTATTCTTTTCCCCCAGTTGAGAATTCATAAAAGAGGGTGTCCTGTATCCCCTCCCCGCTGGTTATGTCTGTCGGACCGGTGAAAACCCAAATGTTTGAGTGTCTGGTCTTGTATAAGAGACCTTGTGTTTTGCCCTTACGGTAAACAAAGCGAAACAGTTTTGTTTTTTTGTCTGCGTCATTTACTGGCCACCCGCAAAGTTTAATGAATTACATATGCTACATACATTAAGAACTCGAAACATACAAAGAGTTGATTTCAGGGTCAGTGACTTAGCCGTATGAACCACGAGCCGCTATCGATCTCCTGCTATGGCACGTGCATGCATCTTAGCCTAAATGTTGTTGTTGCTGTTGTTGCTGTCCTCAGTTTTCATAAGCCGAAGCTTCGAGACGGTCCAAAACAATTGCAAGGAAGACAGATTCTTGAATCTAGACCCATAACAACTTTTGCTGGATCACTAGCCTAACACCCCAAGGGCAAGGTATATTCAATTGAAGAATCTCGGTTTTAACTGACCAAGAAAGCCCTACGCACCTTTTTCTTACGGTACAAATGCATTATTTGGAGTTCTTGTCAATATAATGAATGAAAAATAATAATTTTTATTGAAAATAACAATGGTGTGGTGTCTTGCTGATGTGCACCTCCAGTCACCCTAAGTTGGGAGGCTTCAGTTTTATGTTAACATCCAATTCTGGCTACTATGAAGGGTGACAATAGCTAGGACAAAATAAGCCGATCAAATAACAAGTGACAGTGAATATCGGAACAGCGGGAGAAAAAAGTAACACGACGTGAAAGATCATCGCACTGCTATGATCATTCACGTGTTAAAGTCTTAAGAAATATTTAGCTCCTGGAAATACTTGTTTTTTCCTTTTGGCCTGATTTATCCACTAAACTCATGATTCATCTGAGAGTTTTTATTGGATACCGAAAAGTTTCTATATGCGTCATTCCGTGAGGAAAATAATAACAGCTGTTTGTCCTCTTTGAAACGGTAGCCTTCGGCAAGCGGCTCCTATTTGGGCCCTCGCGGCTTCGCCGCTCGCTCGTGCGTTCTCGCGAGACTCGTTTCACTCGCCAAAGTAGGAGAGCTTGCTCGCAGGCTAAGAAACGGCAATTCGGGATGCCTGGATTTCAGTTCACCAAAAACCCAATACTTCTCTTCTCCTCTCTTTAAATCTCATATGTCTGGACATGAGGTGAAAGAAAAATGCTTATAATAAATAATATTGAAATTAGCTCCCTAAAGATACCTGAACTAGATTTTCTCACACCAGTGAATGCTTAATCTGTTTCCTCTTCATTAATCTGTTTCTTCTTCATTAACCGTTGGGCGAGTGAATTTTAAAACAATTTTGAAATATCAAGAGTGGTATTTTTGCCAAGTGTCACGTACAAATCATGCTATTATTTGTTGATACTACTACTCGCAAAGGTTTTGTAATTTTCACATGTAGGTATTTCAAATTAAACTGAATTGACCACTACTCTAAGCCAATCAAATTACAGAAATTTCTCATGTAGTGGTATAATATTCAAAATTCCAGCGGTATTTATCTTCTTGAATCTTTTACCTGAGTTCCCATACAAATTGAATCCTTTATGTTCATGGCCATTTTAATTTAAAGATTACGCAATATGAAACCACATGTAGCTTGGGCCGCCTGTGGTAATAGGAGCCGTAATGAAGAATATCAAGTTTTCGAGGATACTGCTATCCATTATTCTTTTCCTCCAGAGAATTTTAAGCGCCCAGTTGAGAATTCATAAAAGAGGGTGTCCTGTATCCCCCCGCCGCTGGTTATGTCTGTCGGACCGGTAAAAACCCAAATGTCTGGGTGTCTGGTATTGTATATAAGAGACCTCGTATTTTGCCCTTAAGGTAAACAAAGCGAAGCATTTTTGGCTGTCTGCGTCATTTACTGGCCACCCGCAAAGTTTAATGAATTACATATGCTACATACATTTAGAACTCGGAACCGATACAAAGAGTTGATTTCAGGGTCAGTGACTTAGCCGTATGAACCACGAGCCGCTATCGATCTCCTGCCATGGCTCGTGCATGCATCTTAGCCTAAATGTTGTTGTTGCTGTTGTTGCCGTCCTCAGTTTTCAAAAGCCGAAGCTTCGAGACAGTCCAAAACAAGGAAGATAGATTCTTGAATCTAGACCCATAACAACTTTTGCTGGATCACTAGCCTAACACCCCAAGGGCAAGGTATATTCAATTGAAGAATCTCGGTTTTAATTGACCAAGAAACAGGGGCACCCAACGACGGTTTCCTCCTAACTGCATTGAAAACATTTTTTCACTTATCCAGAGTACTTTCAAATCTCTAGAAATGCATTCTAAGCGTCGCTATAAAACTTGTATCTGTTCGGTCGTCCAAGGGCAACTTGAGTCTCTTCGAAATTACTTAGGGATTACTTAGGGCCTCTGTATTATTTTCCCGAAAATTCTAGATGCAATTTTAGGTTTTACGAAAGTGAGAACTTTTTTTGATTCCTCTCTCCATCGCATTTTCGAATCCGAAAATTTTAGGTTTCCTTTTCCTACGAAAAATAGGCTAACTTGGCGACTGAAATGCGAAAAACTAAACTTTAGAAAATCGTAGGGAATTTATTAGATAAGCTACGAAAACTGTACATGAATGGAACGGCCATCTAGAAATTTTTAGCCCTCCTCAAGTAATAGAAAATTGTAGGCAATTTTTGCTTCTCCGAACAGATATTTTACAGAAAACTGTCGTTAGGTGCCCCTGAAGAAACCCCTACGCATCTTTTCCTTGCGGTATTATTTCGAGTTCTTGTCAGTTTAATGAATAAAAAATAATAATTTTTATTGAAAATAACAATGGTGTGGTGTCTTGCTGATGTGCACCTCCAGTCACCCTAAGTTGGGAGGCTTCAGTTTTATGTTAACATCCAATTCTGGCTACTATGAAGGGTGACAATAGCTAGGGATAAAAATTAATAAGCCGATCAAATAACAAGTGACAGTGAATATCGGAACTGCGGGAGAAAAAAATAACACGACGTGAAAGATCATCGCACTGCTATGATCATTCACATGTTAAAATCTTAAGAAATATTTGGTTTTTCCTTTTGGCCTGATTTATCCACTAAACTCAGGATTCATCTGAGAGTTTTATTGGATACCGAAGAGTTTCTATATGCGTCATTCCGTGAGGAAAATAATAACAGCTCTTTGTCCTCTTTGAAACGGCAATTCGCGATCCTGGATTGCAATTCACCAAAAACCAAATACTTCTCTTTTCCTCTCTTTAAATCTCATATGTCTGGACATGAGGTGAAAGAAAAATGCTTATAATAATTAATATTGAAATTAGCTCCCTTAAGATACCTGAACGAGATTTTCTCACACCAGTGAATGCTTAATCTGTACTCTTCTTCATTAATTTTGTTTTCTCTTTGCTTTGTCACAGCTTGTAAGTTTGTTTAGTTTGTTTGCCCACCTATTTGTATTCCAAAAAAAAAAGTCCATGATGACACCCAGTATTTTAAAGCAACTTTTTGAGGTGAACAATCGACTTCTTCATCAACGGTATAAACAGATCTTCTATTTATTATTATTATTATTATTATTTTTATTATTGTATTAATTTTTTTAAAGCACACCCTTCCACAAAACGAAAGGCTGGCAAGTTTACTCTTAGAGGGGGTATTAAATTTACAGAAGCAAAAAACTGTGCCATTGTTTATTTAGGAATAAGTTATGTAATTGTTAATACATAACTTCTCTTATGAAGACAACAGTCCGTACCAAACGCTCCGCTTTTAACCGAGGACAGTCGAGAAGAGATTTAACTGAGGTAAAGCTCCTTTAACATTATACAATGTATATACAAATATTTTTTTTCGACTAAATGAAGTCAGGAAAAATACTGTTTTTAAATATTTTTAAGGTAGCACAGAGTAAACGCGACCGGCGGTTGAGATCTGAATGCCATGTTATGTTGTTGGAGGTGTTGTTCATTGGTGTGTTTTAAATACGAGTAGCCAATATAGAGTCCGTCAAATAAGAAAATTTAATTCCATTTCTTTCATACTGCGAATTGTATATATTGTTGGCCTACGGTATAAGGGTTGTTGAAAACACGTTTTTTGTCAGCAAGTTCGATCTATTCGTTTAAAATCCTTTCAGAAGAGTGGCCTCTACACAGTATATAAAACTTCAAAATAATTTCGGTCTGTAGAACGTCAAAAACGGAATGCAATTTTTTATAGGACAAATGTTTACTGTTCCGACTAGCCACGTCTCTTTAAAACATGACGAAAATTCTACAAGCGTGGTATACAGTTGCACTAACAGCGCCCACGTGTCAGACAAGGTCTCCATGGCCAGCAAAGGATACGATCCCATGGAAAACCCAATCTTAGCACGAGATTTATCACGTGCAAGTTAAGAAGGGCTTTTCTGCCTTAGGCACATCTTTTGGGCCAGTTAACTTTGTCAATGGAGACATTTTTGATCCTAGGTAACCCGCGTAAGGCTCTATTTACGCTTAGAACCAGCTGAGGCAATGACTAGGCGTTTCGTAGACGAGCGAAAATTTGCAGGAGCAGAAAACTACACCGGCAAAATCCATAAATAATCAGGTCGACGTCCGATTTAGTCACAACCTCTTCCTTCATTTGACTACCATAAGTTATGCCACTTGAATCGTAAATTGAATTTTAAAAAATCTTTCTGGTCTCGAATTTTCTCGCTAATTTTTCTTTTTCGGGAGTTAAAGTTCAAGAGAAAGAAAAAAAAATCTTTTTACTGTAGCCTGTTTTGATTTGCCGAAGAGTTTAAGGTCTCTACGTACCGTCAAAGTACACCGAGCATTGCGTTGTGTTGTACCTCGCACGTGTACAAATAAAATCACACACCATTGAGTTTTCTTCCTACCGGAAGCAAAAAAAAGACGAAATCCGATGAGCCATCGGCTGTTGTTTTGAATTATATTAAAAAATTTCGACTGATATTTAAAACTTTAATCGTGTTTCACTACTCAGCTTGAGGTACAAACAAGCATCTATTCGCCATGGGTAAACGCTTGCCTCCTTTGATGAGAGAAGCCGTTGCCGAATTCTCTTCCACCTTCATTTTGCTGGTGAGTATTGTTATTTCTTTTAGAACTTTTGATATTTCGTCTAGTTTCATTCCCATTAATTTTCACCCTGCTTCTTTAAAGGTGGTAATCAGACAAAAAGCGAAATAAGAAATTCAACAGTTTCATGTCGTCATGTCATGTCTGACATCAAGTCAATTATTGCTAAAGACAACATGTCAAAATTTGTTAACATTATCTTCTTTTAAAAATTTCATTTGTCAATAGAGGAAGGTTATTCTCTGCAGGCGGTCTAACTTTTTTCTCTAGCGAAAGAATACACTTGAGCGCATCGCACGGCAAACGAGGGCGGTAGCACGAGAAGAACGCGTTATGAGAGGAAGCGGGAGGGAACGAGAGAATTAGGGGGAATCGTGAATTCACTACTACATCTTTTCGCCCCCCTGAACGGGAACGCAGATTCCGGAATCTGGGAAATATATGAATAGTGAATGCGGAATCTAGGAAATTTGCGTTGTGTAATGCGGAATCCTGAGCTCTGGAATCCGGAATAAAGCTCAACGAATCCGGAATCCCTCTTATGATTGGAATCCTACCATTCCTGTTATGTTAAAAAAATAGATGTCGATTCATTTTGTGGTAGTACAGTTAAACCTCACTGTTTCACGGGAACAAAGTTAATTGCCCTTATTACAAAGGTGTGCGTATTATCAAAAGATATATTATGCAGAATAGGCGTTTTTGTTTTTGTTTTGTTTTGTTTGTTTTCCTTGCTTTTTTTTTAACTAAACCTCAGAGTTTGTTTACATATGTTCTCTTTCAGATATTTGGCGCTGGTTCAGTGGCTCAAATGGTCCTTAGCGAGTGGAAATTTGGGAATTTTTTCTCTGTTAACTTCAGCTGGGGAATTGGAGTAGCCATTGGTTGCTACTGGGCAGGAGGCGTATCAGGTGTATTATCTCAATTATCCAGTGCCAAGGATCTTGGCAGGTTTTTAGGGCCGTCAGCATTCAGAAATGTTTATCCTTTACTTAGACATACGTGACTAGAGTATCGATTTTCATCGATTGGTGAAACCAATCGATATTAATCGATTAATTTTATCGATCATTGGTTTCCGATGATCGATTTTCGTTTATTGGAAACGTCGGACATTCATAGCGTTGGCCCCTACTCATTGCTTTGTATCGATTTTTACTGATTTTCATCCATTTTATCGATTTTTATCAGCTTTGATAAATGAAGGGATGTAAGTTGGCTACCACGGGTGCCATTTACAGTAAGGACGGGTAAATCTTTTTTCCTCGAGACAACATACTCGCGATGATACTCACAACGCATGTTCACGAATCATGGGTTTCAACTTATGAAAATTTTCGAAGACACGTTCAATCAAGTTATTTTTGGATAGTTCGACACATTTAGAGGAAAAGTAGCAATTTAAGGACTGATCCTTTTTTGGATTAAGCGTTAAAGCGTGGTCATGTTAAAATGGCGCTTGCGACTTAGTTTTAATTAACTCCCACGAGGACATTTTTTAAGTATATATAATTATGCGATCAAGCAGCATTAGAGTCAAAACTAACACCCTAAAGATAGAGCAGAATATGTAGCCAGGTTTTCTTCTTTTTTTGACTCTCGGAGTCTACAGTGTTCAAGAGTGTACAAAAAGCAATTTACGGTGTACGGAATAAACCTGTATGCGAGTTCAAAAACTAGTTCGTAACGACTCTTCTACAATCCACGTTCAATATTATTACTAATGCGTAGCTCAAACGTATCTGGAACCATTTTTAAACGATTACCATCGATAAAAATCGATTTCCGATATAAATCAATTAGTAATCGATTTGGTCGATTATCGAATTTCATCGATTTGGAGTGTCCTTCTTAGAGCTCTCTCCGCCGAAGGGGCCCCCGCTGGGTACCCCATTAAAAGTAGCAAAAATCGTTAAACAGCGATCGCGCGGGCTTTGTTTGTTCCCTCTCCCCAGCTGAGAGATTTTCGCTTCAAGGACTGATTCTTCGTAGTTTTGTTCATTAAGTGCAGTAAAGTCTAGGCAATTTTCTTATTAATCCTTAATTAGTTTTTATTAAAATTGATAACTGATACTTAGACGAAGTCCATTGCACGGGCACTGATCCACAGTATTCTGTTATGCAATGATTCGCAGGGGCTCACATGAATCCCGCTGTTACACTGGCTTTTGCCGTCGTCAGGAGATTACCATGGAGGAAAGTTCCCGTATATTGGACGGCGCAGATGCTGGGGGCATTTGTGGCTTCAGCGTGTGTTTATGGCGTCTACTACGGTGAGTAAACGCGAGAGTTGAATTGAGTTGCTTCCTAGTAAAACAAATCTCGCACACTCTATCTCTGTGTATTCGCGCAGCCAATTTAATTTAGATCTTAGTTGTTCCCCTATGTCACTTTTATACCATTTGTATACCTTATGATCTGGCTGAGAGACCGAATACTTTTTATCGTCCACTAACTCTGAGATAGATACGGCTGAGGCTGGAATTAAGTTTCCTCATTAGAAATGTTTTCGTAAGGTTAAACCACGACTAAAGACTGGCAGGAACCATTTTCTCCTAACGCTTCATCCATTCGAAATACAAAGTAGGTAAGCTTAATTATTTTTTTTTTAGATGCTTTGAACGCATTTGATGGCGGTGTCCGTCAGATAATGGGTCCAAAGGGCACGGCAGGGATCTGGGCTACATATCCACAGCCATATTTATCCACCTGGAATGGCCTTGGAGATCAGGTAAACAAAATTATTGGTCCAGAGCTTCGACAGGAAAACCCAGTTGAAGTGTCCGGAGCATAATAAACAGTAAGCTAATAAACAGTTTCCCGAAAAGTTGTCAAGTCTAATTCGGTATTGGTTAGAAAAAGTAGTGAATTTGTTTTAGAGTGAGTCTAGAATCGAGAAGTTCTTAGCTAAAGATAATCAAAGCTAAAACGTGTCTTCGCACCAGTGGCCCCTTGTGCGAAATGATCACACCTTGATATGGAGGGTAAACATTTTGGTGGGACCTTGAAAAGAAAGGATGTCAGCTTTTTGAATGATGTAATATCTCTTTGGTTTTCCTTCCCCACTGTGTCGTTTGCCATCCAGCAAGGTGCTTTTGACGGTTCATGTAAAGGGCCCATTGAATTACAAAAAAAGAGAGAATACTTTAGGCAATTGTTTTCAGATGCTGCGGATGGCAAAGATGAACATGGGCTGAAACTTGGAAAAACTTGGCCACTTTGTTCAAGTTTAAAGATGGCTCCTTGTTCAAGTTTATAGCTGGCTCCGTTATTAAAAAAAGGCTCATTTGCCACCAGTAAAATTGGAGTATTTTATATTTTTGCTTAATGAAAGCTGTAGTTCTTTTCAAAGTTTCGTTACCATCGACCTTAAAACCGAAAAAAGCTATGACAAAAAGGTTCGTCATAATTTCATGCGCCTTTTAGGAAACGCAGCCACCTTCCAGATGTTATGCAAGCTAAAAAAAGTGTAATTATGATTAGTGCGCCCTGATAAAATTTGTTAGAGTTCTCTTGACTGACATGAGAATTTTAGTGTATGGTTTCAGGCACTTGTTAACGAATTCAACACCGAATTTCCCCAAAACAACGTCCTCGTGACAAAGACGCTTTAATCATAGAAGACACGCCCAGAAAAAATATGTATATGTATCCAATCGTTACTTTAATTGTTAGGTGCTTGGCTCAGCGTTGCTTGTTGGCTGCGTGTTTGCTATCATCGACAAGAACAACAATTCTCCTGACAAAGGCGTCACGCCCATCATGATCGGACTAGTGGTGTTTGTTATCGGCGCTACTTTTGGGTTCAATTGCGGTTACGCCATCAATCCCGCCAGGGATCTGGGACCAAGGGTATTTACGGCGGTTGCAGGGTGGGGCTGGGGAGTGTTCACGTGAGTATTTTCAATGAACAATGTATGTTGCAGAATAAGAACTTAGTAAAATATCACTCATGCACTGTGAGGTCATATCTAATGAAAAATGAAAAGAGGTATCCATCCTCCACACTTAAATTAGTGACTGGAATGACGTCAAAATCTTCAAAGCCCAAGTTGTACATTCTGCATTACTTATCTACATGCAGACAATGGGCTTTTTTCTCCTTTACTACTACTACTAATAATAATAATGACGATGATGATGATGATAATGGGATATCAAAAAAATGTCTTTACCATTATCTTAGTAGCATGAGTGGCAGGCTTCGACAGGGGCGTATAATGGCTTGCTTACCCCCTCCCCCTCCCCTTTTACCTTTCACGCCTGCCACGCAGTCCATGCTGTCATAGATAATTGTTCTAGCCTAAAAAATGCGTGATAAATTACTCAGTTGTTACAAAATATGTTCATTATCTTCTTCTTTTTGAAAAACATAAAAAAGTATCAAAAGCAAGCAATTTAATTTTCAAGTAACTTTGATAAAAATCTTATAGACGGACTTAACTCCACAGGGCTGCAAATAACTGGTCTTGGGTACCTGTGGTAGGCTGCCTTTTGGGTGGAGTGCTTGGTGCCTTAATCTACATTGGATTAATTGAGATGCATCATGATTCAGAAGACGATAGGGAGACTGGGTACGATCTTGAGAGAATTGTTATAACCACACCTGACTTCAAGGCTCAAGCAAACGACATAGGAAACGGAAATTTGGCCTTTGGTGACGGAATACCAATGGCATCTACGTAATCTGTCCATAAAGAGTTATCCCACGAAGACGAAATTGGTATCGTGAGATAACAACATTAACTGAGTCTGAATAGAACTATATTTTACTACTCAGAATTACTCAGATAGTAATCATAGAGGACGAGAACCAAATGATGATATGCCTTATTTTTGCGCTTGCAAGCGATTCAACGGTAACGCATAAGCGAAGCAATGCGATGATCTTCCTTTCTGTATAAAACTGTTGCTTGTATTTTTCGCGTGATAAATATAATCCAGTTTTAATGTTTTTTTTTCTTAATTTTTTCGCAACTTCGATTCCGTGCTTTCAACCCCTTTCTGTCAAACGCGGCCTTTGATGGAAGATTTACTACATTAAGTTAATCCATTGTTGTCGTTTTGATTATTCGTAATCTGAGGGTAAGTGTACAAATTTAAAAAAACTTCTATCATCTTATTTTTACAAATGAGACGTAATTTTCAATGATTGAAATAATGGAATCCGACAAATTTTTACAAAACCATTGTACGCCAGTCAGTTTTAATAAATATTTATTGTTGATCATGTTTGTTTACAATACCCATGTTAATGTATGCCTTTCCCTTCTTGACTGACATCATTTAAGTGGCTATAGAAAAAATAAACATACTTCAATATGACACCATGCTATGATTCTGTTATTTGTAGCCACAAAATGTGTTAGCTAATAAAAAGTAATTCGATAAATAACTAAGGGGCTAAAATTAGAGAAAGATCTGAGAACTCCAAGTCGCCATTTCTTGTCATTTCTAGGTTTTGATTACATAGTACATGTATTTAGTATTTAATGTGTACTTCATTTCTACTATGCCTCCTTCATTTATATGCGCTATAAAACTTAACGTTAGAGAAAAGAAATTACTTTCTTTTAGGTGACAAAATCAGAGCTTCTTGTCCAACTAATATACCTCCAAGCATCAAACGTTACAAACAACAAAAAATGAACTTTGAAGAACTGCTGGTCTAACAAGTTTTAACCCTATTGAGACCGGGCCTTTTTCGCTTCCTGCGGCCGAGCGGGGGAAGCTTCAGAGCCCCCCGCCCCCTTTATAACTTCAAAACCGCTCACCGCTCATGCTGTGTCCACCAAAATTACAAAGAACAGTCATCATTTCTAACTTCTACGGATAACTCGATATCCACAATAACGTAATGTCACGTCATTATGACGTCATAATTGTTGAATTTATTGACAGAATACAAATTTCCCTTAAAGTACACATTAAGAGAAAAATACTTACATAGTAAGGTGTCAAATAAAATAGAGAAGTGGAATAACATTTAAATATACTTTAACAATAGCAGTGATGTCACAATCACGTCTTTTATGACTAAAAAAGGAACTAGAAGCATCTTGAATCCGCCATATTGAATTATTTATTCAAGTTGTATTCCATTTTGCTTAAAACTCGTAGATATCGAGGAGTTTTTAACAGAAAACTTGATCTGAGTTTAAAAAGATGGTTAGGAAGCAAAAACATCTGTAAAATATGCAATTCCGAGAGAAATGAACACTGTTAAGAATTAAACTCAGCATCTGCCATTTGGTCATATTAACTCAAGACATATTTTTCATCAACAGTTGTAGCCTGAGAAAGCAGCCGAAATTTGGCGACGCTACCACTGGTTTCACCGCCAAATGACGTCTAAGAAACGAGCGCAGAAATGCCATACTGATGACGCGTCATGCGTCACTACCGAGAGCTGGGTAGTGCTTCTGAAATTTGATAAAATAATACTTATTTAAGTGTAATTTAATAATTCTATCGATAAAAATAGAATTAAAACCTATTTTCAAGAAAAATGCAAATTTTGGAAACATGGCTGCAAAACTTGGTTGCCATGGTAACAATAGTGTTGACGTAAACGTCAGGATAATATATTCCCAGATAATTTTAGTAAAAGTCGCTAAGTTTGGTGGTCATAGCTTGTACGGTTTTAAAGTTATTAAACTTTTTAAGGAGAGGGGGCTTGGCCTGAATAGAGATAACAACAACAATAACTTTATTGACTTTATCTTCTACAATCAATCTTCTACAAAACAATCAATATAACAACGAATGAAACGAAGTAAGATAAAAATTAAGTAAGAAAGAACGGAAGACATAATTGCTTTTAATATCCTTCAAGTTTGTCCATCTGTGCCTTCTTTTATATTTGCTGTGTTATTTATATCTCCTTTTAATGTTTTGAGATGTGCTGTGTTTCTTATTTATTTCCCTCAGTTTGGTGGCAGTTCATACCGTTTATCAGAACTGTGATAAATTTCACGAGGCAGCTCCTTTAAAACTAAATGCGCGTAATTAGTAATTATAATATAAGCTTTTCGGAAACGAGGTTGAATAACCATTATCACCAAAAAAATTTTAATTCATGAATAACATAGTTTGTCTTATGAGGACATCGAGGATATTCCCCGAGACGGTCGTCCCGTACATTCTACCCGTTTGACTCAGAAGGAGATGGAGAACGCGTTTGTCGGTCCAATCAAATCAAATCATTTTCGACGCATTCCGGGAAAAATCACGATTCTACGGGGAATCACAGACGCCCCTTCCCCGATTTTTCCTTAGGGGAGGGGGGTGAGGTTTGTACACAGGCTAACAATTTAAACGACAATACGATCAGGTGGTACAAAAGATTCACTCTAGCGATCGTTATGTCAAGGTCACTCCTCTGTTTTCCTCAGTTTGTTAAACTCGATGATTTGAATGCCGATTTCATCCATCTTCCTTTCCCTTACCATGTTTTGCGTATCCCTTCTTTTACTCGGGCACAAAGAAAACAGCCTCCCTAATCCCCTCCTGTAGTTTTTAACAAATATAAAGCATATAAGAGGATTAGTAGTAGAAGATAGGTAGATACCAAGAACAGAAAAAAAGCCAAGCAATCCATTTACCGAACAAGGAAATTTTTCCCCTGATAGATAAGCCATTCCGAATACGATGTTAGGAATAAGGCAAATATTAAATGAAACTACGATGCACAGACTCATCTTAACGGCTTGCCTTTTCCTTTGATCGTTTTTCTTGACTGCTGTACAACGAAGGCTTATGTTTTGTCTTCGTAACGTGACAGCTATGGCAGAATACATAACAGTTATTACAATCAATGGAGAAATCGATACAAGGACAATACGCCCATACGCAAAGAAGTTAAAAGTCCATGAAGTAATTTCCTCTCTTATGCAATAGAAATTGCCATCGTATTCGACTAACTTAGTTGTGCGCAGATCTATTGAATTGATTACTACCGCTACGATCCAAGTGGACGTGATTGCAAACGCACGAAATCTTGAGGAGATAAGATGCGCTTTCAATGGCATCACTACCGCCATAAATCGATCCAGTGAAATCCAGAGAAGACTTTGCACAGAAACTGTGATCGAGGCTGCAACCAGAAATATACTTAGACTGCAAGAGATTGAACCAAACTTTCCACCGATAGGCCACCCGACTGAAGAATTAGCCTCAATTTCTTTCAAGCTAAATGGCATTAACAGTATCGTTACAAGAAGATCGGAGACCGCCATGTTAACTATAAATGAGTTTATCGTCTTCCTGAGCTCTTCTCGCACACGTACCAAAGTTATGATAAGAACATTTCCAACCAAGCTAAATATCAAAATAATGGACAGAAGAAACAATTTGCCAATTTTCAAAGGGGACGAGTCCGCCGAACTTTCACAATTCCCGTGACTTCTTAATGAATCGTTGGTAAAATTTGTGGACATCTTAGAAAATGTTGGTAACGTGGAACGCGTGTCCAATTTCCTTTGCTTTTAGGTGTCAGTTGATGGAGTAGAATATCTGCGGGAGACTCGATAGCAATTACGAAGATATCAAAATCATGTCACTGACAATTTTAAGTCCTTCTTTCTTTCTGGCTGTAAATTACCCTTATCAAGTCACACATACATGCAAATAACCATAAGGTTGCACATGCACAGCCGTGTACATGTAAACATCATACGTTCAATACCTAAAATTGACTGTCAATGAAAATTAATTCTTCCACCATGTTGATGTCTTGCAAAATTAATTGTCTTTGTTGTTATGGCATTGCTGCTTTTAGGCCGAAAAAAAAAACCTGAAAAATATCCACCTGAAAACCTACATACACGAGATTTACTTTTTTACTGTATATTTTATAAACCTCACATTGCCGTGTTGATCATTAAAAAAAAACATCTGCCCAGGAGTGGTTTACAAAATTAAAAACAAAAAAAATGTAATTATGTTTTGGGGGGCTGATCTTCGTTGTGTTCATTTAAACTGATATAAAGTCTCCGACCTATAATAGAACTGCCTGCCGCTTGCCTAAAAAAAGCGTTTAATTAAAAGATAAATTTTACTCATTTGTAAAAAGCACCTGGTCGAGTAGAATCACTTATGAAAAAGCAAGAACAAGGTTTTCAGTACAAAGAGATGCTAATTGAGAGGGGATAAAATCCACATATAACACTATATAGCGAACTTCGACTAAGTTCAGCGAAAACAATAGCTAAGATCGCTGCGATTTCTGCCACAGCTGCTGCGCATTGTTATATACCGTACTTTGCGCATGCGCAGTTCGTTCGATGTTTATCATGGGCTTGGTGGGACATGCTTCTGACGCTTGTTGAGTTTTACTGTTAACATTCGGCTTCTAAGTACGTGAAACCCTGGCGACGAGGATAAATAAATCGAAAGCCATTACACATCACAAAGATGAATATAAAGCAGTTTGAAACCTGGGAAACATTCGATAAGGGCTACTACAAAACGACGTCCTTGAGGTTGCAGAGACTTAGGCCGAACTTAGGCGAAGTTCGCTTTATAGTGTTATATGTGGATTTTATCCGCTCTCAATTAGCATCTCTTTGTACTGAAAATCTTGTTCTTGCTTTTTCATAAGTGATTCTACTCGACCAGGTGATTTTTACAAATGACTAAAATCTATCTTTTAATTAAGAGTTACCATACTTTAATGTCGATATTGTTCGAACCCATGCATGGTCAGTTCAATAACAGCTTAGAGAGCCAATTGCCAACAAAAAAAGCATCTCGAAAAACGTTCTAGTATTTATGATTTGGATCTGTTTTGTTTAAATACAAACTCTAATCTTAACCCTGAGTGTAACCTGGGCAATGAGCCAGCTCTCTGCCGGTATTTTACACCTTATAGCTTCTCAAAGTTTAAACATACGGTGCATAATGATCAGGATTGCTTTTCTCTGTTGCACAATAATAATAGAAGCCTGAAGCGTAACCTAAAAAATCTTCACGTACACCCACTACATGAGCCCGATTATAATTTTAGTGTAATGGAGTCA